ACTTGACAATTTGCAAATCTATTAAATTATATAATTGATCTTCAGCATCTTTTTTTATTTACTTTGCTAATTCTTCATCTTTTTTATTCAAGATATTTAATTCAGAAAATGCTTTAAAAAACACCATCAATTAAGCTAAAGATTCATGTTTTTGTTTTAATTATTTATAAAAATCTGAATCATTTTCCTTGATACTTGCTTCAAATTTTAGTAAAATGCTTGTAAATTTTTCAAAATAGTTTTAAAATTTTTAATTAGATTCTATAATTTTATATTTATTTCCTTGATTTTCAACAAAGATTTATTTTATTTCCATAATTTATTACATATCAAGAAGATATTGAATTTCATCAGTCACTTCATTGTTAACTTCCTTTTCATATAAAAGGAAATCTGAAATCATTTTTACAGCACTTTATATTTAATTGATATAATTTATAGCTTAATCTAAGTCTTCCTCTAACATCTTAGTAATTTCTAAATCAAACTTGACCTTATTAACTTCAAAACTATTTAATAATAGTTACTATCTCAGTATTTGCAATGTAGAATTTTTAGCATCAAAATTATCTATCAATAATGCTTTTAAAATCTTATCTAGAGAACTTGTTGAATGCAATTTCTTATTTTAAAGCACTTTCTAATACTCACATAATGAGAATTGATTATATAAAAATTGAATTGATAAATTTATTGATTAGTAAGAAATATATATATTAGAAAGCATTAAAAGATCCTTGTCAAAATATTTTTCCTAAACTAATAATCTCAAACGTATTTATAAGGCTATGCATATTTATAAATTCCACTTTAAAATAGATTTCCATAATTGAATTAAATTTATTGCTTTAAGAAGACCGTTTAATGGATCAAATTTTCGAAAAATTGAATTTTCATCTTTGAAAATCAAATTTTTGGTTTAATTTATTAAATTATTAATAATCGTCTTGTCTTGATAATTATTTTTAAATTATTTACAAGTTTCTGAAAACTGTGAAGCATTTTAAGAAACTTTTATTAATTAATCAAAAAGGGAAAAATATTAATCATTTTAAAAGATATCTTGAAATCCGTTATTTTAATATTCATTATTAATTAAACCATTAAGATAAATTTGACAATTCTCTTGTAGAATTTAATAATATTATTCATAAAATACATTTTCATTACCTATTTGTTAATTTGAATTTTATAATATTGTTTTTAGTGTGTTCAACTATTCTATTTCTGATAAGAATTGGATTATCTTCATCTATGATTCTTTCATTAATTTTTCAGCTAACTTTAATTTTTATTAATCATAAAAATCTTATGTTTTGATAATAGCAGTAAATTCATTAAATATCGATTATAGAGATTCTACTTAAGTTAATAATTATGAAATTTATGATAAAGTAATTGGTAATTAAGGTTCATTATTTGATTTTTAATCTTCTAAAGCTTAGAATTTAATAAAATATTGTTATTCATAATTTTATAATTATCCATAGCCTTATAAAATTAAAATCTAAAGTTAGGCTTATTCTTGAAGGGTTTTAGAACTATCGAATAAAGCCTTAGAGATCTTATCATTTTATATATTTGCATATCTTAATGATAATATATGTTAATCTCCAATAGCTTTTATTGTATAATCTCTCATCTAAACTTTTTCTAATAGTGAATTTTCTAAGTTCAACTTTTAAAGTATTGGCTTAAACTGAAATAAAGATGAAATAGTTTAAATCCAGCAGTACCAAATTTCCCAATCGCTAGATTCTTTTACAACATTGCTGTACATTTTACCAAGCAATTCAATAATTTCCTTATGTCCTCCTTTATTTTCTTCCAATTTTTTCATAGCTTCAAATTTTAAACTAAGTAAAGAATAAATTATTTCTAGTTTTTTTATTCTTGAATATATAACTCCTTATTGATATAAAAATACGATTCCTTTTTTTAAACTTTCAATTAAATTATCATTTAATTAAAATGTAAGTATAGCTTAAAGAGCACCTCCTAAAAATTGTTAAAGAATCTCTAGTCCTTCTGTTGAATTTGTAGGAGTTACATATATTACAGCCTTAATTATAAAAAGCTCATATTCTATATTATTTTAATATTTAAATGCTTCCCCTTCTATCTCAAGTCTTTCATATATTTGATCAATCTCATTTAAGTATTATTATTAGATTTTTACTTAAAGAAATCTGTCAGATTTTGTTGAATAGAATGTAAAAACGACCCAAATAAGACTAGAAATAATTTATGAGACATAAAGTGCATATTAAATATTAGATTATAAAAAACTTTTAAGAGCTTCTAAAAGTTTAGTTAAACATTCTAATATTAAATCAATACATTAGCTTGACTGTTCTTGATTTCTTGCTAATTCCCATATTTATCTTTAATGAACAAAGAAAAATTAAAAGCTATTCATAAGATTGTACTTTTAATCAATAACTGTTACAGCATTCTAAACAATCTTTTAAGTATGTATTTTAATATAGTTTTATAAATTAGGCTGGACAGTTTGTTTCTCGCCAGTAGAAATATCATCAATAAGGGCTGTCATTGTAGGTTTTATAACATTTAGAGAAGTTCCACATCCTCCTCCTCTCAATTTAATCAACATTTATTAATAAAATATATAATCACTATTTAAATTTCCTAATACTAATAAATTCAATAGAATATAAATTCCCTAAAATTTTATGAAATAGGATATTCTATTTAAAAAAAAAAATGCAAATAATGATAATGACTAGAAAAAAAAATATATTTAAAAAAAAAGATTAATCAACTTTATAAAGAAAGACCTTTTCTAAATTCCAAAATTTATGTTTACTGATTCAATCTTACTTTAAAAATTTTGTTATTGAGACATATTTTAAAATAGTAAAGAAAAATTAGTTGACATAAAAATGAATTAAATTTTTTCTCATTATGAAATTTTTTAATCTATTATATTTACAAAAGATAATTTGGAGAAAAATTATTTGCTTTATTTTTTGCTGATCTATTTTATTATTTTCAATTTTAAATACAAAAATTTTTCAGAAGCTATCAAATAAATTGAAAAATTTTTTAGAACTTTGATCCTTGATAAAAAATATATAAATTAAGGAATAACTTAAATTTTTCATACAATGGTTTTGATTATTAATTAAAAGATTCATTAAAAAATAGTTGCATTTATCATTTATAAAATGCAAATTATAATTTATATTTAATTCATTTTTATAATTTTAATATTATAATATATATAAATAAATAAATGAGTTAATCATAATAAGGCTAAATATTCTCAAAGCAACTTCAGGAAGGGCATTAATAAGTGTAAGATTCATAAAATCAAAAAAAAGAAGAAATTAATTAGGTATCCTATTCTGAACTTAATATACCTATTTATTAAACGATGATAATTATTTTAATGATTTTTTTGAATAATTAAGGAAATAAATAAAAATATTTGACGGAGGATCCATGTTTAAAATTGCATAAAATATTTGAAACAATAATATTTCAAGTAAATCAGTCAATTATAAAAACTGAATCCTTATCTAAACAAGATAAGGAAAAGCTCTATGATACATAAAAATATATAATGATAATTCTAAACAAAATTAATTAAAAGATAATCCAAAATAGCAATAAGAATTACAAAATAAAGTTTAGTCTTTTAAAATATTCTCATCATTTTTTTTGTCATTTTAATGTTATTATTTTTCTAGAAGAAATAAAAATATTATTGTCTTGTAATGAAAATTCGAATTAGGCAGTTGAAATAAATTTATTTATTATTCTTTATTCCATAGCCCAGGGGAAAATAAACTTATATAAGATAGCAAATTAATTTTCTATTTTCATTTTTTTTATCTTAATGTGTTCAATATTTATATAAATAATTTATTTCATGGATTTAACTATAATAAATAAATTAATTGTTTGTTTATGAGATTATAAGGAGATACTTAAGAATTGGTTATGTAATTTTGAAGGAGAAATGCAACAGTACATTTAATCAAAAATATACTTAGATTTATTCAGATGCNTAAATACAAAAATTTTTCAGAAGCTATCAAATAAATTGAAAAATTTTTTAGAACTTTGATCCTTGATAAAAAATATATAAATTAAGGAATAACTTAAATTTTTCATACAATGGTTTTGATTATTAATTAAAAGATTCATTAAAAAATAGTTGCATTTATCATTTATAAAATGCAAATTATAATTTATATTTAATTCATTTTTATAATTTTAATATTATAATATATATAAATAAATAAATGAGTTAATCATAATAAGGCTAAATATTCTCAAAGCAACTTCAGGAAGGGCATTAATAAGTGTAAGATTCATAAAATCAAAAAAAAGAAGAAATTAATTAGGTATCCTATTCTGAACTTAATATACCTATTTATTAAACGATGATAATTATTTTAATGATTTTTTTGAATAATTAAGGAAATAAATAAAAATATTTGACGGAGGATCCATGTTTAAAATTGCATAAAATATTTGAAACAATAATATTTCAAGTAAATCAGTCAATTATAAAAACTGAATCCTTATCTAAACAAGATAAGGAAAAGCTCTATGATACATAAAAATATATAATGATAATTCTAAACAAAATTAATTAAAAGATAATCCAAAATAGCAATAAGAATTACAAAATAAAGTTTAGTCTTTTAAAATATTCTCATCATTTTTTTTGTCATTTTAATGTTATTATTTTTCTAGAAGAAATAAAAATATTATTGTCTTGTAATGAAAATTCGAATTAGGCAGTTGAAATAAATTTATTTATTATTCTTTATTCCATAGCCCAGGGGAAAATAAACTTATATAAGATAGCAAATTAATTTTCTATTTTCATTTTTTTTATCTTAATGTGTTCAATATTTATATAAATAATTTATTTCATGGATTTAACTATAATAAATAAATTAATTGTTTGTTTATGAGATTATAAGGAGATACTTAAGAATTGGTTATGTAATTTTGAAGGAGAAATGCAACAGTACATTTAATCAAAAATATACTTAGATTTATTCAGATGCTAGAATTAAAATTAAAATTGTAATTCAAAAATTTTGATCTTAAGAACTAAATGATTAATGTTGAATTAATTGAAGAATATAAGATTTATCTCTAATATTAAACAGGTCCAATTAGTAATTTATTCCCTTTTGAACTAAATAACATTACGGATGTTAACAAGCTATCCTCATAATTATATGATAAAATTGGCTTAATTTTACCAGCAAATTACTTCATAACTATTTCTAAAATAAAGGCAGATGACCTTTTTGTTTATCTCAAAATTGAAAAGAAAACCATTAATAAATTTAAGATTTTATTGAGACTAATATTATCTATTGTTGAAATTATGAAATCAAATTAATTACTACTCAAATTCCATTTAAAAAGATATAAAATTTTTGAATAACCTGATTTAATAAAACCTTTCAGAAATTTTTTATTAATTATCATTTAAGAGATAGATATCGATTACAATTATTTGTTAAGAAATTTATCTAGTTTCTAATAATCTTAAAGTTAATTATTTATTTTCAAACTTTCTTTTGATTATGCTTATATTAATGAAATAAAAGTTCTATTAAGCTATAAGCTTTTGGATTTTGATTTAAACAAAAATATTTTGTAGAAATTATAAGAACTGATGATTAAATAAAATAGATTTATTCTATTGCTTATAGATACAAAATTTTGATAAATTTTTTTTTTAATATTCGAGGTGTGACTAAGAAGATTAATTTCTTATTTCTTTTAATATATAAAGTTATTCTGAAATAATTAAGTAGCTTATATTTAATTTTAAATCAAAACAAGAATTCTGTCTTAGTGTTTTTTATATCTGGACTATTATTTGATATTTATAATTTATTTCCTAAAGAGATTGAATTAATCTCAACTGTTGATTTATAATATCTAAAAAATAATGTGTATTTTTACAAGAGAATTTAGAAATTATTTACAATTCGGATATGTTTAAGATAAATATTAAAAAAATTAAAATTATGAAGTTTTTGTAAAAGTCAACTATTTCAAAGTCTCATTATATTCATGATGTAGAAATTTTATCACAGCATACTTGGGGAATTGATAAACTTTTGATATTTAATTCAAATTTAAAACAAAAGAATTATGAAATTTATTTCTTTAAGCAATTATCATACTCATAATTTGCTATAGAATTTGGTTAATGTAATTTGTCAAGGATATAAATTGAAATTAGATAATATAATTTGGAATTTGATTATCAGCAATAAAATCTATATTAATATTACCTTGAAATATAGATCTATGAATTTTGTTTTATTTTAGAAAAAAGCTGATTAAATATATCGATTTTTTCTACAAAATAGAATTTATTTAATATTAATCATAATAAAAATCTTAAGATTATTATTTATTATCTCAAAAATAACTTGTTAGTTTTTTACACTTTGAATTAAATATACCTTAACAAGGATATTATGAATTTATTTGAATAAAAATTCAATTGATTAAATTTCTAAAAATTAACAGTATTTTTTTTGCTTCCCTTCTTCTTTGTCGCTAAAAAATTACTTTTAATGAGATAAAAATAGGGTTTTTTTAATCATAAATAATTTAAAATAAGATAATTATATTTAATTTGAAATAAGATAATTATATATTATTTATTAAGTTATTAGTGAGTTTAGGCTTAAGTAATTTTATTCTTTCAGTCATGTTACAGATAACTTAAAAGCTAATCAAAAATTATTTAGACTTAATGACAGCCTCTCCGAAAATTCAATTATGGGACTCATTATTTAAAGGTGCACTTCTATTTTAATTTATTTTAAGAACGCGCTTCATTTTCCCTAAAGATGGATGGAATGTTTGGAAATATTCAGATTTCAAATTAAATGTTCCTTACATCTTGTTATCATATTTATATTATGAGATTTCAGACCCTATTAAAATAATATTAATATTAGCCAACATTAGTATATTCATCCTAAGCTTTTATAGAGTTTAATTAGTATTTTATTACAATAACTTATTATGGAAAATATTTTATATACCCCAGGTAGCAATGTTTGCTTACCTATCTGGAAGCATTGAACTTTCAATAATTGGGGTAATAATTCTCTTTTTTATTTTAACTTTTAATTTATATTTTAATAGATCCACAAAATTTATTCATAGTAATCCATTTATCAGAAAATTTACATAACTTACTATAATTAATATTTTACTGGATACAATCTGTTTTATTGACTTAGAATTTCATTTGCTATAATAGATTATGTTAATTTTTTAAGGATTAGCATTATGCTTGGACGTAATTATATTTAAACCTTACCGATTATAATATAATAAATTAGCATTTTAATATAATTTTTTATATTGTGCTATTGTGTTTATAAATTCAATTTCATTGATAACTAAATCAGAAGAAAATATGTTCTACTTTACGATTATTTTTGGAACTCTTGCTTATGCTTTGTCTGATGAATTATATGATAGAAAAGCAGATATAGATTCTTCAAATTAATTTTAGATATTAATTTAATGTTAAGAATTTTATCATTAGGAAAATATATTGCATTACATTAAAATAATATAACATAAAAAGAGTTGTAAAATATCACACAAAACCTAGAATAAGATTGATATTGTAATTTGTTAATTAGAAAATAAAATAGCTCTGAATAAAAAGCTAAAATAAGATTATGAAATATTGGAATTAGCATTAATTCATTTTCTTTGTATACATAAGGCACCATTAACAGCTTTATGTAGATTGAAGCAATATTACAATATATATAAGGATCATTCTATATTTTTTAAAATAACATTTCCTAATTTGCATCATTAATTATGGTCTTCAGTGAAAAAGGTTTAAGAAAATATTAATTAAACAATGAAAGCTGGATCATATCATGATGATAGAATACTATCAACACGAGATATCTATGAAGCAATTTAAATAAGAGATAAATCAATTCCATTAATAATTAGCACAATAGATTTTAAATTAAATTACTGGAGATAATTAATTTCATTAATTAACAATTTTTAGAAACTTTTTTAAACTACTGAAATATTAAGTAAGAAAATTGTTGAATGTAAAAAACAGCTAGAATAATTGTATAAATGTAAAGATTTAGAAGAAATTGAATAACCTAGAACAGTTATTGAAGTTATTATTTTAATAATATATTATGCAATAATAGCAAATGATTATTAATAAGCAATTAAAATGCAAAAAGTAATGAATGATATTTTAAAAACTGAGAGCTTAGCTGAAGGTAAATTGTTAAATGGAAATATTATGGATGATAAAATTTGTTTATTATATTCTAGCATAGTTAAATAATAAGGATAAATTGTTAAAATCAATTCTTAATAAATAGCTTAATTTTGGGGTTATGAAAATGAAATGGATTTTAGAGATATTAAACATATAAATTAGTTAATGCCTGATTTTTTAGCATTAGTACATGATTAATATTTAGATAGATTTAAAAAATTAGGTCATAGTATTTTATTTGGAAAGAGTAGGACTGTTTTTTTGAAAGGAAAAAATAATTTTTTTATTCCTGCTGATATAACTATTGATAATTTTTTTATAAGTTATGATGATTATATAATAACAGCAGCTTTTGCAAAAACTAAAGAAAAGTGTTTATTTTTACTGTTTGATTCTAAAGGAAGAATATTAGGTGTTAATAATTTAATGTTTAAACTTTTAACTTCAATAGATAAGTCTGTTACATAAGATTAATTAACTTAAGGATATATATTCTAGCTTATACCAAAAATATTTATTTTGATTAATGCATATAAAAACCAGGATTCAGATATTAATCAAGAAAATAACATATAATTAAAAATTGGTAATCCAATAAGAGGATAATTTTCAAAATTAATGCAAAGTTCAAAAGGCAAAAGTAAACATTAAATGTATTATGCAGGCATATGGACTACTTTTGATACACATGATTACTGTTAAGCTGGAAAGGAGCCTTAATTTAATTTTGAAATTAATTCTTAAGAATAAACAAAACCTGATTGCGAACTCTTTGATGAAGGTTATTAAGAAAGAATGCTTTAATTTATAGATGATTCAATTTAAACAATTAATTATAAAATTAATTGTTATTTAGAATATTTAGTCCTTGGATATTATAAAGCTATCCCTTTATTTACATTAGAAATAAATGATATAATTATTTAAACAACAAAAGAAGATGATGAAGATATTAATTCAGAAGATATGCTCAATAATATAGAGTTATCTGATTTAGATAAATCAAGCCATCTTGTTTTAAGCTCAATTCAAGATGAAAGCTTTTAAAAAGTTAAAATTGAAGAGAATGAAAAATTATAATAATATCCAGAAGTATCCTTAATTAGAGGTAGATATGATTAATCCTTTTTTGATTAATTATAAGATTCTTCAAGACAAATTTTAGCTCCTTTTTCTTAAAGAGCCACATTTAATCTTATTAAACATAAAAGTATAAACGATGATTCTAAGTATTTGGAAGAAGATTTTAAAATTATTAAATAATAGTAAGAAATTAGTTATGATTAAAAGAATGTTGAACTGTAATAATATTCTAAACATAAAACTGTTTTAGATTAATTATAAGAATAGAAATCTTCGGAAGATAAAAACTATTAAGTTAATTGTTAAAAAGATATTTAAGCTGTTAATTCAGTTGGATCAATCGCTAGAAGATCTAAAAATCATCATCATGAATTATTGAAGTAAAAATCTCGTTCAAAAGTGATGCCAATTTAATTAAGTTTAATTTTATTGATCGATCTATTAATAGTGTTAAGCATAATTATATTTAATATTTTCCTAATCTTTACTCTTTATTAAAAAAAATAAAATAGTCATAATTTACTAATTGAACTATAGGCACCATATTTATACAATAGTTATTATTGCGAATTAACTTCTCATGACTTAATTTATAAATTAGCAGAAATTAAAAATATTGAATTTAGTGAAGATTTACTTAATACTATAAAAAGTAGATTTAATAAAATTCAATATTTATAAAATATGTCTAAATTTTATGAGGTATTTTCACAAATTGAAGAAGAAGATGATATATTGAACTAAAATATTTCTTTACATTATATTGATTCAAAAGATAATAATAATATGACTTTTACTTACTTTTACAATTAAATTACAATATTTTTTAATATAATAATCCAATTCTATTAAGAATACAATGTTAAAAATTTTGATGATTATTTCTTTTAGCAATCCTTATTTTAAACATTAAATTTAAATGACAGTTCACAACTTTTTAGACTATTGTTGCGACAATTAATTGATAAATTTTACGATGATATAGATAAAAATGATGAATTCATTATTAATTTATTTATCATTTAAACTATTTTATAGTTTTCTCTGATATTGATTTAATTTTTTATCTTATTAAACCTTTTAAAAATTTATCGAAAGATAATTAATTTGAATTGTAGATTATATGAAAAGGATGTATTTATAGTTATATAGAGATTGCAAACAGCTTAAGAAATATTACGAGATAAGTATTCTTAAAATTGGAAAAAGGCTGATTACATTCAACTTGTTTACTAACCCTTAAATGAATAACAAACTGAAAATGTTAAAAATGGAAAATAAAATAAGTCTACTTTATTGTCTTCTCGATTATAGCAGTAAACCTTTAATATTTATACAACATCAGCATTTTTGCTCTTTCTTTTATTAATTATTTTGTTAATTAACATAGGGGGGTTCTTATTAAATTCTTAGAAATAAAAATTGCTAAAACCATCTTTTTTATTAACAGCAGAATTTCATCATTTTACATTATAAGTAGATTCTATTGTGAGCAATGCTATGCAAGTAAAAAGTTAGAACATAATCTTAAGTAATAATACGTTGACAAATAAAGTAAATTAAAAAATTTTAGCTTAAGCCATAAATTAATTTCAAGTTGAAAAATATCAGAATTTAAGTTATTTTAGAAAATTGGTTAAATCTTTTCAATAAAGTTAAATTTAGATGATATCAATTCTCATCAAAGATCCTAATATTAATCCTTCTAGGGCTGGAATTTTGAATGATTTATTTTTCCAAGATTTGTGTCCAAAATATTGTCCAAATTCTAGTAACGTAAAGGATAATTGCACATATCTTTATAATAAAGGATTGATAGGGATTTACACAAAAATGTCAAATTTCATAACAACATCATATAGTTACGAATTGGAAGAAGAAAGAATAGATCCTGATTTTTTAGCTTCTATGTAGATTTTGAATTCAGTTGATTTTAATTAAATTTTTGGAAGGTATTACACCAATACAAAATTAGCTTTTGAAGAATTCGGAAATGAAATTTTGGATCTTACAAAGGAATAAATAGAAGAGAATTATGAAGTGATACTTATTTATTATTCAATAACTGGTTGGTTTACTTTATTTATTGTAGGATTAGCCTTAATTTATTTTGCAAAAATGTAGTAGTAACAAATGAACCTGCTAAGGTTATCCTTAACAGTAATACCCATAGAATTGATTGATTAATAAGCAATTAATATTCTTCGTTAAATATGAAATTTAATTATTAATTTATTTAAAATTTTTAAATAAAATATCTGTAAACACTAAGAGAATAAAGTTCATCAATTCAAGACTCATAGTGTTCATAATTAACTTATAAATAATGATGAAATATTATACATTACTTATGATTAAGTGATGAATGATCCGTTCGCTGATATAAATATATATTTTTAAAATTTATTAAATGCCCAAAGACGCTAGAGGAAAAAATAGGAAATGGGGAAATCATAAGGATAGATAATTCTAATAAGTCAATGAGGGTGAATTGATCGAATAATTGAAAAATCAACCCTAAGAAGATGAAGAAGATGATGAGGAAGTTTAATAATAACAATAAGAAGATCAACCTTAAAAAGTTTAATAATAAGAAGATCAACCTTAAAAAGTAGAATAAAAAGAAGAAAAAAAGAAGAAAAACAAAATGTAAACTTAATTTTAACATAATTAGAAGAGTGACTGCTGAAGGAGTTCCAAAACCAAAAAAATAAAAGAGAAATCTTGATATGCCAGAATCAGATGAAGAAGACGAGTCACAATATTATTGATGTAATATATAGAAGATTAATATTATACATAATTAAATTGCCACAAAAATATTATCTAAAGAATTGTTTATGTGTATTATAACATTATTTTATGAACAAAAACAATTAAATTATTCTAAAAATTAATATCTATTGTCTAAAATAAACTAAAATGAATAAAGTATATATATAAATGCAATTGGATTATTCATTCGAAAAATACTTCATATGCTCTCATCACTCTTTGATACATAGTTCTGTACATAACTTAATCTTCTGAATAGTTCTTTTTTCTTAATTCAAAAAAAGCTGTATAATTGACTAAAGTAGAATCAGTATGTGAAAATACTGAGTCAAGAGTTAACAAAATAAATAGATCATCAATAAGTACTAAAGTAGGTAGAAGCTTATGTAATGAATCTAGATTATTTCTTATTTTCACAATTTCTGGAAAAAGCAATTTAGCCAAACCTAAACTTAAATCATAAAGAACTTTAAAAAAATTTTTATTACATTCGAAATTAGAACTCATGAATTCTTTATTAACATTCAATCTCTAAAATGCTTTTTCATTCATTTATTAAAACTATTATAATTATGCTTATGATGAATTGTAAACATATTGTTAAGTGATATGTAGTTCTTTTTCAAGAGCTTTTTTAATTTTTTCTCGATCTTACCCTTCAGTAAGAAAGTTTTCCCAATCTGTCTCATTTACACCTATAGGATTAGTTATGTCCCAACATAAGTAATATTTTAAAATTTTATTAACCTCCATCCATTCCATTAATCCTCGATTAATTATAAGTTCAAATTTATTTAATCCAAATCTTAATGATTTTAGATGATCAGAAATATCTACTTTACTTTTTTCAAATATTAACTTATTTGATAAAGTTAATTCATATTCTTTAAGTCTTTAAGATAACAATCTTAAGAACATGCATTTTCCTTTTTCAAAAGTGAGCCTGCTAATTAATTTAGAAAAGATTTCTTCATTTTTTCTTTATTTTTCAGCTTAATCAATAACAACAGGAGCATTTTCTTAAAATTTTTCTATTTATTATTCAGAATGTTCATTCATTTCAAAATCAAAATCATCAATTTTAGCATCATTAATATCAACAGAATCATCTTATGGTTCATGATATTCAAATATATTTAATCCCATCTCTTTTAATAATTTATTTTGAAATAAAGGACAAGCAAATAAATCATTCCAATCAATTCTATCTTCTTCCCTATATCTCATCATTTATACAATAATTTATTATAATGGTTAAGAAACTTACATCCCAGTTTTTGGAAATTCAATAAAATCTCTTTTCATCAATTCCATAAGTTTAATTTCGCTTGCATAAAATTCTTTGTATGGATATTTTTTAAAACACATAAAATAAAGAGTTGCTCCTAAACTCCAAATATCACATTTGTCAGTATAATCACCTAAACTATTAGAAAGAAGATACCTAATATAACTTATGGAGCAATAGTTGCTCTAGTTCCTAAATAAGAATGTAATTAAGTTTTTGAATTATGTTATTTGGCAAATCCAAAATCAGCAATTTTTAATACTCCTTTTCTAATAAGTATATTTTCAGGTTTAACATCTCTATGTATAATTTATTTGCTTCTAAGATATTTAAAGCCATTTAAAATTTCTCCAAACTTATATCTGATTTCAGGTTCAGTGATATCTTTATTCTCCTTAATAAATTCAGAAAGAGACTAAGATCATTAAAAAATATATTTACACTTTACCTTTTCATTGCAGAGTTCCATCACCATATAAATAACATTCTATAATTTCTTAACATCATATAATTTAACAATATTTGGATGTTTCAATAATTTTAAAGCACAAATCTCTTTTCTGACAGCATCTAAAGTCATTTTTTCTCTATCACTCATTAATGCCATATTTTCAGGTAGCTCCATCTTCTTTATAGCACATTCTTTGTCATTTCCTTTATTTTATCTATGAACATTAAAAATAAGCATAATACGCTTAAAAATTGAATCCTCTATAAACTTTACCAAATGCACCTTCACCAATAACATCATCAGGATTATAAAAATATTTATCCAATAATATATAATTTTTGCCATTTAATTCCATAGTCTGTAATTTTTAGGATTTACTTTTCGATTTCTCATTACCTGATTATTATTAATTTGACATTTATATTTTTAACAATCAAATGTATGATCATCCCTAAACAGGTTTAATGGAAGCTCATTCATTCAATTTAGATTGTTTATCATAAGATATTCAACAAATCAAACAAACATTATAAGGTTGGACATCAATTTTCGGTCAACTAATGGAAATCACAATCGAAACCCATAAGTAGAATCAATACAATGTAAATCAATAATCTCTATATATTTTAGGCATCTCTATTGTAATAGTTAATATAAACTCAATAACGTAGACATAAACATTCCTAACCTAAAGATCAAATTAAATTGTCTCCCATAAGACCAAATAAAACAGAACCAGATGAAATAATTAGGCCAGAAAACTTTTCTAAAATATTTAATAACCCTAAGAAAGTAATCAAATAATCATTATCTTTTAGATTTCTATAATGTAGCTTCAAGGAACACCATTTGATTCAGCATTTGAAAGTATCAATAAAGAACTTGAAGAACCTTACAGAGAAGATCAATATCTTTCTGTACCTAAATCTATGTAGATGTCAGTTGATTTAAACAAATAGAAGAAAAATCAATAGATTGAATTGTAATAACCTTAGAGTGCAAAAAATACTTATGAAAATAAGCAATTTGCTTTTAATACTAAAGTTACACGATCTTAAGATATCAAAGCAAATAAAGAGAATCATCAACATCATTTTTCTATGAATAGACCAGATTCTAAACGTACTCTTGATTAACCATAATTATCAACGGTTGTTGAAGAAAATTAATCCCCTTGTATGAGTCCATATGAAAATAATTTTAGATGTATTTCTTCTTTCTATAATAGATTCTATTGCTTAATCACATAGACAATATGAATAATGTAGTACAGCTAAAACATCCTAAAATAGTTAGAGGCCTTTAAATTATTTCCAATAATAATAATAAATCTTATCAGAAAATAATAGATCCTCATCTAAATCTTGCTATGGAAATTAATAAGCTTAAGTACTTTCCAATAATAATAATATAATCAACTAATAATAATAAACTCCATAACAAACAAATTAATAAAACCCATTTTTAAATAATCTTAATAATGCCAGCACTAAAAATACTAAATAAGTACCTACTTCTAATAGTAATATTCCATTTAAATAGTAATTTGAAATTATGAACCAAGTAAGTTATATTAATAATTTAGATTTCCAATTAAAGAGCTAAAAGTTATAGTGAATAAAATTGTAAAAAGTAGTTGAGCAAACGTTGTTTAGATATTGATCTGTTTGATAAACAATATGAGACTAGTTAGGAGTTAATTTGGAAGGCTTAAAAGACAAAAAAGTGATTACTATTATATAAATAAATTTAATAATATTTAATATTATATTTAATATTATATAAGAAGTAGAAAATGAATTGAATAGACAATATTTTATTAATTTGTCTACTATTAAGTTGAGGAATGAATATGTAAAGAAATATAATTTATTTATAATAATTTAAAACAATAATAATAATATAAAAATGCCTGTACCTAATAGTTCATATCCTATACCTTTAAGAACAGTTCTCAAAATAGCTCCAGTTTGTATGGTACTTACAACACTTGGAACATTATTGCCAGTTTGTTTATATGATATTCTTTATCACTCACATGAAAGAATAGATAAATTCTTTTGGAGATCAAGTAGATTTGAACGTTTTATCAGATGCAGAGACATGAAATTGCGTACATTTTGGTATGAAGCAATGGAATGGTAACCTACTGGCAGAGAAAGCTTTATTTCTACTAGACCATAAGTAGCTGATCCATGATAGAAGTGAATAATAAAATCATAGAATAATAATAAATGTTCATTATGTGTGTAATTTCTCATTAGCCCTTTATTTAAATCCATTAAAGTCCCATTTTGTTTCTACTCTTTCTGGCTCTTCTATATGTGTACCTTAAGCATCAACATATGCCAATTAAATAACATCATGAGCTCTGCAATCTCTACAGAATAAAACCTATTTTCATTGAATTCATTATTACTTTGAAACATTCTCTTATTACTTATTTAGCCTAATCAAGAGAGCAATTCTCATTCCAATAATTGCTTATTATAGCTTTGCAGAAATAACTTGCAAATCCAGTCGTTATGAATTTTGATTCTAAATAAGTACCATATATATCAACAAGTGCTAAATATCTATCATTATTATGAAATCCCTAAATATTTACAATCATTTTATACAGCTATGACATTCTATAAATATAAAGGATTTATTTTGCATCTTTTTTTATAAGAAAGTCTTGCCAAATAATTACCATAATCTTTTGGAGAAGGATGAACTCCATCATCATATTATAAAGCTGATCTATCAATTTTTGCTAATTCTTTCACAACTTGTTAGAAATCAGAAAATTCACCACTCGATACATAAATTGTGTTTTAGGATATTTAAGCAATCTTTTAGACATTTCTATTTCAATTATACTTATTTTATACTTGAATGCTGCCATGCTTCCATAACTACAAAGAGTATCTGTCCCAACTAATACTCCTCCATTGTAAACCAAAGCAATTACACTACCTCCTGTTACAACCGGAGATGTTGTATGTTCATATTGGCCAGAGATTTCAGAATTGAAAATCATGTTGTATATATTTAAAAAAATAATACCGATGTTGTATTAATTAATTCATAAAAAATCGATTTCGTATTTTTGTTTATAAAACTCTTAAGAATCAAAGAAATATTCTCGTAACTATTTTGGTCTATAATTTATTTATATTATGAATTTTTCGATATGGATATAAATAGATATATTAAATATATTAAGAATTGTAATTAAATTACAAGATAATCATATTGGTTGCAATTATAATAATACTTTTTAATTCTATCTTTTCAAAACAAACTCAAGAAACAACCTTTTAGATAACTTTAGAAATTTATCCTGGTTTTATCCTATATATATTATTTACAATAAGTTTGAGATTTTTGTTTGTCATCTATGATTCAAATAATGATGTATAAATTTTATGATATTCTAATAATTTCCCAATATTAAGATTAATAGTATGTTCTTTGTTTTAATATATCTATTTGAATACTCAACTCTTTTCAAATAGATATTTTTCTCTTAAATGACTTTCATTATTTGTATCATCTTTTTATTGGATTTATAATTTGATAATGCATTTATATGTTCAGGTTTGTCATTAGCTTTTGTTTGTATAGTAATTCACTTGTTCAAAGTATGAATTGATTTTATTAGATAGACAGATATATTGTATCAAATTGAGGAATATCCTTTGATTTCTTGTTTAAATAGTCATATTATACATAGATCTTTAAATTATTGTTTAAATTCATTGAGGCATTTTCAGGAGAATTTCTAATTTTTAATAATTTTGATATTTTATTTTGATATGGAAAACAACTTCTTAAAATCAATCATTACAGAAATCTTACCAAATACAAAGAGAATGCTAGAAAGAAAGTAAAAGTAATTGGAGGAAGAAGAGAAAAAAAAAGAGAGGTATAATTATAATTGATATAATAATATCGTAAGAGTCGTCATAAAGAATATAAGCAGAGATATAAAAGAAATAATAACAAATGAAGTTGGAAAAAGAGAGATTAAAGAAATAAGAGGAAGATAGGAAAAAAGAAGAAGAGAAAAGGAGTTAAGAAGAAATATAATAGATGAATACCTTAAAAGGTGAATATGATAATATGATGATCGATTTGGCAAGTGGGGATTCTAAATTGGATTATAAAATATCAGGATTAGATTTGAGACCAACTTAAATTAGAGTTTTAGTAAAGGTTACAGAAAATAATAATACATTAAAAGGATTGTCAATGAGTAGGAAATGTAGCTGATGAGGAAGGATAAGAGATAGCAGTAAGTTTAGAGAAAAATATGGTCTTAGAAAGGTTAATCTTTAAATCTATATTAGTTTAGAACTAGAAGGTAATCAATCATCTTGGACCAAAGACTTTGATTGCCATTTCAAAATTATTAGAGTTTAATAAATCTATTAAAGTAATTGATTTAGAAAATAATAATCTAACAAACTATGACAAAGATAAAAATACCTATGATTATAGTGGAATATAGACAATGTATAAGGCTCTTTAAAAAAATGATACTCTCTTAGAATTGAATCTATGTAACTGCAAATTAGATGAAAAATGTGGTGATTTTATATCAGCTGCTTTAAGAAATAATACAAGTTTAATTTGTTTAGACATTACTGAAAATCCAAAAATGAGTTTAAATGATGTTAGAAAATGCTAGGATTATTTAATTAGAAACAAAAAGATTTATGATGATGAACGATATAGAGAATTCCAAGAAAGATAAAGAATTAGAAATGAAGATTAAACTTCAACTATTTAGATGTAAGATAAAGAAAAAGCTATCACAGCTTAGGAAGGTATTGAATAAAGGTTATAAAATGTATTATTTTAAGAATGAATGCTAGAAGATTTGAACTTGAATAACAATGGAAAGAAGAATTAGACAAGGAGGTTAAATTAAAAGAAAAAACTGTTCACAATTTAATGAAATAAGCTAAACTACTTGGTAAGAAAAAAGGCAAAGGAGGAGGTGCAAAAAAAAAGTGATATTTATTCATAATTTATTATCTAATCATTTTATAATATAATTAAATTTAAATAGGACTTAAATGATTTTTAAGTTTCAATAAGAGAATTTCAAGTTTTATTTGAATTTGCTTGATTTATTTAATTAGTTTTGTTTAGTCTAAAATTATGGATTTTCTTGTTGGATTTTCTCATAATCCTAATTTAGTTTATTGAATTCCCTCTAGTACAGTATTTGATATGATTCTAGTAAACTCATTGCATTTTAAAGTAAATTTAGTACTGAATCATAACAAATTTTTTAGAGGGAACAAACTTTTTTTATACAATCTTTTATACAATAATTTTAATAGTCTTTGTATGTATTGATTTTGAATCACTTATACTCTTCTATTTTAAAGATGACTTCTACATTATTTATAAATTATCTTACATGTAAATATTTTAAATATCAAATGAATTTTTATGAAAATGAAAGGTTTTACTTGAATTAATATGAATTGAAGATCGAATTTAACATTTACGATACTTTTCACTTAATCAATTAAATTTTTTGATTTGATTATTTCTCTGTTATCTTGAGTCAATTTAGAAATCTTTTAGAGTTTGTGAATATTTTTCAAGTAAGGATAATTTAGAGCTTACAAATTCTTAACTTATTAAGGATAGTTAGACTAACATTACCATTATCTATTCAAAATAAATCTTATATTCTTCATCTAATTACGTTTTAGAAGCCATTTCTGAATCTTTATGTAAATTTGATTATTTTTTATTTTAAAGTCTCTCAAATAATATCTATGTTTTTTAACTTGATTCATCAAATTAACAATAATAGTAGTATTATTAATTCAAGACTGATATTTTGTATTATTATAATAAAAAATGTCCAAATTTTAAAAAAATTATTTTAGATATTTTAACCTTTATTTATTGAAAAATGAAAGTCTATTTAAATTATAAATAACAATCACCAATTATTAATCTGTCAAAATGAACAGGAAAATCTTAGAATTTTGTATAGAGTTACAGCCAAAATATATCGTTCAAAAAAAAGCTATTCATAATTAAGAAATTTGAAATTGCAAACTCAAGCTTATACTAACTATAATTTGTTCAATTAGTAAAATCTTCAGATGATTCAGTAAACTGATTAATTGATGAATTTAAGATGTAACAAAATTTATTTAATTTTTTCTTATCATTTTTCCTTTGAAGAGAATTTAAACTTCATTAAATAGTTCAGATCAAATATTTCAGCATCATCTTTTCGTTTTAAAGGATAATCGCTTCCATTTGAAATTCCATAAATTTACTATGATAATTTGATTCAAGTAGTATAATTACCTTTTATTTAAACCATTCAAACTTCTTAAATTTAAACATTAAAAACAATGCTGTATCATTAAATAACTCTAATGTCATTTCAGTATAATATTTTTAATCATTTTTTTGACTATTTAGATTCTATAGTTACATCAACTATTAAAGTTTTTAATTTAAAATGATGAAAAAGTGGTAAAAATCATTTTTTAGTATTTTTTTAGGTGGAATTAACGGCTCTTAAGTTTTTGTTAATAGAAACTATTATAAAAATAATTATAAATTCAATCATAGCCCTTGAATGATTTAAGAATTTTCATTTAATAATCTTAACATACATCAAATCAATTTATACTTTCATTACTAAGACTATTTCTATAATTTAGATCTTTTTTTATTATTCTTAGTTTATATTCCAATTAAAAATATAAAAAATATAAAAAATGTTTTACGACTTTATGCCTTAAGTTCTAAAGAAATAGTTTCCTTTGATTTTAGCATTCTTAATCCTACTCATTTACTTAACTTTTGTTTACTTTGTTTTTGTGTAAATTTCAAAAAGTAATCGACAACAATATCATTAGAAACTTTAATAGAATGGGTTATTTTTTATATGGGTACTTTTAGTGTTTATATGATATTCTGGTCACTATATAAAGCTTCAACTATTGAGCCAGGGTTCATTCCTAAAAATACAATGGTAGAACACGATGAAACATAACCATAAAATTATTGTTTGTCATGTAGAATAAGGAGACCAGAGAGATCTCACCATTGTTCTAAATGTTAAAGATGTATTCTAAATATGGATCATCATTGTATTTGGACTTCAAATTGTATTGGTTTATACAATAGGAAATATTTCATACTCATTCTATTTTGGGGTTCTTTAGGAATGTTTTTAGCATCAATATTTGGATTAATCAATTTATCTGCTCTTTGGAATAAAATTTGGGAGTATGACTCTTTAGATTTCAATAAAGTCTGGGCAGGTTTCATATTTTTTATAGTATTTTCGTAATTCTTCAATTCATTTGGATTATATTATTTTTTTTGGATTAATTTCAAATTAATAATAATCAATATTGGCACGCTTGATTAATTAATATTGGAAATCGAAGCCCAATCTAAACGAAAATATGTATTATTCTAATCATATTATAGAGTCGTAATGATTTAACAGTATATGATTTAGGATTTTGGTACAACTTTTAATTTTATTTTGGAAAAAATCCATTTCTTTGGTTGATACCAGTAGGAATACCTTTAGGAGATGGATATCATTGGGATAAAAAAGTAAGCTCGAGGGAGATGTCAGGAAAAGATTTAAATATTATGGAATGAAAATTAATATGTTTATTGGGAAGCTCAAATATTATAATTTTAAGAATCAATTCGATATTTAAGTAAGTTTTAATGTCAAAATTTTTTAAATTAATTTTTTTTTCACTTAATTCCTCATTGCCGCATTTAAGATTCTTTTAATTTTATCTTTATTAGAGTTTTGTTTTTATATTTTAAATACTTGTAAGATAATAATAACATGATATCTAAAAAAATAAATCAATAAGCTAGAAATTGAATATGAAAGTATTTCATGAATTTGTTCTAAATCACTTTATATATTAATCAAAACAAACAGAAACTAACGAATGATCATTAAATAAATTCAATACTATTATATATTTATTTAAAAATATAAAAACTAACTATTTAGAAGGTTTAGAATTTATATATAGATACTAGTTAGATTTATCTTCAAAATTCAAATTAAATTTTAAATTTTAAGATTTCTTTTAATATTAAACCAATATTCCTATTTAATTTTAGATGAATGAATTAATTTATAAAGCTACTGTAATAATTTTTTTCAAAAGATTATTGTAATAAGATAATTTCTAAATATTAAAAATTAATTATAATCTAAGAATTGAATTAATGATGCCCAAAAATAACTGAGTATTAATTTATTTCTCTTATCGAATAACTTTACAGTTTCTTTGACAAAATGATTTTTACGTTTTATCTTTAAGAATTAAGAGGAGAGGGTATATTATTACTAAACATCATATACTAATAACAATTTAATTAACTTCAAGACTTTTCAATTCTTGTTATATATCATTGTATGTTTTGGATTTTTCTTATTTAGAAATAATGAGTTTATTGAATTTTATATAAAGATTTTTGGAGCTGATAATAATTAACAGCAATTAAGGTTTATATTAAAAATTTGATAGTGATGGTATAAAATAATGTATAGGAAATTCAATTAATATCATCTTACATAAATTCTTTTTTGCTATGGATGGTTTATATTACTATCTTCATTAACATTCTTAAAATTTTATTACTATTGCTTGGACATTTGATAATTAATAACTTTAGAATTATTATTTTATAGCGGATGAGGAATTTATTGTAATTCAGTTCTTTAATGAAATTATCTATTGCTTTATTCACTATTATCAAGATTTACCGGGGAGGTTGCATAATGTTAAGCTTTAGAATCTAAAATAGCTTATTGTTCATCGAAAATATGTTAATCTCTTTCTGATTTTAATCTTTCTTCTAAGATTTATTCATAAAATGTGTCTCCCCAGTCTCTTTATCCATTCTCTCTTTTGCCTTATTGTAGCATTTCAATTTTTTACAAAACATTTCCTTCTCTTGCTATTTGTTTGAATTCTCTTCTCCACTTAATAATTTTATCAGTTTCAGTCGAATAAAATTCATGTAAAATAGCATTAATAACCAAATCAAATATAAATACTACAGAATTTAGTAATGCAATAATTAGATAAAAATTTGGAGATTGAATTAAGTAAATAGGAGTAAATTCTGAATAAGTACCTCTAAAAAAGTTGGAGATAAAGAAGTAAGCAATATAAATTCCAATAGATAAAAAGAGAAGGGTAACTACATTAATACAAGTCCAAAATTTAGTGTAGATTGCAATTTTAAAATCAACAATCTAATAAATAAAATAAAATAAGATACAAATATAATAGCAGTGTAAGCTGTGATGGAAAGGGTAGCAAAACCAGCATTTTATCCATTGATATTAACTAATTCTGTGTCAAAACACGCATAAGTAATAAAAAAAACTAATAAGCCATGTACAAATCCTTAACCCCACCAAAATATGAAATTTGATAAAGTAAAAATTGTTTATTTTTAACCAACTTAATAAAGATATGGAAATTTGCCTTTGAGATATAAAGTCGATTTTTTATAGATATCTGAGTATTCTTCATTTCTTATATTAATTTTATAATAGACACTTCTATCTAAGGTTGCTCTTGCAATTAATGGAAGTGAAGTAAAAAAGAGATTATAAAATGTGATATACCAATCATCAAAATAAGTTTAAGCACTGTAAGCACTGTAAAAAGAATATAAAAATTAAGGTATAGTGAATATCATATTCTTATAGAAAAAGTAGAGAATCATTTCTGAAATTCTAATATATGACCAATTACCATGAATTAATAAAAGTTTCCATAAAAATCTGAATTCTCCTAAAGCATAATCACTACTTTAAACAGCTCTCATACCTTCATTACCATATAAACCTATCCCAATATGTGCTTCTTATATCATATTTACATCATTAGCACCATCTCCTATAGCTAATGTAATTTTGTTTAAGTCTTTAACTAAATGAACTACTTCTGCTTTTTGTTTAGGAGTTACTCTACAACATACAACACTATCACAACCCATAGCCATTTTTGTAAATTCTCTCTTTAATTATTAATTGCCAGTCAAAATAAGTAAGGATTCACCTTCAACCAATATTGATTTCTTTTTCTTCTCTTTTATACAACCTTAATATGTTAATTTATTTTCTGATAATTAAACTCTTAATTTATTAAGATCTGTTTCCGAATATTTCATTATTATAAAATCACTCTATATTAACTTACAACTTTTAGCAATATTTTCAGCAGTCTCTAATTTATCTCCTGTAAGCATCCAAACTTTGATATTTGCTTTTAATAGATCTGCAATTGTTTCAGGAACCTCCTCCTGTAACTTATCTTCCACTGCTGTTGCTCCTAATAAATATAAATCTTTTTCTAAGTTATTTGCTAACTCTTCTTTTTCTTATTCTCTTTTATCTGATGAAGCCAAAGCTTCCTTTTATCTCTCAAATTCTAAATATTCTTATTCTGATAATATTTTCATTGCCATCAACAAAGTTCTCAATCCAATAGTACTAAACTCTTACAATTTATTTTAAATAAATCCTAAGAATGGTTAATCTGGCCTTAATCTAGCTTTAATTATGCTATCTGCTCCTTTTATATACAATTTATAAATTCCATTATCTCTGATAATAACACTCATTCTTTTTCTATTAGAATCAAATTCAAATTATTGTAAAAGTTCAACTTTTTTTTATTTTCCTAAGATTGTAAACTATATTTAATTTATATCTTACATCCTATTCATTTGCAGATTATCCTTCAAATCTAAAACCTAAATTCATTGCCGCATCAACTAATGTGATTTCATCTGGAGAAGGTCCTTAATATGTAATTTAAGAGTTTTTGTCTTTCTATGCAATGCATTCATGAGCACTACTAAGTAACATTAAGTATTCATCAATTAACTACTTTTAGGTTCTAATTTCTAGACTTACATTTTTATCATTTGATTATATAATTAATTATCTCTATTAATCTGCTTATCTTTAACAATCTGCATTACCTTCAATTATTCCTGTTAATATATGATCCTAAAAATTAAAAATTGAATGTTTAAATTATGAAGGATCATGTTGTACATTATTATTTGAATTTGCTGTTGTTACATTGTTATTTTTATCACTTTTCCCATACAATATGTCTCCAATTATACAATATTTAAATTCCATTTAATTACATGTCAGTGTTCCTGTCTTATCAGAGAAAACATATTCAACTTAACCTAATTCTTCATTTATTGTAGATGTTTAAGCTCTTGCAAATTTATCTCTTTTTTAAGAGTACATATCTTAATCTTTATTTATGAAATAACATTAGAAAACTTTAACAAATTCCATTGAAACTACTAAAGAAATTGGAATCATAGTATTGTAAAGTAAAAAGAATGAAAAAAAGGCGATTGATGATAACAAAGTATAATTTTTTTCTTCAAGAATTATATAAATATGTTAGCTGAATGATTTATGTAACCACCATGAACACAAAATAGCTGATAAAGCACATGCTATTATTTATACACCTAATATTCCCAATATTAATTTATTCATTGTATTCTCAATACTACTTTATTTTATTCTAGAGGGTTCTGCATTCCTCATTATTTTAGTATCTTCTCCTGTATAAACTATAACCCCTATTATAAATTTTGTGTTTCTTAAAAATGCCCCTCTCAATAATAATTACTTTCCATTCAAAACTCTTGATAATTATTTACTCTATACTTTTTTGATCCATTTGGAAAATGAATTGAACCTTCAAAATCCCCTAGTACAGATGTTGGAGGATTACCTTGAGCTTTCAGTTATTCACTTTTGTTCAAACTCATTTAAATCTTCTATTCCTTCTCTCTATACTGAAATAAGGTTTAAGTCTCTTTTATTGCAGATTTTGGTTTAAGATTCTTTTCGCCATCTAATGATGATGTTTCAATGTAACAAGCCCCACTTTCAAAATGGCTGCTTAAGACTATAATATCTGCTGGAAACATCTCATTTTCAGAGATAAATAATAAATCACCAACTTTTAGATCTGCCCAAGTTGTTTTAACTTTTCTATTATTCACTATTTTTGTACAATCCATAGCATTTACTTCGTTATCAGATTTATGTCGACTAATATCTTCCATTGCTTTTTTATCAAATTGATAATTTACCTTCTCTTATCATTGATAATCCTAATACAAATACTAGTGGAGCTATTGCTGATATTGGATTTAAGGGTGATATAATTGGAAAACTTTGAATTATGGCAATAAACAAAAAATAAATATTTGCATATCTCCTAAATTAACCCAACAAAGAAAGTGGTAAGAATGTTACAATATTATATTTAGATGTCTTAATAAAATTTGTTGGAAACACTTCATTCTCTGCATTTCCTGTTACATCAATTGCAAATATTCTTTCCTTATCGTATTTATGTTTATTGGATTTAAACATTTAACTTAATATTTTAAAAACTATGAATATAGATCAACTATTAATTAAAATCATTCACTCTAAATTCTTCTTCTGCTTTTTGGCTTTACTTGATCAATTTATTTTTACAATTCAGCATTCTACTCTTGAAGTAAAGTTAATTCTTAATCTAAGTTTACTTTAGCAAAATTAATTAATTATTAAATATCTGGTCTCTGATCAGGAATCACTGATACCATTTTTTTGATTTATTATTTCAATGATACTGAATAATATGATAAATTATCGAATTTCTGTAAAACCAAAGAACTAATCTAACTTAATTCTTTTTCTAACATTAATTCCATAAGTAAAACCCCTAGCTAATAAATATCTGATAATTTGCTCTTTATTTTTTCAGGGGCAGAATGAACTGTATTATTTGAATATCCATAATCACTTAATTTATACTTCATTTGTTTGCTTAGCAATACATTTCCACCATGAATATGTAGATGTGGTTAAGGGAAGTTTTATAAGGCTTCACAAACATCTACTATTATCTATCGAATTTCTGATTCGTAAACTCTTTACATAAGTCTTTACTTTAAAGAATACTCACAATGTTCCATTATTATATACAAAAATCCTTAATGTTGATAACAGCAATTAAATTGCACTTGTCCATCCAATGTCAAAGTTTAAATATTATCCTCCATTGGTACCTTTTTTGCTGCATAATACAATCCATCAACTTTTGATAACACTTTAAAAACTACTCCCTTTGAACCTCTTCCTATTTGATGTATCACTTCAAAATCTCCTGTGAATTTCGATAAGTCAGCTCTAAATTTTCTTGTTTTCAAAAATTTATTATTATCTCCTATTATTTATTATTGACACCCTGAAAAATCATGAAACACCTCTGAATTGAACCTTTAAAGTGGTAAATTTCTAGAAGCCTGAAAAGGTGATTGCTGATCATCATCGCATAATAAACTTTAAGATTTACTAAATATCATATATCAATCGTATACAATAATTAAAGATCAGAAGGTATTTCATATTACAATAATGGGCTGCGTTCAATATCCATTAACACTTTCTGAATGTAATTTTCTTCAAAAGGATGCACTTTTGGCGGAGAAAACATTAAATTAATAATTGTAATAAAATATTGGCTTATGTAAATTCAATTAAATATAATACCATTACAATTTAATATATTTTTAATATACCTCTATCATTTCCATTTATATTATTTTTAAAGAAAAATTTGAATTTAAACAAAAAAAATATTCTTAATTATTTTGAGAATCCTTATTAAATGAATATACATCTGATCAATTTTAAATATGATCTTCTAATATACTTAACAGTATAGTATTAATTATCTATTTTATTAATTTAAAAAATAAGAATTTATTTATTAGACAAATTAGAATGAGTTATTTTAATACTTTATCTATGAATTAATGCTTATATTTTATGATAAAAAATCAATCTTAAGAGCTCTTATTTTTTCAGATTATAAATATAAATTTTAAGAAACAAATATCATTAATGATTATATTTTCATTTCATTTCCAAATAGAGAATTTTTGTAATTTCTAAGGAGTCAACAAGCCTAGATTTTCAAAATTTTATTCTATAGTCTTCAATAAAAAGAATGTATAATTAAGACTTAATCTTGAGTTGATGAGAATAATAGTAAAGGTCTATTTTTAAATATGAAAATAAATATTGTAAATTAATAAATTAAAAATCAAATACATGTATTAGATGAATTGGATTTAATCAAATATTAGAATATCAATCATATAATTTTAATTGTTTTAGAAATCTCGAATAGTGATTTATTAGGATTTCTGTGTTTAGGCTATGATCTTTAATGTATTCGAGAGAAGGGTTTTGTTGATGAAATGAAAGATTATTATTTAACCATTTAATTGAGTTGAAAAGTAACATCATTAGGATCCATATAATCAAAATTTTTAACAAGGTCTAATGTTGTAACTTTTAAATTATTTAGAAAAGGGTCTTTTGAATTGGAATTGTCAACTTTTGGGAAATGAAGATTTTAAAATTTTTTTTGAGACTTTCTATTATAAGGTTAAGTACTATAATTTTTAGGTTGCATCTCAATAAGAAATTCATAAAACTTATTTGTTTATTACTCTATAGCTCTCATTGATTTTCTTGTTTTTATCATTTATAAAAATTAAATTAATATATAGAGCTTATAAATTTAATGGAAGATTTTATTGATAGATTAATTAATATCTCTAATATATAGAAAAAAACTCTAAAAAATAATTAAAAATAAAATCAATAAGTATTTAAGGAAAAAATGCATATATTTTTAATAATAACTTTTATATATAAGGAAACTATCAATCGGATTTTTCTTTAAGTTTTAAATCTGCATGTATTTTTTATTCATGTTTTTCTTTCTTCTCTACAATTCTATGCTTAATGTAAATAATGAGAGCACTTAAAAATTAAACACCTGCAGTTGCAATAAGCAAATAGCCAAAAGAAAAATTTTTGCTACCAAATGAAGATAGAGTGGTAATTATTAGGTATTTTTCTCCTCCAAATATTTAGGTTGGATAATCTAATAGAGATTATAATTAAAATTACTATTTTAAATTACAATACTATATTTTCCAGCTGATAAATCGTTATCATATCTAGCATATAATTTTCTAACCAATGGTAAAGATTGAATATTAAACCAATTTATGATTTTTTCTAGATTGTTAATTAAGAATATGATTACCATCATCTAGATCTAACCATTACCTAAATTATGAATTTTAGGTTCTTGAATATTTATATTCTAAATCAACTGAGAAAGCAATAGCTGTTGAATTGAGAGCCAAAGGTGCAGGAGCTTCACTATTAAGATCAAAGAGTAAAAAGGAATCTATATAATTAATAATATAAATACCATTAAATATATATTTGGCAGCTATTCCACAAGGATTGACTTTTTTATTTAAGTCTATCATAAAACCAGCATAACTTTTATTAAATTCTTCAGGTCTTTGAAGAGATTGAAATGATTATGTATCAGGACAATAAACATCATATTCTTCATCAGTTAATTCATATCCCTTCATCTATTTTGGACTGATTGATTATGCAAAACTAATAGTTAAAACTTCTAATCTTACTCTGAATGACTAGTATAAAATTCATTTAATTCATAGTATAAAAAAAATGGTCCATAGGTATTTTTTTCAATAATAAAATCAACAATACATTATTGTTTACCTTCGCATTCTTTTCCATAATTTAATCTAATCTACATAAATATATATTTAATTCTTACTTCTGTAATACTGCCAGCTATTCCAACAAAAACTAAACCAAATATAAGAAAATAAAAACAACAAACAATATTACAAAACAAACTACATTTTCCTGTTGGTAATACAGGCATTCCTTATATATAATCTCCAGAATATTTTTGCCAAAGATTCATTTCATCTTCTTTAGTTGGATATAAAAAATCATCATCCTTAAATGCTTCGTAAGGATCAGTAGATGCTCTAATTAATTTTAGTCTTTAATCTTCTCCTTTTCTATCCTCGGATATTTACTTTCATTTTATTAATTATATTACACCCATTGTCATCGTTTATGGTAAAAATAATCCATGAACATTTGGAGTATTGGATCCAGAAAATTAATCATCATGAACTTAATTCTAAGGTTGTTTTGACTATTTCATTATTTTTATAATATAAGAATTATGTAGGAATTAATCAATATTGTTTATCAATATATTTTTTTATAAGTTTATAATCCATAATATAAATTTTAGTCTACTCTACAATTATTATTATTATGAACTCATTAAAAAAATGGATGTTGAAGTGCATCTTTTGGTAATATTCTTTCTGAATGATCAAAAATGAGTAATTTCTTCAATAAATCGATAGCTTCAGGAGTACATAAGTGTTTATTTTCTTTATTAATAAATAATTCAAATCTTTTTTCAGTAGAATATGGGAATTTTGGATATCTTGTAGGTAAATTAATTTTCCATTTTTCCAAATATTAATTTAAAACATCACTTCCTAAAACATTTACAATCTTGATTAATTGATCCTCATTGTTAAGACCAGCAAAAAAAGGTTCTTTCTAAAATATCATACCAGCCATTAAACAACCAACTCCCCAAGAATCTATAGAATGATGATATTATCTATAATCAAGTAATACTTCTGGAGATTTAAAATACCTAGAAGCAACTCTTGTATTGTATTCTTTATTGGGATGATAAAATTCTGCAAGTCCCCAATCTAATAATTTTAAATCTAATTTAAATATTATGATTTTTACAAGAAAATTTGCTATCTGTTAATATATTATGAGGTTTGATATCTCGATGAAATATTCCTATTGAATGAGCATAATCTAAAACTTCTAGAAGACTTTTTATTAAAAATTTTATTGGCATCAATGATTAATAATAACGAATATCTTTCAAATTTATCAAACATTCTTATTTAAATATTAAAGATTATCTTAAACTGCTGTAATCTTAAACTACATCTAATAATTCTGTAACTAATGGATGATCTTTTAAATTCTTTAAAACCAAAACCTCTCTATTTAATTTCTCAGGTACATTTGGTTTTAAAACTTTGATAACTACATTTTAATGATTCATAATTGAAACTCCTTAGAATACTTCGGAATATTTGCCAAAACCAATTTTCTCGTATATTTCATAATCGTCTTAATGTCTTCATTAACCTTATATATACCCAAATTTAATCTTATAATTATCATAATCCCAATAATGTTAAGGCTATTTAACATTAAAATCAGCATAATATTTAGGTAATTTTGATGCTTATGTTAAAATGGATTTCATATTTATTTAATTATACTAATTATTTATTCAATAATTTAGAATCTACAACTTTATTTCCTTAATTACTTCATAAGAGTGTTATAAACTTAAGAACTTTAAAATATTTAATTAATATGAAGATATTTGCATTGATTTACTTTATCAAATAATTCTTATCAATAAATTTTAATATTTGATAAAAGATTTATAATTTCATGTGGAGACAATGAATTTCTAAACTTTATCAGTTTAATCCTTTTAGTTCAATCTATATAATTTTATAGCATCTTTCTCTTAAACTAGTTTTAAGATATTTTCATTATATTCTAATATTTCATCTTCTTTAATTTTGTACTCTTCAATCAGACATTTGATAAACTACTCTTTGATCAAAGTATTTTCGTTGATATTTAATATATAATATTTCTTTGATTCACCATTGTTTTAATTATCTTCCTTTTTTTTATTTTTGTTTCTTTTATCTTTTTTTTATCTATCCTTTTATTTATTTGATTCTTTTTCTTAATCATTTTTTTGATCAACTTTTGAATTGCTTATTTCATTTGATAGCTATTTATCAATTTTTTCAATATATAAATCACTTTATTCTTCTTTTTCACTTTATATTTAATCCTTTACTTTTTCTTAATTATACTTAACTTTTTCGCCATCATTTACTTTTTATTTATCTTTTTTTTTATTCTCTTACTTCTTTTAATTTTCTTAATTAGGTTGATTTTATTATTATTTTTTAAATTCTATTTAAGGCTATTATTTTTATTAATCTTATTATTTCTAAAGTATTATATTAAATGACTTATTTGAATAATAAAGATTTGGCTTTTCATAAACAAATTCAGAATTCATACTAAATTTCATAAATTTCTTCCCATCTCTTGATAAAATAATCCAACCACTAGGTTCACCTTCTAAATTATAGTAACAACCATTTATATCACACCAACTAAATTCAAGAAATTATTTACCCTCCATCATCATCCAATAAATAAATTGTACTATTCTTATCATTAGGCAACCTGAACCCTCTAAGATATTTTATTTCCTCATATTTATTGAATTTATTTGGATCATGCTTTTCAAATAGAAATTGTGAGTATTCTGATTCAGTCATATTATTTTATATTTATTTATTAAAGAATATAAACTTTAATTATAATGAATTAGGATTTTTTATCATAAATATTAAATTCTTTATTTTAGATAATAAATTACTTAAAATAAAGAAAGAAAAATATAATAATATTTTTTGCTTATTTATTCAAATTGAAAATAAATAAAGTATAATCTATATTTTAAAAATCAATAAAGATTAATAATATAGATTTCAGAAATAAAGTGAATAATATATTTACTATTTTAAAATGTAATTAAATATAAAATTATTACTAAAATAAAATAAATTTTTTATAGAATAATGTATCAATAGTAATTAAAATAAGTAAAATCAATTACATGATTATATCAATATCCTTTTTTAATAAATATAATTTATTTAGACTATTATTATCTGTAATTCTATCATTTAATATTAAAGAAGTTAGAAAATTGTAAATTAATATTCCAAAAAAAAATTTATTATGTCATAGGCATGCAATAGATTTGTCATGGATATGACAGATACAAGGATGGGACCTGAACAACTATGTCGAAACTGTAAATTAATGAAAAAAGAACATACTTAAAGTTAGTATATATCCTAAAAATAGATAATTCTCAATAACTTCCTTCAGGTTAATAAAGTTCAAATTCATTTTCAGATTTAAAGAAAAAATTCTCTGGAGGCAACACCTAAGTATAAGAAAAATTCTAAGGAGCTGTCAAATAAAGCATTTAGTTTAAAAAATAGGAGGAATAGAATCAACCTTAAATAAAAAATAGTAATTAGACATAAAACTAATCAGATTAATCAAATGTTCCAATAAGAAAGATTGAAAGTTAAACAATAACTAATAATTATCCTAACTAACCTATCCTAAATGAAAATTAACCAAATTTGGAGAAATAACAATCTGATTAATCTAATTTAACATGTTCAAATTAGTTAAATTAAACAGAATAATAACCAAAATAATAAACTTAGATAGAAAAAACCTCTATTCAAAATAATTTTTCTAATAATCCTTTTTTGAAGTAGGATAAAGAGAAAATATAAAAAAACGAGTTTGTTTAAGGAAAACCATATGTTCCTCAATAAAAACCTCCTTAAGAATTTAAATAGTAATCATTAAATGAAAAAAAATCTGAATAACAATCTGAAAAAAATAAAAATGTTGTTTTTGGTTATTAAAACAAAAAATCTAATGATGAAGATATTTAAAATAATATCAATAAATAATCCCCTCTAGTTCAATAAAATTCAATAGAATCTCAATAGTCTCCTCCTATACAACAATAAAAGACTGAAAATTAAAGCAATTAATAAAAGATAGAAAATCCAATAAAAGAGAGAGCAAAGAATTTACCAATTTTTGGATTTGGTCCTCCTCCTGCTAAGAAAACTTCAAATTTACAGGAATCTGAAAGCTATTTAGAATAATAGATGATTGAAAGACCAACAGTTTAATAAAGAAAAAATAAGAGAACTATATAAGAGTTCTCAGATATAAATTGATTTAGTATAACATTTAAAGTCAATTGATTTAATAATATATATATATATATATTTACATAAATTTACATATAATATTTTGTAAATTTTCAATATGGAGCTTTGTATTTAGGATTATCTGTTAAATTTCCTCTAATTGATTATTCTAATTCAATTGATTAGAAGAGAGATTTGAAATTACCAGCACCAAATCCTGAATGATTTCTTCTTTAGATGATTTCTATAAATAATGTTGGTCTATCTTCTAATGGTTTAGTAAATATTTATAAAAGATATCCTAAAATAATAAAAATTATAATACCTTTATCATCATAATCAACTAAAATCTTATTCTTTTAAATAAGATCAATATCTTCAGAAATCTTGAAATTCATATGAGGAATGTTCTTTCTTAAATTATCATAATAAGTATCAGGAATAGAAAGGAAATCAAGTCCTCTAGCTCTCATAGCTTCAACTTCTTTTAAAATGTTATCTGTTTTTAATGCAATATGTTAAACCTAAAATAAAAAAAATAATTACTCCAGGTCCACTGTAATAATCAACATATTCTTAAATTTAAGATACTTTTTTGCCATGAGCAGGTTCATTAATAGGCATTTTGATAACTTCATCAAAATCTGAAACAACAATAGATTAAAGTGATGAATAATCAGTGTGTAGAATAGAATCATCAACTGACCAAAATCTGTGGAAATCTAAAGTTTTTTCATACCATTCAGCAACAGGAACCATTTCATGTTCAGGTTGATTACCAACAACATGATCTACTAATAAAAACTCTACAGGTGGTAAAAGTGTATTAATAGGATCAATTTTAGGATGTCTTGTAAATCCAGGTAAAAAGAAACCTTTATAATCATTTCTTTAGACAAAGGTGTGAATAGTATCACCATATGTTTAAATGGAAGCTAATATAACACTTCCATGTTCATCTTTATCTTCTTTTGGTGGTCGAATTGATTTAGCCCCTTTAGCCATTGCTTTATCATAAAGTGCTCTAGTATCTTCTACTCTAAAAGCTACATCTCTAACACCATCACCATGTTTAGATTAATGTGTATTCATTATTTCATTTTATGGACCATATGGACTTGAAAAAGCAAAGAAAACTCCTTCTCCATTTCTTAAAACATGTGTAACTACATCTCTTACTCCTGTTTCAAGTCCTCTATTTAATTATATATATATGGAAATACCTATAAGCATAATATTGAAATCCAAAGCGCGTCACATAAAATGATGCTGCTTAGAGTGCATTTCCAACCCAAAAATGAATATGATCAAACCCATAGAATTTTCCTCCTTCAGGTCTTTGTTTAAGTTAGTCAGCCATTGTCTTTCAATACTTTTAATATATCTTATGATATAAATTTATGCTGCATATATATATGATCAAATATTAATAATGACGTATGATTTTTATTGAATTTAATATCATTTTTGATAAATTACATTACACATTATATAATCTAGTATAACAATTTTTCTATTACTTCATTGAAGATTTACTATTTTGCAAATATTAATTTTATTCAAAGAGGCTTTAACTGAAAAATTCTTCTTCTATAAAAGAAGTTTCAGATATTTCTTCATTTGATTAAAACACTTCAAGTTATTCATAAATGATTATTATGCATTTCTCAAGATGTTTTTTATGTCTATAAATATTGTTTTCTAATAAATTAGTGAGAATATTTATAATTTCTTCATTTGAATGCTAACTTATAAAGAATATCAAATATTATAGTATATATTTTTATATCAACTTTTGTTTAAAAAATAAAAATGATGAAATTTATGAAAATGGCTGAAATTCAATTCAGAATTGGTTAATTTTTTTCGAAAGAGACTAAACTAGCCTTTCCTCCAAAAACATAATCATATAATTCTTCCATTTTATCAAAAAATTCTTTTCTATTTTCTTCAATATTTTAATATTAATCCACTTCCTCTTCATCTGATCTCATATCTGTATCAAATAAGATTGTTGTTAATCCTTTTGTTCTTATTTAACCTTCTCTATAATAGTGACCTCTAAATGATTTTAATTCTTGTTTATCCAATTATTTGATTTATTATTTAGAAGCATTATTACAAACTTTATGTGTAGCTGTTGATATTAAATCGTAAGAATTTAATTTTAATTTATTAGTCTCAGGTTCAATTATTATTTCTGAATTAATAATATCTTCAGATTGAATTATTTATTATTCAAATTATTAAGGTGGCTAATTTGACTTTTTTTTAACTTATTTTTTTTCTTCGTTTTTTTTTGTTTTTTTAATTAACATTGAATATTCTTCCCAATCTGATTTAGCTGCACATTCTTAAAATAAATTGTATTTTGATTACCAATCATTTTCCCAAATTAATAATTAATAGATTTTTGATGATTTATTTTTATCAATTTAAGGAAATAATAATGGGTGTCTACCTATTTATTCTTAATACAAATTTATGCTAATTTATTTTAATTCATTCACATAATCAAGAAAAAATGCAATTTTTTTAAATTCTCTTCTATTAATTACTTTTCTGTAATGTTGAAATCTATCAATCCTTTCATCTTCATGATGTTCTGCCTATATTAACAATAATTATTCAAATTTTTCAGCTGAACGTTTCAATTCTTATATCAAGAAGTCATCTAGATGTTTATTAATTTCTACAGCTCTTAATAGAATATGTATAGAGACATAACTTATTCTGCTATGAAATCTTTCTTATCCTAATTATCTATATTTAACTTTTATTTAATTAAAAAAGGATTAACATAATAGTTTGATTGCTTATAATAAGAAATTACCAACTAATTTGCTATATTGATTAACATACAATCTAAAAATAAGATTTAATTTTTACTTTTTTCCTGTTAATTTAAAGAATTCTTCATTTCCGGCTTTATGTCGCCCTCGACATCTAACTCCTGTTGCATATAAAGCTTTTAATTCATCTTGGGATAATTCTTCTTTATAATTAGTAAACATTTCCCATCTATGATAGCAATTTTATTAACTTTTTTTTCAAATCAAAAGTATTTTATACTTTTATTCCAGTTGTTAATTCAAAAATACGAGCAACTTATGTCCAACTTTTACATTTTTTGCCTCCATATGTATCTACTACTTCAATTAATTATTTCTAAATATCTTCATTATATTAAGTTCGAGCTGACATGGTAGAAGATAAAATTAATTTCTTATTTTCATCATCTATACATTTAGAATATGATTTTTGGAAAATTATTTTNTATTTAACCTTCTCTATAATAGTGACCTCTAAATGATTTTAATTCTTGTTTATCCAATTATTTGATTTATTATTTAGAAGCATTATTACAAACTTTATGTGTAGCTGTTGATATTAAATCGTAAGAATTTAATTTTAATTTATTAGTCTCAGGTTCAATTATTATTTCTGAATTAATAATATCTTCAGATTGAATTATTTATTATTCAAATTATTAAGGTGGCTAATTTGACTTTTTTTTAACTTATTTTTTTTCTTCGTTTTTTTTTGTTTTTTTAATTAACATTGAATATTCTTCCCAATCTGATTTAGCTGCACATTCTTAAAATAAATTGTATTTTGATTACCAATCATTTTCCCAAATTAATAATTAATAGATTTTTGATGATTTATTTTTATCAATTTAAGGAAATAATAATGGGTGTCTACCTATTTATTCTTAATACAAATTTATGCTAATTTATTTTAATTCATTCACATAATCAAGAAAAAATGCAATTTTTTTAAATTCTCTTCTATTAATTACTTTTCTGTAATGTTGAAATCTATCAATCCTTTCATCTTCATGATGTTCTGCCTATATTAACAATAATTATTCAAATTTTTCAGCTGAACGTTTCAATTCTTATATCAAGAAGTCATCTAGATGTTTATTAATTTCTACAGCTCTTAATAGAATATGTATAGAGACATAACTTATTCTGCTATGAAATCTTTCTTATCCTAATTATCTATATTTAACTTTTATTTAATTAAAAAAGGATTAACATAATAGTTTGATTGCTTATAATAAGAAATTACCAACTAATTTGCTATATTGATTAACATACAATCTAAAAATAAGATTTAATTTTTACTTTTTTCCTGTTAATTTAAAGAATTCTTCATTTCCGGCTTTATGTCGCCCTCGACATCTAACTCCTGTTGCATATAAAGCTTTTAATTCATCTTGGGATAATTCTTCTTTATAATTAGTAAACATTTCCCATCTATGATAGCAATTTTATTAACTTTTTTTTCAAATCAAAAGTATTTTATACTTTTATTCCAGTTGTTAATTCAAAAATACGAGCAACTTATGTCCAACTTTTACATTTTTTGCCTCCATATGTATCTACTACTTCAATTAATTATTTCTAAATATCTTCATTATATTAAGTTCGAGCTGACATGGTAGAAGATAAAATTAATTTCTTATTTTCATCATCTATACATTTAGAATATGATTTTTGGAAAATTATTTTACTTCATTGTTAAGAAACTTATGAAAGAAGAAATATATATTTTATATATATTATAAATCCGTTTTTATTAATATGTAAAAATTCTACATATTAGTGCTGCTATTGTCAACAGTAATAGCTTAAGAGAGTTTTCTTGAAAAATAAAAGCATGTGAAATAATAGAAGGATTTATCAACAGAAATATATACAATAAAAAAAAAAGGATTACCAACATTTTTGGGGAGAAGTTCAGATGATTCAATAAAAGAATAGTTATCATCTCTTTTGAATTATGAAGAGGCTCTTAAATTAACTCCTTCTGAAACAAGCGAGCATACAATATAATTTGTGGAGTCAATGTTTATTATTGATTAGCCAAATCCAAATGCAGTAAGAGCTACAGAGAAACCAGATTATAATCTTAATGAAACTAATAAACCATAAAAAAAGATTTACAACAATGAAAAAGTCAATACATTTTAAGATGGTTGTATTTATGTTTTTAGTGAATGCAATTTTAAAGGTGAACATGCAAAATCATGTCCAGGATAGAATGTGACTTTCTTTGGATTTCCATTTGAAGTTTTATCAATTCATATACCTGAAGGAGGATCTTTGAGTTTAATTTAAGAAAATGGAACAACCGCCTATACAGTTACTAATAAATGTTTGAGAAGTAGACCTATTGAATTCCTTTTTGTTTAAGGAGCAATTTAATAATCATTTGGAAATGGTGAATTATTCATAGACTAATGATAATATTCATTAGAATGATCAAATTTAAATTTCATGAATTCAATCTTGATGATCATTATTTTAAACATTCTTGATTTTTGAATATTATTTTTGAATATTTTTGATTAATTTAATCTTCTAATCTCTTATACTGTTTATTTAACTTCATCTTTCATTTATTATTTTTTATTATCAAATTTACTATCTATAATATATCTTATCTACGATCTCAGGAAGATATGGATCTTCAATATTATTCTCACATCTTAATTGAGATTGAAAAATAAAAGGAATCTAAAATTAAAAAAGGACTCTTTCCAAAATGATTAAACTTAATTTTTCTCAATTAATCATAATTAACTATCATATGAGTACAAAGAATTTATGACAAAACTTTTAAGAATTCAACCAGACTTAATCTTTCTGCGCAGAGAACATCATTTGAATTATTTAAGATTCTTCTCTAACTGTGAATTTCTACACTCTTATTAAAAAAATTCATAAAACTCAAATAAAAGAGTTTGTTTTCTATTGAAATAAACAAAATAAGTACTTTGATCTCTCGCGTTTTCAGTTGATCTATACAACAGACACATTATACATTAGGATAATATTAAATTAAAGATATCCTACAGGTTCAATCTAAAGCACTGTTATATATACTATAATTAATTCAGTGAAAATTCCACTAAAAAATTAATTTATACATTCCATAAGAACATTAATGTAAAGAGCTAATTCAATATTTTAAAATTAAAATATTTTAAGTAATTGAAACACTCCCAAAAATATGGTTATCCATACATAATATGATATATGCAACATTTCTAATTTATAGCCTTTAGAAAATAAATTATCATATTCATGGTTATAGAGAGAAGCACAGAAACAAAAATTCCTTCAAAAAACGAAATTATTAATTGAATGTATGGAGTTTCATCATCCCAAATATATTCATGAATTCCATAATCTTAAAAAAGAATTTCAAATTGTAGATTCAAGTATTGTTACTATATTTATTAATTACTAATAAATCTTATATTAGACTTTAAATTTTTGGAAGTAGAAATAATTATAGGTTTTGAGTAGTATAAGACTTAGCAGCAGCACCAAGAACCGTTAAAAGTGGTTACCAATCAAATGATTTTTAAAAAAAAAGATATTTATTCTAGAAAGTATTTTATAAAATTATTAAAGTAACTATCATCAGACTATTCATAATAAAAATGCCGACTTTTCTAATTGAATATCCTTAAGTGTTTATTAAAAAAAACCGTCCACTTAACTTTTTTAAATCTCAAAATAAATGAATTTTTATTCAGTTGAGATTATTTCTTAAGAAATGGAGATTTGTGCGGAAAAAATACAATCTTTATTTTTATCAAAATATATTATATATTGTTTGATTAATTAAAATTTTATAGATTATTATTTAAATTAATCGAAGTTATTTCATTTTATTTTATATTTTAATTAAAATAGATCTATTCTTAAGATGAAATTAAAGGAATATAGAGTTTCCTTGAATTTTGATCATAAAAAATTGTATTTTTGTGAATATAATGGTTATTTTTAACTATAATGTAGATTGAAATTAATTTAAATCAAAACAATACTTCATAAAAAGTATGGTAATATATCTATTGGATTAATGCTTTTAGCACATACAGGAACTTCTTTAAAAGTCTTCCAAGTTTAGTTTAAGTTATGATCTAAACATAAAATGGAAGCAATATTTTCACATCTATAATAATAATTTGGAGCAGACCAGACGGTTACTAAATTTTATTCCTAAAATTGAATTAAAGAATTACTGGGAACCAATATTTATATCCTTCCATGACTAATTGATGTGCTCTAGATATAAGAGTTAGATCATTAATTCTACAAAATTCTTATAGTAACTTTAGCTCCAAATAAAAACCCAGCTCCTCTTGAATTCACTGCCCAATATTCATCTTCTTCTGGATCAGACAACATTAAATCACAAAAGGGTCTTTCATGTGATATTTCAATCTGAAATAAATAAAAATTTTACTTTTCTATCAATAATTCTTATTTGATCAATTGTTCTCATATCTGGTGATAAGCCACCATGAACACATAGAATTTAACCTTCAATCAATGCTATCAATGGAAGACAATCAAAAACATCCATAAATAATCTCCATGGACTACTATTACCATATTTGCAGAGTAATTCTTCATATCAACCATAAACCTGAATACATTATCTTAATTCATGATTACCAGGATATTTAACTTATATGTAATTGTCCACACAATAAGTATTCCATTGTCTCCACAGAATTATAACCTCTAACAACAAAATCTCCTATAAAGATATATTTTTTAGATTATATTTCTCCTCCTTCTTTCTTTAAAGCTTACAAATCATAAAATTAACCTGAATCTTATTCAATAGTAGATGCCATGAATATCTCCACATACATTCACTGGTGCTTATGCTGGTTAGACATTAGATTCTTCAAGAAAGATTTCTTCTGCTATATGTCATATCAATTTAAGATCTCTTTCTGGTAAACAACCTCCTCCAAATAATGTTGCTATATGTTTATCTATGTCCATTTTCTAATATAGTCAATTAAATTATTATACATTAATAAACTTTCTAAATGTTTAAAAATGATAAACCTGTAATTATAGATGAGTAATATTTGCTGACATCTATCTATTATACTGGTAGAAATTCTGTTTATTATAATGCAGTACTAGTTAAAAATGATCAGAAAACTGCTGACATACTAGTATAAATAGTATACTTTGGAACACATTAAAATAGGTGACTAATCAGGCCTAATGTTATTGCAGATTATATAAAAAAACCAGTGACAGTATTATTAATACCCTAAATAAGATGCTATCACTCCTAATATTCATCAATTTGGAATTCTCAAAGTAGGAGAAACATCTTATCATTACATTGTACAATAGAAAGCAGGACCATCATTGAAATTGTGTTTTTAGTTGATGAAACGTAAATTTTCAATTTAAACAACTGCTTTAATTGCATTAAAAATGGTAATTATGTGTTAATAAGTTAAGATCACTCACCTCTCATAATTACATTCTTTAAATATAATTCATCGATGTTTAAAATTATCCAATCTAATTACTACTCTCTCATCTGAAATATATTTCACAAATTTTGAGTATTCTTCAAAATATATGGATAAAAATGGAAAAATCTTACTCAAAAACAAAAATAAACTCAACTTGTATATAAATAAATTCTCATCCATAGGCACGCATTTAAAACAATGTACTTTAATTTCAGAATATAAAAGTTCCTTGTCCAAGAGATGATTTAGAGTCGTTATTTTATATTTTATTACATGTCATCACTTCAGGTAAATTTTTACCTTCTCAACCTAATGTAAAACGTTAAGAGAAACTCAAATATTATTATGAGATAAAGTAGAGATTTGTTCCTGAAAGAGAATTAAAGGGGTATCCAGAATAATTTTTATAATTGTATCATGCTATTAGATTGCTGTCCCCTCATGAATTTCCAAATTATGATCTATTGAAACAACCATTTTTTTAATTATTAGGTCAAAATGATTTACAATTATAATTTGATTGGATTCATATACTTAAACCTAAAAAGAGAAATAGTACTTCTACAAGTCCTATTAGAATAAGTAAATTAAAACATGCAGGAAGTGTTGGTGATATGGCATTTATTTAATAAATAAAGAATTAAGAGTCAATAACTGATGCTATATCTCCTGAGAGATAAGGAAAAGCAACAATGAAGCATTTTGTATATCCGACAAGTAAAAATACAATTTCACAATAATTACCTGCAATATAGGAAAGGTAAGAAGGAACTTAAAATTCTATTACTTAATAAAATTAATTTTAAAAAAAATTTGGAGGACTTTCAATTGTGATTTGTAAATAATAAGAAACAAGTTCTTCATCTTCAGGAAATGTGAGTTCGATGAGTGATGATACATCTGAAGTTGATACAAAGACACTAAATGGAGTAATCGGTAAATTAGACTGTGATTGAAGTGTGTATATAAATTAATTATCAACTAATATGGAAGAAAATCAAAATCTAAAAATTATTCTGATAGGAAATTCTAGTGCTGGTAAGACAAGTTTAATATTAAAATTTAAAACTGAGAGGTATTCTTGCGATTCTGTAAACACAATTGGAGTTGATTTGACTTTGTAGAAAAATGTTAAAATTAACAATCAGGTTTACAATATTGCAATATGGGACACAGCAGGATAATAATAATACTAGAATTATGTTAAGTTTTCAGCTAAAGTAGATAAATTCATAAATGTTATGTTTAGGATGCAAATGCAGCTATGATTTGTTTTGATTTGACCGATTCGAGTTCTTTAGATAGTGTAGCTGGTTGGATTTAGTTAATAAGAGATGAGGGTCCTTTCAACATTTAAATGATCATAATTGGAACTAAAAAGGATCTCCCTATCTAATACACTAAGGAATAACTATAGTAAATTTAAATAGCATTGAAAGCTAATTTTAATATTGATTTTCCTTTGTTCTTGACATCTTCAAGAAATGGAGAAGGAGTAAAAGAGGCTTTCTAAACTGCATTTGAATTAGGAGCAAAGGCTAAGTAGGATCCTTAATTATAAGCAGATTAATAAGCTCATAAAAGTTTTAAAATATCTACTTTAATTCATCAACCTCAAATGCAAAAAACAATTTTCTTACTCTCTAATGCATAAACTATTTAAGGTAGTCAACTGAATTCTAGATCTAAACCTAATGAAGGATGTTGTTGAATATATTTAAGTTATAATTAATCATGAATTTATGATTTTTAAAATTAAAGCACTTCTTAAGATTATTCATGAATAAATAAATGAAATCAAAATATAAAGATCTTATTTATCAATTTCAATAAATGAAATATTAGAATAATTGAAAAGGGATTTTGGAGAGAGCAAATTTAATTTGATAATATCAAATAATGATAGTTCTTGAATGTTCTTTTTGATTTTTAAGTGAAATAATGGATGAAGTTATTTAATTAATTATTTAAATATGACTGATAGAAAAGCTTGGAATTAAAAAGTATGTAACAATAACATAACTTTAAATTAGGAAGACATGGCAATTCTTTAATTAGTAAAGTAATATGGAATAAAAAAATGGACTATTGTTGCTGAAAAGATGAAAGAAGTTTATGGATTATTTGGAAGGTCTGGAAAATAATGTAGAGAACGTTATCATAATCATTTGGATCCAGCAATCAACAAAGAGCCTTGGAGTGAAAATGAAGAAAGAGTGATTTTTGTAGCACATAAAGAACATGGTAATAAGTGGGTATGACAAAAAAATTAAATAAATATTTTTAGGCAGAAATTGCGAAACTGTTACCTGGTCGAACTGATAATGCAATTAAAAATCATTTTTACTCTACTTTAAGAAGAAGTCTAAGAAGAATCAATAAACTTATTGGAGACAAGAACAGTAATCCGCATGAATATATATTTAGCAAAGAAAAGGGTACCCAACAGATTAAGGACATTAAACCAGGAGTCTTATCTAAAATATTTATTCTTGCTGAAAAAAACCCATCCGAACTTAAAGATGATCATATGAAAAAGTTATGTTAAGCTTGTAAAGGATTATAAGACTCTATATTAGAATTTGCTTAATCTAAATAAAAATCATAGATTAATCAATTCAATGAAGACAAGTTTAAATAACTTATTGATAAAATCATGGAATTCAAGTATTTTTTACTATATTTTACTTAGTGCTCTTTATACAAAACAAAGGGAAAGTAGATTAAAATTAAAGAAGAAAAATCATAAGAAAAGAAAAAGTAGAATTGAAGATGATGATGACGATGATGATTATACTAGTGATTATAAATACGAAGAAGTAAGTAATTATGTCCCCTTAAAGAGATCTTCTAGACTCAATGCAAAAAAGAAAGTGGTATCATTTTTTTTTAATTTAGCATATCGATAAAGAAGATTACCTTGATATATGTATCAGAACCAAAAAAGGACCCTTATTCAATATCATTAGAGATGAATTTGAAATCTAATAGGATAATGAAGAAGTAAAGACTAATTTTTAATTATTTACTAGTAATAATCTTCAAACAATTATAATTAATAATACATCTATGATTATTAAGGAAATAATAGTCCTAATAATCATTAAATGACACCTGCCTTCCCTGTATTAACTCCTAGATAAATATTCTTCTAAAAACCTATCAATCAATATTAAGAAGAATAAGGACTCCAAGATGACAATGTCTTAAGCAAATCTAATTTTGTCCCTATAGTTATTACAAAACCTTTCAATCAATGTAGAGAAAAAGCACTAGATACTATTGCTTAGTAATTACAACAAAGAATTAGTAAAATTTTATATTAATTCTAGATGCCAATGCTGATAAATATATTTACAATCAATAAGCTACTTAAGATTCAGATTTGGAAATCAATATTGGAGATCCATTTGAAATCTAAAAGGACTACAAATCACCAACCAGTAAATTTGGTATTGGTGGCTATAGTCCAAGTGCTTTTAGAAAGTATAAAAAAGATCAGGAAACTGGTTTAGTTAACTTCATGGTTACACCTCATAATTACAAATGATGTAGCAATTTAAAAATGTTTTCAAATAAAATTCCATTTATAGAATATTTTTTTNACTCTATATTAGAATTTGCTTAATCTAAATAAAAATCATAGATTAATCAATTCAATGAAGACAAGTTTAAATAACTTATTGATAAAATCATGGAATTCAAGTATTTTTTACTATATTTTACTTAGTGCTCTTTATACAAAACAAAGGGAAAGTAGATTAAAATTAAAGAAGAAAAATCATAAGAAAAGAAAAAGTAGAATTGAAGATGATGATGACGATGATGATTATACTAGTGATTATAAATACGAAGAAGTAAGTAATTATGTCCCCTTAAAGAGATCTTCTAGACTCAATGCAAAAAAGAAAGTGGTATCATTTTTTTTTAATTTAGCATATCGATAAAGAAGATTACCTTGATATATGTATCAGAACCAAAAAAGGACCCTTATTCAATATCATTAGAGATGAATTTGAAATCTAATAGGATAATGAAGAAGTAAAGACTAATTTTTAATTATTTACTAGTAATAATCTTCAAACAATTATAATTAATAATACATCTATGATTATTAAGGAAATAATAGTCCTAATAATCATTAAATGACACCTGCCTTCCCTGTATTAACTCCTAGATAAATATTCTTCTAAAAACCTATCAATCAATATTAAGAAGAATAAGGACTCCAAGATGACAATGTCTTAAGCAAATCTAATTTTGTCCCTATAGTTATTACAAAACCTTTCAATCAATGTAGAGAAAAAGCACTAGATACTATTGCTTAGTAATTACAACAAAGAATTAGTAAAATTTTATATTAATTCTAGATGCCAATGCTGATAAATATATTTACAATCAATAAGCTACTTAAGATTCAGATTTGGAAATCAATATTGGAGATCCATTTGAAATCTAAAAGGACTACAAATCACCAACCAGTAAATTTGGTATTGGTGGCTATAGTCCAAGTGCTTTTAGAAAGTATAAAAAAGATCAGGAAACTGGTTTAGTTAACTTCATGGTTACACCTCATAATTACAAATGATGTAGCAATTTAAAAATGTTTTCAAATAAAATTCCATTTATAGAATATTTTTTTACTATCTATTCTAATTATTTCTAAAATTAGTATTATTTTAAATTTAAAAAAATAAATTTTATAACTTAAAAAAAGATATATATATATCAACTTTATCATATTATTAGTTATATTTAATATTATATAATTATTAATTATTTTGTATGATTTGTCTTATTGATTGATTGTAATTTGGATCATAAAATGAATAAATTAAACCTCTTTTTGAGCTAGTGATAAGAATTAATCTATGATAGTTGTACAAGTTAAAAGATAATATAATTTCGAGTAATGATTATTAATATAATTACTAAATTATTAAACCTTTAAGTGGTAAAATGGTCAAAGTAATTGGATCATCTGAATATGTAGGTTCTGATGTAATAAGAAATACAATTTAATATGGTGCAATAGTGAATTGAGTTTTTCGAATTGAATAGCCAACAACATAATAAAATTGGATTAAAGGAGATGTAATGAAAGCTTATGAATTTAAAGATATTTTGTAAAAAAATGATTAAGTAATTCATACAATTGGAACAATAATCGATTCATCAATATTAACAAATAACTAATAACTGTATTTCATATAGATTAATAGAGAGGTGAACAAAATACTTATAAATAAATGAATTGAGATTCAGCAGAAATTGTTTCCATTAAAATATGATTACTATATGAAAATGACTACATGACAATACTTCTAGATTTATTCTTCAAAATTCCTCTTTTTTTTGGATCATTATTCAACGAATTTAAAGTTGATTCTTCTATGGATTTATAAAATTTTGTTGATTCATGCTTGGCTCCTTTGAAAATTAATTTGAAGGAAAATAATTAAATAATATTGAAATGGAAAAAGTTGCTCAAAAATTTAGAAACTGAAAATGAAAATAGCAAATTCAATAATTTCTATCAATTAATATTCATTACAAACCATATTAAGTTTCTCCTTCTAAAAGAAGTGGCATTTTAACTACATATGCAGGTAAATTTTTTTCTCCCTTTCCATTTATTAATGTACTATAAACTTTTATTTCTGATTGCTAAAATAAACTTTAATAAATATTATTTAATGGTCCATATTCATCAAATAAACTTGCCATCAAGACATTTGAGTCAACAGCTGTCCAATTTCCCAATAATGTGGTCATATGTGGAAATTTGTTTTCAATAGGAACTGCATAATCTTATCTTTTAACTACACATGCAATTACTCTCTTTGGTAATAAAGCTACTGCATAGATCCTCATTTCTTAAGCAAGATTCACAGTAAAATTTTTGTAATATTCAGATTATTCTGCATCTTTATTATCTCCTATATAAAATGTTGTTATATGAAGATTAGGAGGAGTTCTATATGTTTTATTATTAATTAATTCATAGTACATATCTTATATTGTTTAATTTTCTTACATTATACATTTTCATCTTAAGGATAATGATTCATTAATATTTTAACTGCATCTAATACTTTTAATCTCATATAAACTTTAGCATCATTTTACTCATTTGAAAATATACCTAAATATAAAGGAAGAGCTTAAATTGAGCTAATGAATACAATCAAAATAAAATTCATAATTTATTTAATAATTTATATTTATTCTTATTATTATTATTACTTCCAATTAATATAGACTTTTCTAGAACCTATCAAAATAATATTTTCCTAACCATTTTTCTTCTTTTCATAAGACCTAAAGGGACTTTGTAAATTTTTAATTCAATTCCCATTTTCTGATTACATTCTAACAAAAAAAGAAAATTAAAAATATTATCAACTATTCAAATCATAATAAAAAGATGCAAATAAGATTTTTTAGTCACTTAAAAATATTTTAAATTCTTTTATTTATTGAAATTTTTCCATGACATAACAACCTGCTTTAGTTGTGGTTATTATTTAGTATTCATTATAATAACCATATTTGTTTTTAATGTATAATTTATTCAAACGAATATATTATGCTTCTATTCATCAGCTTTTTCATTTATTTTAACACTTTTTTACATTTATTTTCATTATTAAGGTATAAAAATTCTCTTTCTGTTACTAAAAACTGACTGCTCTCTGATATAATACTAAGTTTCTGATAATATAATCAAACAATCTGATGATTTTTTTTTTCTTTAGAAAATGAAAAATTTAATTAATTCTTTCTATTTTTTTATTGTATCTGTTGCATATTCTTGTTCTTTTTTTCATCTAAAGCATATACATTAAAAAATATTATTTTTCTGTTTTCTTTTCAAAAAATTAATAATAAGTAACAAAAAGTAATCCTATCTTATTTAAGATAAGTAGATTTATTAGTTATTTCTATATTTTTTTTCTTAATATTTATCGTTCTAAATACTGTGGTGTAAATTAAAATGATATTTATTTTGTAAATATTTAATTTTAAGTAATAGAACATTGTAATTTGAAAATCAGATAATTCCTTACTCTAAATTAATTTACTATAATATTATTTTCCAAATGAAAGATGCTTTTGATTAATGTATATTTCTAAATATTTTTTATATATTGAATTTTAAATTAATAAATAGAGTTCTATTATAGTATTTAATTAGATATATAAACATTAATAAATGAAAAATTTATAATGAAAGTGAGAATACAAACTGATAAGGAATGAAGAAATATTAATCAATGAATAAATTATAAGTAACATATTCTTAAATTACTCAGTGATAATTGTTATACCCTCTTAATATTTATGTCATGTCATATTCTAAATAATTGAGAATTGCTTCTACTATAAAATAGAATTAAAACTCGGCCTTTTATATTCATCATTAATTTAATAAATATATTATAATAATAAAAGGAAACAAAGATTGTATTTTTAAGTCAACATAATGTACTTAAAAGCTACTTGGATATTGCTATAAAAATATAATCATAAAGTTATTAAATAATCACATAATATAGTTGTAGAATAAGATGATAAATAGTTTTAATGAAATTTTTTATTTGATGTTTGATAAATCAATATTTTCTGCTCCATGGTTAATCATCAGGAATTTCTGTTTTTGGTTAGAATTGATTGGCTTTAGCTTATGGATTTTGCTCAAAGTATTTTTTTGCCTCTTCATAAATTTAATAATCTTCATTATATTTTTACATATCTAAAAGGATTAGATATAAAAATACTTTCAGAAAATGAATTTAGATCTTATTCATATTAATCTTATTGACTTTAAAGATTTTCAGAGTCCATAAACATAGGTGGTTATTGTTTCATAAAGACTCTTTATTCAATAAATTCTTCATCTTCATATTCTAAAGGGAAGTTCAATTCAGCAATTTTTTAAAGTGCCTCTTCTTCACTTCCTCTTTGTTATTTGATTAATCTTTCATCTGTATCATCAATAATCTAAAATAGAAAATGAAAATACTTGTCTAAAATTCTTGGATGTTTCTTCACCATGAACTTAAGCTAATTCTAATAATTCTTATTTGAATTCTTTAAGGATTTATAATTCTTAAGGAGTGATGTCTCTTAAATATTTTGCAGGAGATCCAGCCCAAACTTCACCTTATTTAATTTAAGTGCCTTCTGTTACAAGTGATCCAGCTGCAACAACTCCTTATACAGAAGCACCTTATTTAATGGTTGATCCCATTCCAATAAATGCATCATCTCCAATTAAACAGCCTTATAAGTTTGAATTTGGTCCTACATAGGAGTTATTTCCTAATGTCATTGGTTATGTTGCTTTGACGTATACATTGTCTTATATTAAAGCATTCTTGCCCACTGTTATTGCATTTTAATCAGCACGCAAAGTGGCACCATACCATACAGAAGAGCTTATGATAGAATCTTTAAAGTACTTTTGCTTTAAAATAACATTCCCTATTAAAACTGAATTTGGGGCTGTAAATAATGCTTCGCTGATTTAGGGACTTTGACCATTAGTTTATACTTGTCTCAAACACTAAACTAAACGATCATCGCTGGCTTCACTTCCTAACATATCATTTCCTTAGGAGAGAAAGCTTTTTCCAATTCTCCTATAGTATGGACCAACAGTATTTAATACAAAGGAATCAAATAATTGGAGAATCTTGACTTTGAACATAATTATTTATGTAATTTTAATAAGAAAGAGAATAGATTTCTTCTTTATAAACAAATTTATATAAACAACGAAAATAATCATTATAAAACTCTTATCACAGAAAATAAAAGGCTAATTGTAGTTAGTTTAGCAGAATAGATCATTTTAATTATTTTTTTTATTTTTGAAGATGTCTATCATACTCATTGTAGAAAAAGGATTAATAGAAGAACTAATTAAACAACTTATGCTTCTGCCTATTCTAATTTTAGCTTTTTCAATTTTAATACGAGTTAATTTACTCAGATAATCTTGACTGAAATCTTAAAGTTATATAATTAATATTCTTATTTAGATTTCACTTATTCTACATTATTGCAATTTTTAAATTCTCCTGCTTTTTTGTATAAACATGTCTTATTATCCTTCATTAAATGAATTATCTAGATTTTTGTCTAATAGTATAATTATGCTTAATTGAATGTTATCTATTAAAACAATTCTAGATTATTTTATATATTATTATGTATGGAAAACAATAATTCAACTACAAGAGTATAGTTTACATAAATATTATATCATTCACTTGGAACAAAATTATCACCATAAAATTTTTATTATAAAATAATATCTTTAATAGTTTAAACAAAAACCATTTTTATTTATTACTTTTCAATTCATTATTGGCATCTTCTTGTTTTTACCTTTAATAGTTTATCCAAAAAATAAATTTCAATTTTATTCTGATGAATAGAAAATCTATATCTTTTTATTGAGATTTTATTCTTATAAGAGTTTTTGTTAAAAGAATCATTTAGATAGAAAACTTTTATTGTGAATATTGTGAGTGTCAATCAAATTAGAAGAGTCATCGAAATGTAGTTAATATAAGAATTTCAGAAATTATCGATTGGTATATTAATAGGCTAAGAGTCTTTTAATTCTCCATAATTATAGGCTAAGTTTATTTACTTTTTATATTGAAATGAATCTCAGTATTAATATGTAAATCAAAGAGTTTGATTTTAGGTTTAATAATGGTTTTTTAGATAGAGAGAATCATCATTTTCTAATAGCATGTCTTAATCGAGAACTGAGGTTTAGAATTATTGCATAAATAAAAATTAAATAATTAAATGCTACCTAAAATTTAAGGATAAGCAGTTGGAAGAAAAGAGAATTTGGCATCATAACAGATTGTAGAAGATCATTTAAAAAATATACTAAAAAAATAAGAAAATTAAGTATTTATTACATCAATACATTTTAGAATTACAAAGCATGGAAGACACCCTATGCTCCAAAGAATCCTCATTCACCATTTGGTGATTTTCCAAAAGAGTATATCCCTAAAGAGAAAGCTAACTAATAAAAAGTGTATGAGCCAGTTCATGAAACATCATAAAATGCTCTTATTACAAGTAAGAATAGATGATAAGGATAATTAGATAAATATTAAGGGACTCATTAAGGAACAGGAGGAAGAACAAGTTCTTAATTATAAAAGAAGGAAGAGTATAAAGCTGCACCACCAAAAGCAGGTGCATATGATTAAAGAACAATTACAGTTTCAGATTTTAGGAGATATTATGATAGAGGAGATTTACCTATTAAAGTATGTTAAAATATTTATGTTAATAGGTTGATCATTAAGGAAGTGTCAATAGAATTATATGGAAAATATCACCAGAATAATTAGATTATCATCATTATTTACCAATATTTTTTGATGGATTAAGAGTATCTATAAATATATTAAAATTAAGGAAAAAATGGATCCTTATAGATTTTTAGCTATTTTAGGAACATATGGTTTACTTGAAAGTGGAGGAAATAAGATATTACCTGTTATTCCTTAATTAATTATTCCAATTAAAAGTAATCTCATTTTTTTATGATTGATAGCTAATTTGAATACAAGGGATATAAGTATTATGGAAGTATAATTAAAAGTATTGTAAAAGCTAGTATTAAGTGGAGAAATGGTAGGTGAAGCCTTAGGTAAGAATTCAATAGAGATTTCTTAGTTCCTTATTATAGATAACTTTTACCAATAATGAACTTATATAAAAATAATAATTCAAATTTGGGAGATAAGATAGAGTATAATTAAAGGAAAAGAGTAAATATAGGAGATTTGATTTAAGAAACATTAGAATTATTTGAGTAAACAGGAGGAGAAGTATAAATATGGTATATAGTAAAATAGGATGCTTATATAAATATAAAATATATGATTCCAACTTATGAGAGCTGCATTTTAAATTGATTAAGAATAATAATATATATATTAATGATTAAACAAATAATTCTCATATTATTAGTTGTTTTTGTAATTCAAGGAAGACATTAACATTTAAGACATAGTAAACATTAATTGGGACATAATTTATCAATGAAGCCAGGTAATAATCTATATAAATGTAAGGTGAATCATGTTTACCAAGCACAGATTTGAGTGGATAGAAAAAAGAAGAAACATCAGCAAATTAAGCTAGAAAACATTTAACAGTAATTAGAACTCTTATATTGAATAGAAATTCGCTGATCACTTGACAGAGGAGAATAGAAAAGCTGAAGATAAATAACCATACCCAAACATTTATACATATTAAGATTAAAATTGTGTAGGAAACGGATAGGATCCATCAAAAAGAGATAGAAGAATGAGAAGAAGTTGAAATCAACTTTTGATATAAAATAAATCATTATCATTAAATTTCAATTGCTTTCCAAAGAGTACAAGTATCATCAGGCTGACCAGAATCAATACTTAGTAAAGAAACTTTGAATTAGCCTTCAAGTTTATACTAATCAACATTAGTTTATAAACAATAACCTGTATCTAAGTGTCTAATTTCTAACAATAATAAGAATAGTAAGGTTTACTTATTTTATCATTGATTTTATCAATCTACCAAATATCCCCATGTTCACTTCCTCCTACATAGATTTAACCATTGCTACTCTTTTATTGAGCCTTTAAGTAACATTTAGTTAGAGGATGATATATCTATCATTTTAAAAGCTAAATGAGTACTTTAACTAAATTTTCATCAATATTTTCAACTGACCAATTGTCATAATCATTTCCACAATCTTAACAACAAATAACTTCATTCAAACGAGAATTTGGATATCGAATTCTATGAGAGTGTAGATATCCTTGAGAATTTACATTTATCAATTAGATTAAGTTATTACTTATAGAACTTTCTCTTATATTAGATGTACAAGATGTAAAATGACTACCTTTTATAAAACTTTCATCTGGTTTAGGAGTACCTGTCTCTTAACCAAGTTCCTCTTTTATTATCAATCTACTTAAACTTGGTACTAAGAGAGTTTAATGTCGATCAAATAAATATCTTTCAATTAAGTTCTCTTTTATACAGATTCCTTTTCTTGGCTCATAGTAAATTGATGATCTATTAGAATTATTTGGATTCTGTTCTTTTTTACATAAATTACCCATTCAATTAATTTATTTATTATACATAGTTCATTAATTATTATAATGAATAATGATAATAATAATAATCAAAACAACAACAATAACAATAACAATAATCAAAATAACTTTCTATCCCCATTTCCTCATCCACTTTTAGACATAGAGTAATTTTTAGAGATTGGATCCACATTTTAATTTAATTAACTTCTTAATATCTACCCTATTGGTGAACAATAGAGATAATTTTTTAGAATGAATAGTTTTACTTCAAGGTCTTCAAATTAAGATGAAGAATTTTTACTTTACATTTAAAATCAAAGTAGAAGAGAACCATCATCACCTAGGTTTAAATTTCTATTTATTCAGATAAAAGAATTCTAACCTTGATAAGTATATGTAAAAGCGAGCCATTCCTATTCATAATGAAGAATTAAACAAAAATGAACCTTATATTAAAGTTACTGTCTTGAGAAATATCAATTATCCAAACACTAATCATTCAAATGAATACTTCATAAATTAATAAGGGTAATTATTACAAGGAATTTTTAGTCTTATTGGTTCTAATAAAAATGCAGATTCTGAAGACATTCTTATTGGAAGATCACATAGAACAGATATTATACCTAATGATATTAGTAATAATCATTAACATATTTTTAGTGCTTCCAGAAGATAGAATTATATCTAGAATTCACTGTAAATTAGTCTGCAAACATTATTTTAGAAAAGAATAAAAAATTAAATACATTTATAAATTAGCTATCTAAAATATGAAAACTTCTTCCAATACTCCTTTACCTAAAAGAGCTACTGTACTTATTTCATAATTTTTAGAGTATTATACTTTTATTTATATAATTTTAGATGTCCTAGAAATGCTTATGTTTAAGATTTAGGTAGTTTATGTGGAACACATTTTAAAATATTAAAAAATGAACCTAGTATCATGAAATTTGATTAAAAATATAGTATTGGAAGTGATACACATTTTAATGTTTTATTTTGTGAAACATTTAAAGAAAATGGAATTGAAATTGATGATTTTTTTTTTAGACTTTTAAGAAAAATCACTCGTTTAAAACAATTCAAACATGAAATTCATTTTAGTGAATAATCCATTTACTAGAGATTTTAGAAAATGTTAACTTAAGTAGAAGACAATGAAGAAATTAAAATTAAAACTGAAGATTTTAAAGAAATCTATTAAAAATTAAAAGACTATAAAGCTTCTATTATTTCTATTAAATTTAATGGATCAGGTATTGATGCAGGAAAAAATTTTAACATTTTTATTCAAACTGAAAATTAAGATTCCATTGAATTTTAAATTGGAAGAGGATAAGAAAATCATGTCAAAATTAACTCAAATACTATATCGAGAAAATAGAGTAGATTTAAATACTCAAAAAGGTATAGTTTGCTATTATTTTAGCCTAAAATCATGGATAGTATTTGATGGATCTAAAGATAGAGATTCTGCTAATGGCACTTGGGTTTCATTATCAACATTAGAATAAGCAGATAAAAAGGTAGAATCAGATCTAATGGTCCTTAAAAATAATGCTGAAATAAAAATTAGTGAATTTATTCTGAAGATTGAATTGTTTTAAGGAAAGTAAAAAATTATCATTTATAATCATATTTAGGAAATAAAGCAAAATTAATTAGAAATTACTAAACGAACTTAAAAGCGAATGATTTAAAAAAATTATATATATTCATATAAATAACTTTGATATTTTTTCTAGAACTTCTAAATTTTTAGTACATAATTAATATTTTGATTGGATTATTAAAAGATTATGTACATTTAAAGAATTAAAATATATATACAATATATAATATATCACAATGATTTAAACATTTTTATAGTTTCTTGATAATGAAAATTTAATTTATTAAATATATTTTATATTACTCTAATAAATTTTTTCAATTCAAAATAATCCCAATCTAAAAAAAAAGAATTCTTACATAAATTAAATATGACTATAGTTTGCAAATTGAATATCTTAATAAGATTGTAAAATAACGAAATAAGTATTGATTTCATCACCATTTTGAAAGTGATTAATATAATATTTAAATTTATAATTTATATGAATTACTTATCTCTAATAGATATATTCGGAGTAGAGTTTAAACAACAAATTAGCCTACATGTCAAAAGCCAAAAATCTGTTATAGGAGGAATAACATCTCTTTTAATTTTGATTACAAGTTTAGGGTATTTCGCTTATATTATCAATGAATGGATTTAATATAGTATACTACCTAAATCAAGTAACACGATGCAGGTTGATGATAGTTCAGAATTGATATACATAGAAGATGAATCTCTATTCGAATTTTATTATTGGAAGTACTCAAGCCATTAAATTGATCCCTTTAATTAATAAAATAATATCCTAACCCCATTAGGTATTTACTTTTTGAATGGTAAACCTTAAGAGACATTTTCTTTTTTAGATCATGTTGATACAACTTCTCCTTATGGTACTAAATAATTTGGCTTGAAAGAATTAAATCTATCTTAGAACAATAAAAATATACCTTAAAAAAATAAAAGAGAATTAATGCTTGTATTTATAAAATGTAATCAAACATTATTAACTGGAAATCAAACTTGTGCAAATGAAAAAGAAATAGAAGACTTTTTTACTTCTGCTGTTAATTATATGGTATTCTAGATAAGTTTAAAATAATTTAATTCAAAAACTGAATAATTTGAATTTGTAAAAAAGGCCTTTTATTTTTCAATAGACAAAGCAATCGCAACGTAAGGTTAAATTTTACTTAAGTAAGCAGAAGCTTTTATTGACAATGGAATTATATTAGGGTCAACAGTAAAATAAACATTTGTTTAAGATATTTAAATCTTGACTACATCTTCATCTCTAAATCTATGGCATTAAATTTTAGGATTTGATTCTTATTTCAATATGATATTTCGTCTTGATCCAGTTTCTTAAAATATCCAAATCTCATATCCTAAACTTGGAGAGGTTTTGGCTTAAGTAGGATCAATAGTTAATGTACTTATGCTTTTAAAATATATAATTTTATTCTATAATGAAAAATTATTAGAAAATAGTTTTATAGATTAAGTGTTAAGCTTCTATTTTATTGATTACATTTAATTGAAAAACTCAAAAGAAAATAAAAATAAAAAGTTTTGTTCTCTTTTAGTTGAACAAGCCTAAAAAAAGCTAGTTTACATAAATATCATATATGAAATTTCAAGAATATAATTGTTTCTCTAAAATCAATTTGGCCGTAAAAAGGTCTTAGAAAGTCATTAAATGGGAATTCTATTATAATCTCCAAATTAGAATCAAAATTAAAATCATAATTTTGATTTAGAATAAGAATTGTTTAAATGTGAAGAAAATTTAGATGAAGAAAATACTGCCTTTCATATAAAGGACTTTTTTTTATTAAGTCAGCCTAATAAAAAATTAAACCAAGTAGAATAATCATCTGCAGATAAATATAATCTAGTAAATTCACCAAATATGAACTCTTAAAGAAATTGAATATATTTTATCTGCAAAAGTATATTAATAAAAAATGTTTGTTAAATTTTATTTCAAAGATAAATGGATCTTCTTTTTTATCTAAAAATTGTGAAAAAGAAAAATAAAAAAAATAAATATTGAAAATTATAAAGTTTCATTTATTCTAGATTTGATTGGAAGGTTTTCCATGAATCTTGAAATAACTATTTTCTTCAATCTTAACTCCACTTTTGGTTTAATTTTTCTGTTTCTTTTAAAAATAATTCATATCTTCATATTCTTTATTCTATTTTAACCATTATTCATATTGTTTCTATTTTAAGAATTTGAATACTTTGTTATCAAAATATAAACTAGCAAATTTCTTGTTTTCTGGTGAGTTTTCAAATTCTCTCTGGGCTTGTATTTTATTTTATTAATTAGGTTCTGTTTTTTCTATTAGGGGATTAGAAATAAGCTTTTTGCTTAAAAAGGATTTTCTTTCATTTATAGGCAATCCTGTTATAATATCTAACTCTTTTTAAGGTTATGGGGAACTGTTAATTCTCTAGACTTTTGAAAAAATTGGAGGACTATATGTTTATTTATGAGTTTTTGCTTCCTTCATTAATTGGCTTCTATCAAATAGTGATGGATCATAATTCTATCTTCTATCTTCGAATATATTCGAATTGTAAAAATATTTGACTTATTATTAAGTGAATTATTTTCTAGCACTTTATTAGCGAGGACTTTTTTAGTAATTAAATGTTACTGTATTCCTAGACTAATATCACTCATATACTTTAAAAAATATCGAATAATGATTATTAAATTATTAAAATAGAAATAGGTACAGCTTGTTTTTCAGAAAAGTAAGAAATTGTCCTACCATCTTCATTTTATTTGATAAATAACTAGCATCTTTAGTTAATAATATTATACATATTAAAAATAAAATGTAAAATTTATTGGAAAAATTTTAATATTTTTTCAGGTGTTTTTAAACTTGCTCTAAAAGCATTCCTTTTATAAAATAACTTTCGATAATTCATATTATTTAAAAGAATTAAAAAAAAGATTTCGGGCCAAATTTAATGTATATACTAGTTTATATCCATTATTTAAAGAGTTTAATCGACCATGTTTTAATCAATATAAATTACATCAAAAAAAATATTAAACTAATAAAATCTTGTTTTTGAATCATTAAAAATCCTATCGATTAAAACAATTGGTTTAAAATATAATTAACTTTCATTGCAACTAACAATTTTTAAGAAATTTAAGATTACATAATATATATATGTTAATATTAATTCTTCTAGAAATTTATAACTTTTATAATTTTACAACTATAACATATCATTTTAAGGAGAACAAAAATTTCTAAATGTTTCAATGTATAATTGTTTATAAAGAGCAGGCCAAAAAAAATTTATGTTCATTTTATTTGAAAACTTTAATTATTATTTTTTATAATATAAATAAATATTTCATGAAAAAATATCAAGACCCAAGAGTTAAAAAAGAATTATATTAGATTTGGTAAACAGCAAATAAAATATTTTGGAATGGAAAAATATTTACTGGGTATCTCTAATAAATAATAAAATTATTAGTTCTGAGAACCATAAATTATTAGCAAGTTTTAGTTTTATTACAATTCCATCTATTCTCTTTTATATATTTATGTCTCCTGTAAAAAATGATTAATAAAATAGGAATTTGCAAAAAATGATTAAAATGGGTACACTGTAGTTTTTGTAATAATTTAAATAACTATTTACGTATTTTTATCGATAACAGTTTGTATGGATCCAGGCATAATTCCAAAAATTGTATAATATATTTATATAAAAGAGATCAGAATACGAAATGGATGAAGAACTTCTAAAAGTGCCTTAAAAATATGCAAAAACCGATTACAGATTTATAGTAGACTCTAAAATGTTTATAATAAAGGCTCATTAATTTAAATTGAAATATTGTGCAACTTGTATTTATGATTGATGAAATAATAAATATTTTTAGGTGCAATATATAGACCAGCAAGGGCTTCTCATTGTCCTTCATGTGATAATTGTGTTGTAAGATTTGATCATCATTGTCCTTGGATTGGATAATGTATAGGTCGTAGAAATTATGTCTATTTTTACTTTTTTATTATGTCAGTATCTTTTAAGTTGATTTTTGTTTTTGGAACTTGTCTATCCTACATAGTGGATGAATCCAAAAAAAGATCAGAATTTATGGATACTTCTGATGCAATATCTGAGACTTTAGCTTAAAATCCTGTTAGCATAATATTAGTAATATATTCCTTCGGAGTAATTATTAATTCTAATTAGTTCTCTTGTTTTGTTGTAGGCCTCTGGCTCTTTCATTCATATTTAGTATTAAATAATTTGACAACTAATGAATATCTCAAAAAACATTGGTAAATTGATAGTAAGAATCCATTTAGAAGGTATTACAATAAATAAATTTTAGATAAAATATTTTAAAAAATATAGTTCATGTACTTACTTTCATATCTTCCCTAAAGTTTTTGGAATTAAAATAATCTATTTATGAAACTAAAGATTATGTATTATTAAATCTAAATTTTTATTAGAGTCCAATTCATACCTCAAATCATGTTAACGAAGCAAATGATTCGTCAAAATGTAAAGAAGAAGATTAAATGTAAACAGATAATAAAAATAGAAATAATAACATTTTAAACAATATTCAAATCATTACAGAAATACAAACCTGATTATTATTATTATATTAATTCAATTTTATTCTTTCTAATTTTTTGTTTTAAATTCTTTTATTTCTATTAATACTTAAAATATTCTACAAAATTAATATAAATTTAGAAGATTTTGGCTACTAGAATCTAAATGACAACAATATAAATAAAATGATGATATCATTCTTATTATTATTAAAATTTCTTATTTTTGATCATCTCTTAAATTCTTTTAACTTATTCAGTTTATTAAACATTATTTAATTATTTTGATATTGATTTTAATAAACTTGCTGGCATTTTTACTAGATGATGTTAAAGTGCATTTTCAATCCAATCTAGTGTTTTTAATTTATGTAATAAGAATTCAACTTATGTAGAATCTAACCTTTCTGAGCATGGTCCAGTCTTCATCATTGTAGAAATTATTATCTAATCATCTAAAGATGTTAATGCTGTATTATAAGCTTCATTAATATTATTTTTCTATTAATCATATTTTTATTTACATCAATTTATTCCTCAACCCTTTTCATTATTTTTTATTATTCAATTACTTTAGAATTTTAAATTAAGGGAGATGAAAATTATTATAATGTCTTTTTACTTTCAGGAAATAGAATAGAATGATCCTTATTTCTATTAGGAGAAGCCTCTGAGATTGACCTTTTATGATTTTCTCGAAATTTTATCTCTCCATCACTTTTCTTTCTTGAATTTACTTCAAAACTAGATTCTTAAAGTTTTGATTCAGTATTTTATGCCATAAAAAAAACATTTTAAATATTTGTATTCTTTCTTTAAGGAGCTTCATTTAGAGAGTCGAATATATTTTAATTTTAAAGATTCTGATATTATTAGTTTTAATTTATTTAGTAAGGAGTTTATTAATGTTAATAAGATTCAACAGCTACTTTTTATATTTTAGAATAAATTTATTATTTTTAAAAATTCTATTAATAATTTAATCTATTTTCTATAGTTTCTTACATTCTTTCTAAAATTTATTCAATTTTATCTATTCTTTTATTTAATTGATTCATCTCTAAGCGAGTATTATGTTCTGAAATTGACAATTTTTAATTTAAAATTTATTCGAAAATAGTTATTTATTTAGCTTTTGCTGAATCATATAACTTTAGTAGATCTTGTGTATCCTAAGTTTGCTTTTAAGAAGAAGTAGCAATTTAAATTTAGGATTTGGGGATCTCCTAACTTTAATTTATAAATCTCTCCTCCTTCTGATTAGTAGATCCAGAAATACTAAAATGATAAGTAGGTTAAACTGTTTAAATGAATGGAGAACATAAGGGATAAATATTTATATTTGAATCTGTTAAAATTTGTATTGGCGATGCTTTATTATCACTTCCAATTTATTAGTTAGGAAGAGTCAACGAATGTGTTTCATTTTTAACAAGAATATCTGCTAAATTCTATTTCTATTTTTAAAGTTCCTCGTCTCTTGGCCTATTCTCTATAATTTAAATATCTGAAGTTCTTTCAAAAAATTCTTTATTAGCACTAGATTTAAAAACAGATTTATATTCTCTAGCTGATTATTATTACAATAATCGAGAATCTTTTAGAGATGAAATTGCTACTAAAGCTGCATCTCTTACATGCTTTATCTTATCAAATCTTAATTCTCCTATTTTATTAATGAAATGTTCATTTACTCTAAAATAATGAGGAAAAATCACACTTAATGAATAAATTATATCTAAAGCAAATTTCCTAATCATAAGCAAAATAATACCGTGAGTTCCATTCTTCTGAATGCAAACAATTTATAACTGTATGTACACATTCTTCTAAACATGGTTCAAATATTCCTTCTACTGTCAATATAAGACTTAATAAGCTCTCTAGTAATCCTTGTTAAGTCTTACAATGTGGAGATCTTATTACAAATTAATTTAAAAAGTTTACTTTAAGATTTCTAAGGTTCTTTGTGTATAGGATTTATAAATAGTTTCCATTAATTATTTATCTGTTGTTTAAATAATTCTACATAAAGATTGAGCACTTATTTATTGAGCAACTCTATTATTATGTACAAAATTAGATTATAGTATTTCTGTAATCTATAAATATAAATCATATTTATTTGGCAATGTTTAGATAGTAAATTCATTGATATTTGCAAAAGTATCTGATATAACTTAAATAAATGTGGAATCTCCTTAAAAATGAACTTAATTTTACCCTCTTAAATTCTTTTATTTATTATTTATACAATTCTTGGTAGTTACTCTTAAATATCTCCACCTCTTATCTCTGCTAAAACACCAAATACTTTAATATAATCTTTTTTGGCTTATTTAGAAATATCATTAGAATCAAGTAAATTAGTCAATATTACAAATTGATTTAATTGTAATTATGCTATTAAAGACCTTAATTCACTGTAACCTGTCTAAGTGGTGCTTTGAGAACTAAAATTCAACATCATCATAGTTACTGTAATTTTGATAAAGATGAAAGTAGAATGGTTCTTAATTGTGAATTAAAATCACTAGTATTATACAATCTTCTAGATTTACTTAATGTATTGTTGTTCATATTAAAATTTTATTTAATATATAATAAAAAGAATCACTAAATGTGTAATAGTACAATTAACTTAAGAGGTTTTACAGCAAAATTGTATTTTTTATGTTTTTGTTAAATATTTAATTTGCTGCCATTTGATTATTAAACATTTTAATAAGAATTCTCTGGCTTATTTATTATTCATCTTTTGATATCATTAGTATATCAAAAACCAATAAAGTTAAGAATAAGAAGAAATGTAAAATATGATTAATAATCATACCTGTATTGGAGATTAAATAAAAATTTTAGTTAAAGCTGATGTAAATGTTTTTATGAGGACTCATCTCATAACAGATGATTTAAAGTCAAAGGAATAAATTTTTTTAAAGTTTAAGAGTCTTAGAATTTCTATAGTTAATTTAAATAACATACATTGTTGTATTTATAAAATTAAAAAGACATGTATTATTATATTAATACTAGGAATTGAAGAATTCTAAATTTTAGAATTTATCAATTCTAATATTCTAAAGATTAATAAAAAATAAATAAAATAAGTTTTTGATGACAGATAAGCTTTAAACCTATGGTATTAATATGATTAAATATTAGCAAATAGAGAAGAACAACTAGTAAACACAGATAATCGAGCAGAATTTTCATTAGGGAAATTTACTCCAATAGAATTAGAATGGGATAAATTGATAATAAATGCAACAATAAAAGTTGGAAATGTATATTTCTTAGTAAATATTAATTAGGTTAATACATAAAAGTGTTTGTTAAATAATCTTAAAGGGGTAATGAAACCAGCACATTTTACTGCAATTCTTGGTCCTTCAGGATCAGGGAAAACAACATTGTTAAACTTTTTATCAGGTCGTTTAATATCTGATAATTTACAAATATCAGGTGAGTTAAAGCTAAATGGAAAAAGGATAGATGATATTGATAAATTTAATGATTAAATGGCTTATGTTATGTAAGATGATATTTTGTTAGCAACATTTTCACCAAGAGGTAAATTAATTTTAAATTATTTAGAGGCCTTTTATTTTTCAGCTAATATGCGATTAACAATATCTGCAGAAGAAAAACATTAAAGAGTAGAATCTTTGATTAGAGAGTTGGGTATTACAAAATGTGCAGATACAAGAGTAGGAAATACCTAAATTCGAGGTGTTTCAGGAGGTGAAAGAAAAAGAGCAAGTATAGGAGTTGAATTACTTACAAATCCAAGTTTGATATTTTTAGATGAACCAACTACTGGTTTAGATTCTTCAACTGCATTATAAGTTATTGATCTATTAAAGAGATTAGCAAAAAATGGTAGAACTATTGTCAGTACTATTCATTAACCATCATCTGAAATATTTAATAATTTTGATAGACTTATGCTTTTAGTTAGAGGAAACATTATCTATTAAGGAGATGCTGAATAAGCTATTGATTATTTTGGAAATATGGGCTTTTAATGTCCTAATTTTTCAAATCCTTCTGATTATTTTATGAAATTAATGAATGAAGAGGGACTTTTAGTTGAAAAAATATAAGCAGGTGAATCTGAAGATTTTGATGAAGCTAAAATTAAGGAAGAATTTGAAGAAAGACTTAAATAATTTATAAATAATTACTATTCTTCTAATATGATTAAAGAATTATAATCCAGCGAATCTGCTATCATAAAAGAAAATGATTCTGGTTTTCATATTGGATTTATTTAATAATTTGTATTAATTTATTAAAGATCCTTTTTAAATGAAATTAGAAATCCTATGGATGTTAAATTAAAAATATTTTAATCTATTGTTAATGCAATAATGCTTATGTTAGTTTATTCTGATGTAAATATTAATTAATATATGATAGTTAGGAAGATATAATGAAGGATTATAAAATCGTTTTGGAGCATTATTCTTCATTTGCACAGCTAATGCATTTGGTGGAATTTAAGGTGCTCTTCATACATTTTCAATGGAAAGACCTTTATTTTTGAGAGAAAGAATCAATAAAACTTATAGTGTACATTCATTCTTTTGGGCAAGATCTTTGGCAGAATTTCCTTTCCAAATTATTTATCCATCTCTTTGTGTCATAATTGTCTATTATGTTATTGGATTAAGTGATCTTAATGTTGGAAAGTTTTTCATGTTAATATTCATTTAATTCTTAACATATCAATATGCAGTTTCATATGGATTACTTTTATCAACAGTTATACCTAAAATAGAAGTAGCTACAGCATTAGTACCTGCTTTGGTTATTCCTTTTATGATATTAGGAGGATTCTTTGTTAATTAAGATAATATCCCCTATATATTCTATCCATTCACATATTTATCAATGTTTAAATATGGTTTTGAAGCTTCAGTCATTGTATGAATATATTCTTATAATTTTATAGAATGAATTCGATGAAGTAAATTATGAATGCATGCAAGGAAGTCCATGCAAACCTGTAGAAATGTTATCTATAACTTTATCTATGTGGGAATGTTGCTACATTTTAATTGGATTAGCAGTTGGAATTAGAATGTTTGCCTATTTAGCTCTTCATCTCATTTCAAGTCCTGAAAAACCTAAACTTAAATCACCAGAATCCATGTAGATTATGAACAGTCAAAGTTGATTTATTTCTTCTTTAAATATTTTATTTAAATTACCAATTAAATCAAATATTCAATTATCAAATTCAGATCAATCTTTTAAATTTAATTTTATTTAAGTATCCAAAATTTATTTATTCATAAACCAATAATTTCTAGATATTGTTTAGTTTATTATTTAATATTTCAATAGTATGTAAAATTTAAGTTTTTATTATGTATGGGAAAAGGCTTCTTTTTATCTTTCTTCTTTCCTACTCTCTTTATTCAAAAATTATTTCATTTTTTTTACTATTCAAGAGCTGGATATTATTTTACAATAATATCAAGAGATTTTCTAATAACTAACGTTCAGGAAGAATTGAATAATTAATTTTGTTGAAGTTTTAATATTTAATACTCCTTCAAATAAAGTTATATTATTAATATATTTTAAAGACAAATACAATTCAAATATCTTCCATTTGACCCTCAAATTTATAGATATTAATTTTTGGATTTCACAAAATATTCTTACTGAATTTTTATAAGAAATTTAATTCTTTCTATATGAAATAATGTTTATGAATTTATTATTATTTTATGAAAATTTGTCTATATCATTCAATATCAAATATTTTTACAAATATTATGGTTTAATTGAAAAATATTAATATAATTATATTTATAATGTGGCAATTTACTAATGATTCATATCTTAAATTTACAACTCTTCCTGAGATTTTGAAGAGACCTGATGCAAAAATAAAATAAACAAGCATAGATAATAAAATAGTCTAAGAAGAATAAACTGAAAACACTGAGATTCGACAAAAAAAAGTACATATGAAACCAAGGTTGCCTGTTTTATCCAATTTGTTATTGAAACCAAAATAGGCTCCTACCTCACCTAGATAAAATAATGAAGAAAATAAAGTTATAAAGAAATAAAGAATAGAACCTGTTAGATCAGTAGTTTAAATTAGATCAAATTCAAATGCACCTTCTATGATAAAGAAAATAACAAACGAAAAATTAGAAATTCAAGAAACACAATAGACAGAATAAAAACCTTAAAAAAAAATAGTGATTATAGATGATTATGAAATATAAGAAGTTATTGGTTAGGGATCATATGCTATAGTTAGAAAAGGAATTCATAAAGTACATGGTTAGATTGTAGCCATAAAGGTATATTCTAAAGAAAGACTTTATGATCCTTAACGTGCTAGAGCAGTGGCTAAAGAAATTCAAATTCTTCGATAATGTAATCATAAAAATATTATTCACTTAATTAAAGTTGTCGAATCAAATAAAAATGTAAATTATTGATTTTAGTATGTCTTAGATTAATTTAATTATGGAATATGGAGGTGATTAATCATTGAAAAAAGTTAAAAATTTATCAGAATTTGAAATATAATTAGTTTTCTTTTAATTACTAAAAGCTGTCAGTTATTTACACAATAAAAAGATAATTCATAGAGACATTAAATTAGATAACATCTTAATAAATTCATAAAAGTAAATTAAACATAACTATAAAGAGAAATCAAACTAATTGATTTTGGTTTTGCTACAGAAATTGATGGATATATTAACACAACTTATGGAACTCCTTCTTATATGAGTCCAGAAATGCTTCCTCCAAATCCAAGATATAATGAGATGACAGATATTTGGAGTTGTGGAGTCGTACTTTATGCTTTATTGTTTAATAAGTTTCCATTTAGTGGTCATACAGAAAAAGAATTATAAATGAAAATAAAAAAATAAGAATTACAAATCTAATCATCTGATGATGAAATTGTAGAAGTTTTAATAAGTTGTTTAGAAAGAGATGTTGATAAAAGAAAAACAGCAGATTAATTATTAAAAACACTCTGGATGATTTGTTTAGATTGACTCAATTTTATTATCCAAATATTAACTAGTAATTTAGTTTAAAATTTATTAAATAATATATGAGATTAAAAGAAAATAAATTATCTAACAATTTATATATTAAATATATTAGGAAAATGATTTAATCTATATTCTTGAATCAAACTGTTTAATTCATAAGATCTTTGAAGTTTTAGAAAGTCATCTAAATTATAATAAATTCAATACATAATCTTTTTTTAAAAGTTCCATCATAATGTCTGTGAAGAATTCCTTCTCTAAAGTATATTAAATAGACAAAGATTCAGCAGTAATAAAATTTTTTTTATTTTTTAATAACTTAAAACTTGTATCAATAACATCTTCTTCAATTAATTCTTTTCTATCAAACGCATACAAAATAAATTCTTAAAATGTTATTTTTCTGTCCTTATCCATATCAACCTTTTAAAATATATTCATGCAAATAATTTTTGTATTATCAGAATCTTCAACAAATTCAGAATAGGAAGTTATAAGTTCTTAAATACTAAAAAAGCCATCATTATCTAAATCTAGTGATCTAAAAACAGAGTATATTTCTCTTAATTTATCAGGAGGATAATTATTAATAATGAATTTAAGTAAGTAAACTTATAAAATATTAAGTTTCTTTGATTATTTTAATCTTAATATTGTCTCTTTGATTTGTTCATCCAACAAGAAAACTTATTATTTTTTAAACCAAATGTGTTTTGTGATTTCATTTATTTTAACTCGTTTTTTTGGATTTTTTTCTAATATTTACTATAATAAAGATATAGCTTCATCTGAGATTGTATTTTAATATAAAATATTTGATGCTTATATTTCCAATTTAAGAAGACTTGCAGTAGTAGATTCAAATGGAGAGCATTGATAGAATAAGTGATATAAAATTATTCCCAAAGACCAAATATCTCTTTCTTCAGAATATTCTTGATTTTCAAAATATTCTGGTGGTAAAAAATGTGTTTCCTCTATTGTTGGCTTTTTTTTCATAAATAAGTGGTAGAGATCATATAATTTTAAATATTTATCTCCAAATAAAGCAAAACATTATAATGTTAGATGTCCATGAGTAAGTTTTTAGTGATGCAAATACTCAATAACCTCAACCATTTAATTAAAGATAAATGCAATGTCTTTTTCATCATTATAAATTTTTGAATTCAACACTACTATTTTATTGTTGTTCTCTTCAGCAACATGAAATTTTTATTATTCTTCATATATTTCAAATTATTATATCAAATTTGGATGATGCTTGAATATATAAAATATATACAAGTTAAAATTTGAGTAACTATGCTATATATTTTGAATCAGAAGTTTTGTAACTCTTAATAATTCTTACAGTCCCAGTGTTGTTATGTTAAATAGTCGTAAAAGGAAAATTTTTATCCTCTCTTTAAAGTAAACTGTAGTAGGAAGAAAAATTTGTATTTCTATAAACTAGGAAAAAATTTATATTTTTCAAACTATATCCTTGTTGACTCAAATCACTATTAGATTAAAAAGCTGTATGTGTATTGTGTCTAGAATGAGACCTCATCCCATTTTATTAAGTGGATTATCTATTTGGTGTAGTTGTTAATGATTATTTTTATTTTACTTCTGAAAGTTTTGCTTTCATTGATATTTTCATCTATTATGAAGAACATGAACCCATTGTTATATCTTACAATATATATTTTGCAATGATAAAAAATTATAAATGAAATAAGGTAATTAATTCACTGACTTGATAAATACGTAATAAATATATAAAGATTAAATCCATAATAAATTATATGAGAATATTATTCTCATATATGGTAAAAATTTACTTTTTTTTAAAATTGCTCAAGAAATTTATAAAATACCTAAAGATTAAGCTAAAAACTAATAAAATAGATAAATTTAATGCATTTTATATTTATCAGTATCTTTTTTATTATTTATAATGAAAGGAATTTTATTGTAAAAATTTAATATCAGATTATTAAATTGCTCATTTTATTGCTCTAAATAGTCTTACTTTGAAAGGACATATTATTATTATTTGGATAAAATTAAAAAATCTTAATTCAAAAACAGCCTTTTTTTGTCCTCAAATAATGAAAATTCATTAATAAGATTTAAATAATTAACTTATATTAATTCTTTAAGTTCAATCTCACTCTTCAGTTGAATATTATTTATTTGAAAAACTTTAAAAGATTAAATTAATTTCGAATAACCATCTAAATATCTAGATTAATTAAGAGATAAATTTCTATTTGGATAAAATTTAAAATGATTTTAAGCTTTTTAATATATCCTAGAGTTTTTATTATATACAAATTTTCTAGGTATTCAAATGAATATTTAACTTTTGATACTAAAGTTATTAATCAAACTATTCATTTATAGATAAATAAAATCATCTTTAATTTAAATTTCCTTGTGATTTCATTTTTTATTATCTGAAATGAAAAAACTTAGCATATTATATCGATTCATTTCACTTTACAATAAAATTAAATTCTCATAAGTCTAAGTTGTAACTTATTTTAATCTTTTTATGGTGTACCAATGGTCTATTTTATTGAGCGACTTTATCATTTTTACTATTATTTATTCATCATACTAGTTTTTAATTGCACTTTAATTTTCTTTTTCCCATAACTTTTTGATAAATTGAATAAAGATAAAGTTTTTAAAATATTTTAGATATTCTATAAACATATCCTGTATCGTTTTTGAATATCTGAAATGGAAATTATAAATTATAAAATTTATAATTTATTTATTTAAAAGATAAAAAAATAATTTTCAAAATTTACTTTTTATATAACAGATCGTAAATAATCATTGTTTGATTGAATACTTTATCTTATTCTTTTATAGGGTCTTTATTTACTAATTTATGATGTTATTAATTTTCGATCTAAAAGTTAAAGATTTTGGAGTGAGTTAGTTTACAATATTTAGAGTGAATGTATTGTTCCTTAGTGTATTACAAGTAGAGTTTGTAATTTAATTATTGATTTTATTAAGATTTAGATTAGGAACAAATCCTTAATTTCTTTGATTCTTTATTATATTATCTTTTTTATAAACCATTAGCTTTTATAAACCTTATGAATTGACTTTTTATTTTTATTCTAGGTGTAATGACTTTTTAAATTTACAACCATTTAAATTTTTTCTAGGTGTTTATACTATATTAATGGGACTTGGATTAAAAGCTTAATCATCGTATGGATTAAATTATTTAGATATTTTAATTGATTGAGTCGAAGAACTTTTATAAGTTTTATTTTTAGTTGATAATGTAGGCTAATTAACAGAAATTAAAATTTTTTGTAATTCTTTGTTATCCAATGATTAAATATTTTTAGTATTTTGTTTATATTTTTCCATTTAATTTAAACATGTAAAGATTCTTAATCCTAAAGATTGAATATCTGGAATAGATTTTTTAAATTCTTTTCTAATGTCAATTTTACTTTCTAAATTAGTGTTTTTCCTTTAAGCACACTTATTAAATAGATGATTAAAATTAGAATCAAAATTTTATTCATGTGAAAATGTTTTCAAATTTCTACTTAAAGAAGATGAAGGTTATCTTGTAGACAAAGGGATTTTAAAATCATGTTTTTATTTAGTCTATTATTTAGATTGAATAAGTATTTATTCATTTAATCTAAGATTTTATTTAAAAGAGGGACTGCTATTTTTTATAAAGGAATGTTTTTAAGTATTATTGTATTTGGTTTAATTAAAAACTTCAAGCATTTATTAAATTTCACTCTTTTAGTCATCCTACAATTTAATAATTTAACTTATATCTTGTTCTGCAATTTAATTTTAGTTTTTCTACTATAAAATGGTATCTGAGAGTATATTATCTACATTATTGTTAATGGTTGAATTGCCACTAATTTCTGATTGTGGAGTACTTTAAGATTCAAAAGGTTTATCTCCAACAATTCCTTTTTATGGTTGATCTGGATTCTTTAAGTTTTCTTATTCTATTTATCTCTATATTTTATAGTATTCCAATTTTCTCTTTTTATCATAATACAAATTCAAAATTTATATAATATCTTCATCTACAGTAAATCTAGGCAAATCATGATGATATTTATAGAACTCAATCAGCAATTAAATTTTAGATTAGTAATCATCAAAATAATAAACTCTGGACATGCACTCCTCATTTTCTAAATATTGCATATCATCCTGAATTATCATGAATTGATTACATAAAACTTAATTGTTGCTGATGTTCTATTTTTGCCTAAAATATCATTAATTTCTTTAGTGAAGTAATAATTTTGAGAAGATGCATATTTATGATATAGTGTATGATTGATTTTATTAGATGAACCAAAATTAGAGTGATAATTTCTGACATATCCTAAAGTATTTAATTTACAATTCATCAATTAATTCATATATAAATAAATTAGTATATGTCAGAAGAATTAAATTCAAGTCTTGATTCATTAGAATTAGATCTCTATCACAAACCAAATCCTTAAATAAAAACCATAGTTGATTATCTAAGAGCTCAAAACATCAAGTTTTGTACCGATCCAAAAGCTAAGGAAAATAATTATTATACTAACCAGTCATATAAGGAAGAAAATAATAATACTGATTTTGGAATTTAGTAAAATAGATTTATTCAAAAGAATAGTAAGAGATTGGCATGTCATTTGAAATGAGAAATACTTGATTTTACTATATTTATGTTATTTTTCTTGTTTGATTCAGTAAATATTTAAACATTCATAATTAATTAGATATAATATTACGATGACTCAATTCGATCTTAAGAATCAGCAAAAACTTTATTTTTCATGGTAAAGAACTTAATTTAAATTTAAATTGTTGATGATGAATTATTAAAAATTACTGACAATTAATGATTTAATAAAAGTTTTAATGAAAAATTATAGTTTAAAAATAGATATATATTGTGATTTAATAAGCACAAGAAAACTTAATAAAGTGTATTATCTATGAGTTTTATTATAATTTTTTATATTATAATAATGTTTATAATTTTTTTAATCTAAGCTATTTACTCGTTAAATGTATAGAACTTTTTATGTGGATTACGCCTTTTTTATGAAGAATAAACATTTTTTTTAGTCGATTAACAGAATGAGAAGTAATAAGTTTATTTAATTGATGAGTATCATGCCATACATCTTAACAAGTTCATCACCTCATTTTGCATTAGACATCTAATAAAGTTATAAGAGTTCATAAAGCTTGAACAATAATTCATATTTTTTGGTTGGATTTTCAGATGCATACATTTTTGTAGGTAATGCTAGTGAAATATAATGGTTATAAATTTCAGAGTTCAAAGTCAAGAAAAATAGAACCACAGCATCTGTTAACAATTATAATGGTTATAATGGATATTTTGTAAATAAAGAGGAAGATGGAGGACACTTGATTATATCTAAAGAAAATTTGGTGAGAGACTTTTCTTTTGGTAAAACGGATGCTATAGATAAATTTTAGAATATGGGATTAATATATATAATATCTTGGGGAGGTTAAGGTGATGTAATGTTGATTTTTAAACGATTTATACATTTAATCAATTAATCTGAAGGACAAGAATATTGTTAATAGAAAGTTGCCTCAAATTCATTAGAACAAATTAAGTGTAATTTAGATTATAATTTTGAACGTTTAACTTTTCGTACACCTGATCTTTATCATCCTCCAATACATTATCATTTAGGAAATGAAATTATCAATGGTTCATTAGAAAATTAATATTTTACAAAAAATTATCCAGGACTTTAAGTTTTTGTTGCATAAAATTTGAATAATAAAGTATTAGAATTAAGAATACCAATAAAAAATATGGAAACACATTAATAAACTATAGAGTAACCTCTAAGTGGTTTAATTGTTAGTCTTTAGCAAGAAAATAGAGGATTTATTCATATACTAATTTTTGAAAGTGATGAAGGAATTGTTATTAATTATAAAGAGGATGAAAATTTGGCTTATATTACTATTGGAATGACGGATTCTAAAGTCTTTGCTTTTTCCTTTGTTACTTCATAGTTTAATAAATTTCCTACTATTGATTTAATTGAGCATGTATTTTAAGATTGTGTATCAATTATACATTAAAGAAATAATGTTTGTGAAAATCCTATTAAATAATGTTCTGATGTTTCATTAAACTTTTTTGAACAATCTTAATTTGAATTGCATTCTGAATAAAATATTAAATTTTAATCTAATGGGGAATTTTAGGATACTCCCTTTGTAAAAATGTTTGATAATGCTTCTGAAGTTTAAAATGATTTCACTATTTTATTAATTTCTGAAATTAACAATAGAGAAATGAATCATGGTGGATATATAGGATCATTTCTTAGAATTACTTATAAAAATTAAAGTATCAATTCTTTAATCATTAATGAATAGAATGAAAATTTAGAAGCATTTTATAGTATTAAAGATAATGTTTGTAAGATTTATTTAAATATTATAGATTCTCATTCTGTTTAAAATATTACTGGAAATACTTATGTTTTAGTATTTACATCTTAAAATGAACTAAGTGATATTTAATGTTTATAAATATTTAGAGAATTGATTGATCATATTCAAAGAATATTTATAATTTAATAGAGTAAAAATTAAATTCTACATTTAGTTTAGGATCATTGTGAAGCCTTACAAAAATACTATGATGTGTAACCTATTTTATACAAAGAAATACATAAAATGTTAAAATAGCCCACTGAGTTAATATAAACAGTAGATTAAGATTAACTTGACTAATTTGATTTAGAATATTCTACAGACGAGGAGGAATAAGATAATTCAATTAATTAATCTAATAATTCTAATAAATAAGAATATGTTTTTGAAGCCTCTTTAATATCTGATGATAATTAGATATAAGTTTAAGAAAATTAAGATTCGATAGAAAGCCAAAATGAAATAACTTAGGAGCCATAAATGGATTACTTTGATAATTTTAATTATAAATAAAAATAATAATAATAATTAGGATAATAATAATAATAATAATAATTAGGATAATAATAATAATAATAATTGTAATAATAATAATAATCGCAATAACAATAACTACAATAATAATAATAATAAAACTAACAATTAAATAAATTTTAAGAGATCAAATAAATTTATTAAAGTAAAAAAGAATTTGATGAGAATAAAATAAAATAGGATTCTGGAGAAATAGATTAAGAATCCTAAATTATAAATTAAGAAGAACAAAAAATGGAAAAAAAGGATTCTATATATCTAAGGAGAAAGAAATAATAAAAAGAAAAATTAGAAGAAATGATAAGGGATGATGAAAAAGAAACATTATCAGTTGATTAGGAGGTCTATTATAAAAAAACATTTCATCAAAGAGAAAAAGGAGATTCAAAAAGAGATGAATACTACGACAGAGGAGATAGATTTTATAAATAAGATTATTATAGAAGAAGAGATGATTATGATTAGAATGAGTAGTATAATAATAGAAGAGGACCATAATTGACCGGATAAAGTGTTATAATACCTAAAAATCCAAATGATGAAGAATTAGGAAAGTTCTTAAGGGAAATTATTAGTAAATTATAGTACAAATATAATATAAATATAGTATTTATTCTGATCCTTGTGATCCACATTCTACAAATTACAATCCTGGTAGTTGTGAAGCTGATAATTATTATGGTTCTTCATCAATTAAAAGAACCGAGCCACGTCAAAGAGATTTTTATAGGAGTGCTTATAAATATGATAATAAATATGAATATAGAGGTATTAATTAGAATTTAAATAGCTTGTATAACTGTTTATAGTAAATGTTATTTTAAGGGAGAACCCTTGGAACTTTGTGGACATTAGAGAAATATCCCAAAATCATAATTATATCTAGATATATTATCAATTAGAGCAGATGAAAATTATATAGTGGAATTTTATATGAAAGATAGAAATGGAAGATCTGAATTGTATACATTAAAGGGTACTTAAAAATGTTTGAAATCTCCATTAAGAGTTGATTGGCTATTACAATGAATTAAATACATTTTTCAATTTTTATAATATTTTATTAAGTGTTTACAAACATGCTAGATTAAAGTGAGGCGTATAAGATTGAAGACAAACTTTTGTTTACTAAATAAAACAATACTATTGGAAAGTATTAGATCTTTATTTAATGAGCAGTGCTTTTTAAACAATGAGAGCCAAATTTTACGGAATTCGAATGAAAAACAAAGCAATTCAAAACAAAAAACGATATCAATAACTTGCACCTATTCATTATCACATCATAAAGGATGTTTCTCGAAAAGAATATTATTAGTAAGAAAAATAATGATTATTTTGAAAAGTGTCATAGAAAACTGGATAAGTTTGGGGAAAAGTAAACAAATCTAGATTTGCCAGATTAAAAAGAAAATTGACCAGAAAGTGGAGAGAATTAAAGAAATCAAAATTTGCATAGAAAATAGCTAAATCAATAAAATTCATTCCAATAATAAATCCAAACAACGATTTGAAATTAATATGGGATATATTTTTAGCATTTATAAGATTCTATCTTTTATTTGTAATTCCTTATGAGACAGCATTCAATAATAAATTATTATACACTTAACTTTTATGGACATTATAAGTATCAACAGCTTTATTAATATTTGATATTATACTAAACTTTATCACGTCATTTTATGAAAAAGGATATTTATAAACAAATCATTAAAAGGTAGTGTGGAATTACTTAAGGAATGGTTTTATTTATGATTTATTTTGTGTAGTGACATTACTTGTGGTTTTAGCTTAGGAACTTAGTGAATAGAATAATTATATTGATTATAAACATTAATCACTTAGAGAATATAATTATTTAAGAAGTGTAATCAGTATTTTAGGAATTATTATTTAATTATAAAATATAATAAGAGTATTTCAAAGATTATAAAATAGTCAAGATTACTCAGAAACTACTTCATTATTAATAGATTTAGTAAAGTTATATAATTTATATAATAGATTAAACTGGTTATGTTTCTATTCTTATTGGAACATTTGTTCAGTTGCATTTGGTATTTTGTTGGAATCTAAGAAATTGCTGAAGATTCATGGATAAAATCAAATGGATTATAAAATGCACCTTATACCGATTAATACATTACAGCATTTTATTTTTCTTCAGTTACAATGTTCACTGTAGGATATGGTGATGTAATTCCTAAAAGTAATTAATTAATAAATCTTTAATAGATATTTATGAAAGATTAGTTACAATAGGATTTATGGTTTGTTCAACTTTATAATTATCTTATACAGTTTCAGCTATTTGGAATGTTTATTCAAAATTGAATGAAAAGAGTGAGGATCACATTCGAAAAATGAGAGCTATTAATACTTATATGAAGAGTATTAATATATCTAATCAATTAAAATATGAAATTAGAGAATATTTAACTTTTTATTGGAAGGAACAAAAATTAGAGGAAAATTTAGAAGTCAAAGATACAATTGGTTAATTATCACAAGATCTTCAAGAAAACCTGATATTTGAAGCTAATTCAATTATAGTAAAAGGTTGTAAATTATTTAATGATTATTTTTCTCATGAATTTAAAGCTGAATGCTTAAAGAATGTTCAATCAATAACTCTTACACCTTGTAAACCTGTTCATTTTGATTAGCCTTGTTTATTTTTTATAGAGAGGGGATCTATAGGAACATATTTTAGAAATAATAGATTAAGATTAGCTACACTCTAAGTTGGAGATAACTTTGGATTAAGAGAGTTTATGCTAGATGATATACCATCATTAAAATATACATCTGTGGCTTTTAGTAAATTAGTATTCATTACAAAAAAAGATTTTATGAAAGTTTTATTAAAATTTCCAGAAGATCATGAATAATATTGCTAATTGAAAGAGTAACTCATTTTTGAAAAATCATACTTTGCTATGGATTGTTACTCATGTAAAAGTCTTTAACATACTGTTTAATAATGTCCTTTACTTACTTTCAATCCTGATAAAGGTTCAGTTATTAAAAAACATTAATATCCTTTCTACTAAAATAGAAAATTTTATAAAAGAAAATTCGATAAAAAAAGAAGGGCCATTTTTAAAGAACTTAAATAAAATGATAATTTAGAAAAGTTATAGCTTACTATTCCAACTATAGAATCATCTGATTCTTCCGAATTCGAATTAAAAGAGTCATAGAAAGCTTCCCATTCTAATTACTTTTAATAAATGGTAAGTGTTACAAGAAAATAATTTTCAAATAGATAAGCCTTTAATATTAAATAAATAAAATAAAAATTACATCCTCCAAATTAACCAATATAAACTTTAGAATTACATAATCTAAGAGATTTAGATGATGATTAAATTAGAGAAAGTGATAAAATTTTGTTAGAACATCTAAAATTGAGATTGAATCCAAGAGTTAATTTAGAATTAGATTGTATTAAGAATTACAAGAATTATTATCCTTAATTTAATTCTTCTTGGCTTTTTAAGAGTACAAAAATAAATTAGAAATTCTTTGAATAGTGGAAGTAATTAAGTCTCTTTCTAACATTTCCATATGAATTTATTAAGTAATAATATTTATTATAATAATAGAAAATATAGATAGGAAATTTTAAGAGACAATTAGCTTGTAAGTCCATAAAAATAGACCGATAATCATAAAAAAAAAAAGAAAGCAACTGCATTTTATTTTAAACCTGTTTAAGCAAAATGATTTTGAATAATTAATTTAATGCAATCTTCGAAAGAGAAACTGCCTTATTTATAACTAAATAATCGTAGATCTTGTTCTATGGCCAATTCAAATCCTGCAATCAAGAAGTTAAAAGAGACCTTAATTGTTGAGAATTAATCAAGTAGAAGCTATTTAAATAGAAAGTAAGGAGACATTTTGGATTCAATCTTAGAAGATGCAAATCTAATCATTAATAACAAATTACTAGAATAAAATGTCTATAAATTAAAGGATTTAGGCTTATTGAAATAATATGATCCAACAGTAGCTGTATAATAAGGATTTAAAAAAAGCAATTATGTTTTGAATGATTATCATAGTAAAAGCACTACTAATGGGTATTCAAGAAATTATGGAGGTCTATTCTACAATAGATGATTATATTATATGCAAGATTAAGGAAGTATTTAATAAATAATACTAAGTTTAATTGTTTATATAAAATAATTGGAAATAAATTTATTTTGATCATTCAACATCTTCAACTTTTGCTCTTTTATTTATTTATTCCATGAATTTTTCAAGAGGACTTACATTTTTAAGTTGTTCTTCTAATTATTTTTTCTTTTCATTTTCTTTTTAAGCCTTTTTGCTTTTTTTACTTTCCTATTCTTTTTATATTTATTTTTCATATTATTATTAAAAGTATTGTTCTTATAATAGTTTATCTCTTTCTTACATTTCTTTGATTAATTTATCTTTTTATTCTTTTTCTTGATTTAAGAAATGATCAATATCTTTCATATCTTTTTTATGTCCTAAGGGTAAAGTTTATTATAATTGATGTTATTATTCTTAAGGAACAATAGGTTATAATAAATTAGGAGAAGGAGCAGGAGCTTAAGGTTTTTTAAAAGTATTAAGAATGTCATTTAAGTTTTGATCATCATTGATATTAGCTTATTTATAAATTTCTTTATTAAAGGACCAATAAGTTCTAGGTGGAGGTTTATTATATTTTCTTTTTTTACCACTGGCATCTTCTTCTTAACCATTATTAACAAGTTACATAGTAGATTCGTTTTTAAAATAGAATCCATCTCCAAGTGGTTCAAGTATTTTCATATCACAATCAACAAAATCACTTGGATTTCTATGAAATAATTCAAAACAAGGGAAAGGACATAAAAATATCTTACTAACATTTAATAGTTTTTCACATAATTAACATCTATAATATGGTTTAGTTAAGCCATCAAATTTCATGCATACTAAACAATATTTAAAGGTATCTTCTTATTTTTATGGGATTGGTGTATGAAATTAATCACCATATTATTTTTATAATCCAAAAGATAAATGATCTGTATTTGAAGATGATTCTTTATATGTGACATTTAATTTTCTTTTAGCTTCATTACGATCTCTTTCAATTTATTAACCTTTCTCATTTAATAAGACTTTAGCTAAATCATGTCTATATTAAGATGGAGATGTCTATTGAATTAATAAGAAAGTATTATGAATCATAATTTCGAAATATTCTTCAAATTCAACTCTTAATTAATGAAAACCTTCAGTATTACTTAATTATGAAGATTAATAAAAATTACTCCTATATTATTAAAGATTTACAATGTGTTCTTGTAATTATTCTTTTATTTTTTCATAAGATGTCATATAATGTCTATTAGATATCAAACGTCTTTATGGAAATACATCAACTTAAGTTCCTTATTTAATTAAGAATAATTAATCTAATTCATAATCACCATCTTACAACATTTAAATTAAATTATGATTTAAGTTTTAGTAACGAATAACTGGATATATAGATTAATCTACTAATTAGATTACTCTTTCTAAACTCATTTCAAACATTATATAAGTAACATGATTTTAATTTGAATATTTGTAAAGCATTCTCATTACTCTATTAATTCTATCTTCAATTTTCACATTGTTACAAACGACTAACAAATCTATTATTTAAGAACTATCATAATCAAAAATGTAATATGCTTTATATGCTTTCTAATTTTATTCTACAACAATTAATTCTTAATCAGGATTATATAGAGCTTTTAATTTCTTTGAAAACTTTCTAACTTCCAATTATAATTTAGCTCTTTGTAATTCATCAATATATGAAAATATATGAAGATCTACAAATTTGAATCTACCTATTGGCATTGTTACTTCAACTCCTCCTTTCAGCCAAGATTCTGCATTCCAATAATCATCCAATTATGGAAATCTATATACTCCAAATAATATTTGCAATCCCAAATAAAATTAAATTTCAGCTTCTTTATATTTCTTCTTATGGTACAGTTATTAAGTTTATTATTACTATTATTTAAGATCTTCTTATAAAACCATTAAAAGATAATTATTTATCATCTCTGTTAAAGTAGATACAAAACTACTTGGCAGAAAATAATTCAAAACATTTATAGCACTCTATAAAGATGTCATCTTTAATTAAGGAGTATCTAAATAATTTAAGATCTCTGTTATTTATGAAATATCTGTTTGTTAAATATTAAGTGCTTTTCCAAAGTTTATCATTGCAGCACAATCTCTTTCATCATCAGATGCAATTTAAACAAATTATTCTTCACAGTCACTCAGAATTATTTCTTATTTCCAATAACAATTATATTTTTCTAATTCATCAAGGATTTAAGTTGATTATGAATTTCCCATTATCTAATTTGTTTAATTGTTTAAAGCTTCTTGTTTCATTTCAAAGATAATTTATTTATTTATTATCTCTATTTTTTATCTCAATTATGCTTTTCATTTATCTTGCAAATAAATAGATTAATATTTTACAATATCCTTTTATTATTTATTAATAAAATATCAATTACTATTTTAATTCTTTTTCATTTAAACTACAATTGCTTTTATTTGTATTTTATTTACTATACAAAAGAGAACACCTTTAATAAAATAAAAAAAGTATTATTTTTATAAACAACTTATTAATTATTCAAAAATATATTTTTTTTAAAGTTGTATTTAACAAATAATTAAATCAAACAACATCTAAATCTATAAGTGGTGAATGAGATCCTTCTTAGGTTTTAGATTACCCTATTTCATCATTTTAATATTCACTTTAATATGATAACTATTAATTCTAAATTTAGGATTGTTAAGTTTAAAATTATTATTATGAAATCTATAAATTTTCTTTTAATTTTGTTGGTTTCTTTCTTGCTGCTTTAAAATCCTCTATAATTTTTTTACCTTTTTCAACTTTTATTTAATCTGTTTCGTCTTCAAAATCAATTAGACATTGTTCTTATTACTCCTTTTCATACAATCTCAAATACATTTAAGCTAATTATTATTGAATTTATTCTTCTTTGAAAAAATCAATAAACTTACTTAAAGATTCAATTTTCATTATAATATCTCTTATCAATATTTTATCATCAATATTTTTTATTTATGTCAATAATCCAAAACTGGCTTAAGTTAACTTTAAATCATATGATTTATTAAGTTTATCTAAAATTGATAATATTTCTTTATATTTTTTTTATTTCAATAAAATTTTTAAAATTAATTTCAAAAATTTAGATCTTTAATATATGAAATTTACTTCATGAAAATAATAATTACTAAATAGATCATCTTTTTCAAATGCATATCGATCAATATATTTGTAATAATAAACTAAATCTTTAGTGTTTGGTAAATATATTGTTTATATAGAATTAAAAACTTAATCAATAGAAGCATCACTGTGAAATAATAAATGAGTAGAGTAATAAAATGACTCAATTAAATATCTTTATGGTTATTTTTTTATAAATCTATTTTTATTTTTATTTAATTCATCTAAGATGTTGTTTAAAATTAAGTTAACATCTTAAATGCAATAAGTTTCATTATTTTCCTATTCTAATTAATCTTATTAAAAATGCTTTACTTTAAAGTTTTTTTTATCATGTTCAAATTAAAATTAAAACTAAACTTAAGCTTAATTCAATAAATTAGGAAGTTTTTTCTTGATTACTTTTATCAATTAATTCAATTAAATATACAATTAATGTCTTAAAAATCTTTTGATAAATTTATAAATTGATATCAATATATCTTATTCCATTTCCTCTTAACCTTCTCTAGATTTAAGAAAATATTCAATTTTATGATAGTTCATTTGTTTAATCAAAGATTTGAGAGTTTAAATATTTTCCAAATTTTATTCAATATCTTCAATAGTAACACAATAAAGTTTTCTCATAATTCTTTTTTCTTATAACTACAATATTCTAAAATTATGTTTTAATTCAAAAACTTTGGATGGAATCATTTATCTTTTATTGAACAATTATTTATATTCTTATTAAATTTACTCAAAATGAATTTCAGAATTTGTATTTTAATAAATTTATTATTATTACTAAAGATGCAAAAGATCTAAAATTATAAAATGTTCTTCTAAAAAATCTAATTCAGGAAAATTCTTAATTATTTATTGTACTCTTTTTTAACAATTAAACCAATTTATTTCGGACTTTTACTTTTATGTTAAGTAATTACTCGCTTACTCGAATAAAGCTATATAGAATTCATTCCAGAGAGAAATAGAATTCTTATAAGCCAAAGCAAAGAAAAAATTTCTAAATTCTAATTCGCTTAATTCATCATGAATTTATTCATTTCTTTATAATAAGTAAAATAAATTAGATTTATGAGTACTTTCAATTTTTAAACTTATAATCTTTTTATAATGCTCATTAATTGAAAAACTTTTAGTTGAATCTTGATTAGTATCAAATATGTACACTTCTAAATCTTCTACGAATTCCAAAATTTCCTATTCAATTTGTTTATTCAAAGATGATATAATTTTATTGAAAAACAATTTTTCTTTTATTTACTTAAAATCTGAAACGCTTTTTATGCAATGTGGCAAAACAAGACCAAAAAATTCAAGTTCTACTTCTGTTATCTCATTTTAGAGTTCAGGTTGAAAATAATATTTTTAGATTACCACTTGATATAATTAATTACTTAATTCATTTGTACTCATACCAAACTCACATTTTATACATTCTTTAGCAAATCTTTTAATATGATTGATTATTTTAGGATCTCCAATATTTATTTAAACAGAATGATTAATTAGAAATTCAACAGTTTTATTAGAAAATTAGAATAATTTTTTAGTTATCTTAAAAGATGATTCTATTTAATTATCTACTAGACAAAGATTTTTGTATTTATTAGAATAATTGCAAGGTTCCTCTAATTCATCTTCTGAAGCATCAGAAAAAGAATCTGGTTATGGTAATCTTGATTCAAATTTATTAATTTCAATTTTTAATTAATTAGGTTGAACAATAAATTAAGCAGTATGTTAAATTTTTAATTCTAGTAAATGTAGTAAATAATAATTAATTTCTAAATCGCTTTCTATGTTAGTTCGTAAATACTCCACTAATTAATTATACTTCTATTTCGATGTTGTTAATATTTCAATAAATTCTTTTAATAAAATATCAATATTGATAAAACAAAAATACTCATTTAATTTTAGATGATTAATTTTAAGAACTTCTAATAAAATTTAATATTTAGTTATTCCTTTTGCTGAATTCAAGAATATCTCAGTAAATTTAGCCAAAATTTGACTTGGATCAATTTCAATATAAGAATAAATAAGAATAAATTTAAGCAAAATGAATCCAATTTATAAATCAGTAATTTGTAACTTAAAAATTTCTAATATAAATGGTGATACAAATTTGTATATGATTTTTAAATCTTAAAGTTAATTTGCAAAATAAAATTAATTTAGAAATATGATTGACAATCTCTTTAGTATATTATTGTTCATATTTTATTATATATATTCAACAACTTACTTAAATTATGTTCTTACTTTTTGATTGTCTTCTAATTATTGTTCTCTTTCTTCCCATAATGTTAAAATTTAAAGAACTTACTTAAGAGTTTTGAGTTCAGATTGAATTTAATTTGCTTCTATTTTTTCATAAATTAAATCTTTCAATTTAGAGTTTTTCAATTAACTAGCAAAATGTTTAGCTAATTTAGCTTAAAAAAAATGTATATCACTGTGAATATTTGCCATAATATTAGAATACTTTTATAAATAAACTTTAATTTCGTCTTTATCACTTAAAATGCTTCTAATATCAGTTTATAACAATTCTAATTTCATATTATTAATGAAACGTAAGTAATTCTTTATTTTATTTTATTCATCTGCAGATTTTGGTTTTTTTTCGTTAAATCGATATTTTAATTCATCAAATGCTATTTCTAATAATTATAAATTTAAGAATGGATCATCAACTAATTTATTTGTGCAATATTGAGCCCAAACAACACAATTAATTAAACCTTTTGATACTTATTTATAATTTTCAATTTATTCTTTTTGAGAATCAACAAAATCTTTGAGTGTCAATTAAATTAATTTCTTTAAGAGTTCAACAACAGTTAAAAAACTTTAATTATTTAATTGTTCTGCTAAAAATTTTGCTACAATGCATTCTGAATTTTCATTCTGCTCATTCAAAATTTTAGAAGAGTTATTATTTATTATTGATAATGAAAAGAAATCTAAACCATAATTTTATTTTATTATTTCTATTAATTTAATATTCGTATTAGATATTATTTAATCTAAATTAAACTATTATTAGATATAAGATTGCTTAGATTTTTATTTTTCAAATTATTTAAATGTTTGACTAGGTAATTCTTTTGATACTTATTACTTTTTTTGTTTATTAGAAATAGTTGAAACTATAATTCTTGTACTAGAAACAAGAAAATTCTCTTTAAATGGATTTTTCTTAAGGTTTAAATTTATTTAAAACAAATTTTTAATATCTTTAAAAAATTTTTTAACGTTGTATGTATCTAAGAATATTTCTTATTCGTGTTTTTGTTCTTAAAGAAATTAATAAATTTAATTTTAAGGTAATAAGCTAAGTTTAGGTTCAATTTAATTCTATTCCTATAAAAGGGCATTAACAAAAGTTGTTTTTTAATTATGCATGCGATAATTCTAGAGTTCTTATATAGATTATTTTAAATTAGTATCATCTTTCATTGCTTTAAAATGTTTATTAAAATATTCCCAATTATTCAATAAAAAGCTAATACAGCAAGCTTAATATAAAAGAGGTTAAATTAGTGAACAAGATGTGCAATATTAAAGACTATAAATATATAAATTATAAATTACGCTTTTAAATTTAAATTTAAAGCTTATGGCATCATTCCAAGTTGACGAAATAGAAGTGACATTTTCCTATATGTTTGCCAACAATTTTCAACTATTAAAGTGCTTTCATAGTAATAATTCAAAGCTTCACATTTTTCGGTAACATTATTACTCTGTGCCAAAATTTCAGCCAAAGAGATGTAAATACCATAAAGAATCTTTTTTTCCTCTTAATTGATAATAGATGGATGATTCATTAATTTCTTTAGAATGTCTATGCCCTCTTAAATTTTATCTGTTTCCAGTAAATCAATAGCATTCTGGTACATTTGAAAAAGTTCTGATTCAACTTTTTCTTGATTTTAGCTCATAATTATTATTATAATATAAATATATATATATAATTCCAAATTCTCTTAAATTCAGGTTTCTTCGTAAAAGTCTTAATCATTAAGTGAAACAAAAAAAGTTGGTATTGTAATATCTTTTGATTGAATATAAACATCTTTTGCATATTCAAAGTTAAAGTCATCATATTCAGATTCAACCAAATTCTTTGTATAATCACTTACTAACATTTTCCCTTCCTAAATCTAATTAAAATATCATACAGTTCCTGATGATTCCATTAAATTAGCTTTAAATCATCTAGAGAATCTGGTATAATTATACAAAGTTTAATGTTATAATTTTATAAAGTTGAATAAATTCGTTCCTATTTAAATTAATCATCAATTAGTTCTTAGGATGAATTTTATAATAACTTTTATTTTGTTGTTGAAATTCCTATAGCAAATATTGGGTCACTTTTAGATTCTAATTCAATAAATAATTTTTCTATCTCTTAAGATCTATTACCATATGTTTCAGAAATAGCTAATAACTTCTTTAAAATATCATTAGTTTAAGATTATTTTAATTATCTTTTAGAATATAAAAATGTTTTTAATCCTTCCCAACTCATATCTTACAAATTTTCATTCTATTTATTTTCTTACTAATTATTAGTTTCAATTCGTGTGTATAACAGCGCTCCTTCCTCCAATAAAAATGATTCTGGATCTCTTACTAATACTGATAAAATATTTTTTCTATTTTCTGTAAGCTCTAAAAAAGTTAAAACCTCAAATACTTTTGAATTGTTAGCTATTGAAATTACTTTTTTAATAATTTTTCTGGTAATATATTCTTGTCTATTAATCTCTTATTCATTTGAACAAATTAAACTATAATCAAGTATTTCACAAAATTATAGAATAGATTCATCATATCTATTTTCAAAGATAAATTCAAGTTTATTTAATTTTTCATTAAAAACACTTACTACATTATTTGTTAATAGCATCATCAGTAAAATTTCATTATATATTCTATCATCTTTGCTGTAAAGAATATCAATAAAATCCTATTCATTTAAACTTTCACCTAAAAATTTATCTGAACTTAAGTCATTTTATTTTTTTTAGGGCATTTGATTAGTGACTTGATTTAATTTAATTATTGTACCTGGTTTCATAAATTAACTTTTTGATTTTTGCAATCCAACCTGAGAATTATAAGATATATTGTGATTTGATATATCTTTACTGCTTCCAAATAATATATTATTTTAATATTTCATAAATGAAGTATCAAAAATATATCTAGCACTCTTTTTTATCCCAAAATAATTGCTAAATTTTGTATCAATTTATTTTAAATCGCTTTACTATTAATCTTGAATACTTTCTGATTTTTATATATAATTAGAAATAAACAAATTATCTGAACAATTTCTTAGTTCAGGAATTTGTTTTTCAGAAATTAAAATATCAATATCAAAATTCTTCATTTCATCTTATGTTTATAATCTATTTGTATCTATTAATAATTTGTTTACATTTTAGTTCTGTTTTCGAGAGATATTTTTTACTAAAGTTTTCAATTTATTATAATTAAAATTGAATGTTTTAAATTTTTAAACTAATAATGGTATTTTTGGTTTCATTTTAAATAAAAGTTTTGGGTCATCTAAAATTATAATATCTGTTTTAATCAAATCTAATATATTTTAAGAATTTAATATCATAAATCCAATCTTTTTTGAATATTAAGATTTGAACCTTAATAATTTAGATGAACTTTTCAAATTTAATAATGGCAAGTTAAAATATTTTCAATAGGCATTAATATTTTTCTATCATTTTATGATTTTTAAATGTTTGGATAATTATTTGCTCTTAACATTTACTATTTTTTTAATTTGCCTTTATTTTTTGATTGTTACTATAGTTTTTTAAAAGCTCTATTATTAGAAATAATATTAAAAAAATAACAAACTTTTTCTATTAATAATAAGTTATGTGGAAATATTAATAAAGAGTATATTAGACTTTTGAAGAAATATTCTTCTAAAAAGAAGGATGAATAAATCATATTAGATATAAAACAAATAGAGAAATAAATCCAACAAGAATAACAGATATAAGTTTAAAATTCCACTATGCAACTATTTGATAAACAATTTTACTTATTTAAATTTGTTTATACGTAACAACAATCTTTTCCAACTCTAATAGCTATACCAAAAATCTTCTTTCATTATCATATTTTTTTATTACAAGAAGTTGCTTTAGGATCATTCTTCAATTTTATATTTCCTAAAGGAGATTCTTAAATACTGAAGGATATTTATCCATTAAGTTTTGTAATAAAATCCATAATATTTCCTTTTTATATGTTATTAATGTTGACAAAAGTATATGAACAAGCAACACGTACTTCAAAATCTACTAAGAGTTCTTCTTAACTAGAATCTAAAATTAAAAGATCTGCTGGACTTTACCTTCCTCTCTTTAAACAAACAATATCTCCCAGTTATAATTCTGACCATTTTATTGATTTATAGGACTTAAATCTATATAGATTACATATAATACTCTAAGTACTAATGAATTACATACTTTAATAATTACTGATGATTGTTTTATTTTTATATTTAAATCATTTTGAAAATTTGACAAAAATTAACTATGAAGAAAATTAAATAAAATTTCATCTTTGTTTATTTGTACCAAATATTTAATAATTAAGTACTCTGTTTTATTTCTAATAAATTTTTTTCTTAAGTGAATATATAAGTAATTAGTTTATTAGAAATTTAAAATGAAAAAGACCAAAGAAATACTTAGAGATTTATTAAAATTATATATAAATCAAAATAATTTCTTGTTCGTATTTTATAAATTTATTTTGTTTTTCTAAGTAGTCCAATCAAAATTTTCTTTGCTAGTTGATTTGTGCTTTTGTTATTTTTATTAATGATTTTTTAACACTTGGCCATAAACTGATTCGCTTGGGTGACAACAAAGCTCTTTTAATATTTTATCTTTTAATGTGTCCTCATTTTATGTTTATGGAATTGAATTAACCCCGATATTCATAATAAACTATCTTTTACTTTCTTATTCAATAGATTAAGGTTTAATTTATTTTGATTTAGATCTTAAATGACCTTCTTGTTAACGATGCAAATATTATGTTTCGCTATGCTATTATTAATGAGATACTGATTTCAAGTTTGGAACAGAACCATATTGTTATTTATGAATAGAATTTTAAATCAGATTTTACTATGCTAATTTTATAATTAAATAAATACATTTTTGATTCGAAAGATTTTTTATTTAATTATTATAAGCTTAACTATAAACAATAGATTTACTTACAGGAATTACTTTTTATTTTGGAGTTAATTATCGGTCTTAAAGACTACCTCTTTCAGGTTCTTTTAAAATTTTTTGTGTTTAAAAACAGCTCAAATTATTATTTAACAATGAATAAGATTTTTCACTTATTCTTTCACAATCAGTTGTAGTTTTTTACTTTTCATAGCCTTAATAAGAATATTTATCAATTAATTATTTTTAAAGCACTTTTTTAGAGCTTACTTGTTCCAAAACACGAGAACTATTTTAATATGATATTTTATCATTTGGTGTTATGTTATCTCTTCTTAAACTAAGCTTTTATTTCCAACTTTCTGGTGTATTTGCATTACTTCTAACAGGATTAGAATTTATTGATTCAAATTTATTAAACTATTTTCGAATTGGAGATTATAATTGTATTTAATTTATTAATGAGATAGGGCTATGAATCTCTTCATTCTCAAATATATCAAAATATTTTTAATTATTAGATTAATTGCATTCAAAATTTTATTAACTTGTCACAGTTTTTTAATTTTAATTATAATCCATTCTATCATTCTTTATTAATAAATTATAACACATTTTATTCATAAATGTTAGAATTTAATTTTAATCAACATTTAGCTATTTCAAGGATAATTAAAATTGGCTATTAAAGAATTGGCATTTTATTTCATCTACTTTTTTTTAGTATTTTTGCATTATTTCATCAAATGGTTTCATTTCCATTTTCTTAACTATATTATCATGATTAGTAAAAATATCAATTGAAAATTACTTTAATTATTATATTAATTGCTTAATATTTTCTACCTATTCTTAAACTTGATTTTAATAATTAGAATAATCATTTTAGAACTTCTACTGGTAAGTTTATCTTAACTAATTAATTGTGTTTTGAACAACATTAAAAAATTCTTCACAACTAATATTTTATTCTTCCTATTATTTAATTAAGTTATTTTTAATATCATTCATGTCCATTAATTTTTAATCGCATAATTAAAGAGCCTAATGCAAATCTTTCTAAAACTGATTTATTTTATCTTTCCTTTATATTTCCAATTATACCTCTTATGTTTCTTCTATTTAAAGTCCTTATAAAGCTAAATTTAGTGCACATTTTGAACAAAACAATTAATCACTATTTTGTTATACATAAAATTTTGCCTATATATTAACCAAAGAACTACTTTTTTATTTGGATGCCTTAAACAGCTGTTACTTTCATTATCAATTTGTTTTAATATGTTTGAGTTTTTCAAAATTCTCTCCTAATCACTTTTTATGAAAGTCATTTCATCTGAATCTGATTAATCTGAAGATGAAATTGTTTAAAAACTCATTTCTAGTCGTTAAAAAAATTATTAATAAAAAAAAGAAGAATTTATCATAAATTTCTTATTTTAAGATCTTTTATTATTTTATGAATCAGATTAACACCTTTATTCTATTTCAAATATAGATTCAAATTTAGATACCAATTTTTAATTTTTCTTTATATTAAAAAGATTACTTACATCTAATTTAGTTCAAAATTTTTTCTTTTTATTATAAATTTGTTTTCAATCATCATTAACTTTTATCCTATTAAAATTAATAAATATAATAGATAATGATTTTAAAAAAAGAGATTATTATAAGATGATTTTATACAAATCAAATCTAGTAGATTTTAATTTATAATTTAAATTGCTAAACTCTTCAATCTATAATTATTAAAATCACAATTAAAACAAATTTTTATTTTTATCCTAAGAATTGATAAAATTGAATTTATTAATATAATTTAAGATTAATCAATATTCAATAGAAATTATTTCTATATTAAATTCTAAATTTTTACAAACTTTTATTTTGAATAAGTATATAAATCATGTAAAATAATTTAATATAGTTAACTATATATGGACTATTAAATAAAAAGTTTTGTTTTAAATACAGTGTTTTGGAGGAAATAAAAATGAAGTTTTTGTTTACAATATAATCTGGTATATTCATCCTTATTTTAATTTTAAAAAAGTTATTTTAAACAAGATTTCAATCTTTTTCTAAAGAATAATTTTATTTAAATATTTTTTAGAACACAAATTTACTAATTAGATTACTAATAAAAATGTTGATCTTTTGAATTCTACAAATATATAAAAATGGGATACGTTAAATATTATTTAAGATTTAAGTAATTTATTCTTAATAATTTTAATAAATGAATAAATCTTTGTACTTTTAGGATGTTGAAATAAATGACTAAAGTTTTATTGTTCTAATTTAAATAATAAATAAAGTTTAAAATTGAAAGATGTAAAATTGCTAATTAAGATTTGAAATTGAAGATAGGATATACTTACAGTAACAATTTTATGGGCAAATGCAATATAAAGACCCTGCATACGAATTTTCTTAATAATAGAAATAACTTAAATAACTTTTAAAATCTACATAACAAAATAATCGTTTTGAACTTATAGAAAATAGAAAATAGAATCTAAAGAAAAAAATTCGGAAGAATATCAAGGTGAAAAAATCAGTTCCTGATATAAACATGCATCTTAAAGGGTTGCTTGATTAGTTTATAAATGAGTCGATTTAATAGGCGAATAAGGGTTTCGTGTTTAGACAATTATAAAATTGTTAAGAAATAAAAGCAACAATAGATAAGATGGAAAGGATATTAATTGGAATGAAATCCCTTCTTTTGTCTTAAATGATAAATTGTTAGTAATAAGATTGATTTTAATTGTTAACATTCTTTTTGAATTGTATTATGATATTAATAAATATAGAAAATGTCGAAAGGTTTCAGTCTGAATTTTTAAAATGCAAATGTAATGACTTTTGAATAAGAAAATGATTTATTTGCTGGATAAAGCATCAAGGTAATAAATAATGAATATGCTAGCTAAAATTTTAATTGGAAGAAAGTTATTATGATTTAGAGGTAAAACTAATCATTTCATAATAAGTTAGTTTAAGGTAGGATAAGATGTTGAATGGGCTAAGAAATGCGTAGCAGAAAAAATAGACTGTGGAAGAAATGATTTTGTATGAGATTTATCATTAAAATAATTTAGGACCTGATTTTCTAAGGAAAGATAATGCCAGAATTTTTCTCTTTAAATGATATCTAAAATTTAAAGGATTAATCGATTATAGAAATTAGAATGAAGAAGTGATTTAATAAAAATAATGTATATACAATTATATGCAATTCCAGGGCAAATAATTTTGGGAATGTTTTCTCAATTCATCTATGAATATGGAGTGCTATATTATCTATGCATAATTGCAATCCTTACTAGTCTATATACATGCATGTATACTAGTAGCAATTAATTATTTCCAAAATGCTTATTGATGATCATTCCATTTTAAATAGTATTAACTATTTTGAATTTTGATATGGTAAGCGTTGGAATTATCCCATATTTGATCCTTACAGATATAATTAACAGTGATATTATTATAAGATTACCAAAAAAACCAATCCCTCCACCAAGAAGAACATATAATGCTTAGATTGACAATCATCATAGTATTCATATCCAAAATGTAATCAAATAAAATGCCCAGAGCCTTTAAAAATATGAATATTTTCATATTTGTTGTATAACTTTGTGTTATATAGCAATACCAAAATACAATTGTACTAGAATGTTAACTATTCAAAAGACACTGTATAATTAATAAATACTGCTTTCTTATAATATTATTACAAATCAGATTATAATACAACTCTGTTCAAAACAGTCATATCATCAATAAAATTTTTATTATGCTCTTTGACTTTAGATATAAGGGCAATGTTAACAGTGGCAATTTTACCCAATTTTATTAATGAACAAAAAATCTATTCATATTGTTTTCTAGCTGAATAATTCATTATCACATATCTTGATTATGAATATGGAATCTATCATAATTTAATTATATTTTTAAGCTTTTACATATTTGATTCATAAAATAAAAAGTATAAAGATTAATTATTTTATTAGCACAAAATAATTGACACTTTTATATATTCCATTATTGATATATGCATTTGAAACCTAAACAGAAATTTATATTTATACATATATTGTGATTTGTTTAGTATATTTAGCATTATTGATAATTGAATAAGAAAAATAGGTGATTTATTTAAGATACATATTAGTTGTTGTTGGGTTATTGATAACAGAGAAGTGGTAAATGAATAAAATAATTAGGTATTACAAAGTTTTATTGATGATATTTTTGATTGATAGTGAAATTAATTTCAACGTAAAACTTTATGTGTAAGCATTTGCAGGAAAATAAATATTTGATTTATTTGTATCTTACTCTCCTCTGCTATCACATCAATTATTTCAATATAAATATGGTCTTAACAATTTTAGTTTGACAGTTTGTCTTTTGAGTATGATAACATTGATAATAACATAACATATCCATTAGTAGAATTTAATATTCTCTCGTCTCTTATAGATATATGTAAAGATTAAATAAATATAATAAAGCTTCTGTCTTTACCTATATGGCCAATCCTATACTATTATGATAGATCAACAGATAATTTAGTAGTGGCATTAATAAATATTATTCAAATATTGATATAATTTTAAAAATAGGAATGATATAAATAATATATGTAATTTATTTGATTCATGATTTATAATTCAAATTAATTTAGAATTTGTTTGAATACCAGCATAATTATCTTAAATTTAATTGAGAGTTAAATCTTATGCCATACGTTTAATTTCTTTATAAGCACTCATAACAAAGTATTCATTTTCACCTTCAATTCTTAAAAATAACTTTTTCTATCCAGGCAATGGTTTTTTACCAGGTTCAACAAGACTTCCTCTTTATGAGATTTAGCAATTAGTAAGTTCATGAATCATATTAAGAAATTCCTTACTTAATATTTTTAATCTAGCTTATGTTGGATAATCATTAATTTCAAAATCATAGCTTACAAAATCATGATTATTTCGTTCTCTTTCTTCAAATTCATTTATAATTTGCATTGCTTCTTCTATGCCCCCTTCAATTGATTTATTAACTTAGCTATGCTATTTTAATACTCTTTTAATTGCATCCATTGCTGCATTAGCTACTTGTTCTCTTGAACCACCAGAATTAATACATAAATTAGCAGCTTTTGTAGCCTCAGATAAAATTTAAGATTTTAATGCTGGATCCTTTATTAATTACATAATTCTCTCTCTTTCTACTCTATCTCTTTCCTCTTATTTTTTTAATCTTTCTCTAAAATAATCAATATAGAATTTACTCTTCACTTAATTTGCCTTTAGCTATTTCTTCTAATACTTTTTCATCATCTGAAGATTATTCATCCATCATTAATCCCTCTAATCCAAATTTCTTTCTCATCTAAGCTCTAAAATCTTAAAATTTTTATTCTTCTTCTGGTCCAAATGTAAATCCTCCTCCAGCTCTATTTTTATTTCTATAAATTTTTGCTTCTCCTGCTTTAACTTTATCCATAAATGATTTTTAATATTCTTTTAACTTTTCAGGTAATTATTATTCACTCTTTTCAAGTAAATAAACTAAATCATTAGCTAAATGCTCATCCTAAGGAGTAAAGAATGTTATAGCTGTTCCTTTTTAACCAGCTCTCCCTGTTCTTCCTATTCTATGTATATAATCTTCCATATGATTAGGACAACTAAAATTTATTACTAAACAAATATGTTTAATATCTAATCCTCTTGCTAATACAGATGTTGCTACCATTATTGTTCGAATTCCTTTCTTAAAATCATGAATTGTAAATTCTCTATCTTATGGATCCATTCCTCCATGTAATACAAAGGACTTATATCCATATTTCAATAATTCCTTAAATAAATCATCTGCTTCAGTCTATTTTTCTACAAAAATCAAAATACTCCCTTTTGTATACCATTCTTAAAAAAGTAACAACAATTTGTATAACTTATCTGATTCATCCATAAATTCTATTATTTATTCAATATTTCCACCTGCTTATCCCCTACCTCCAACTATACATTCTATTGGTTTACGTAAAACTCTTTAAATATACTAATTGATTCATACCTTTTGGCTAATTACTCTACATTTTTTGGGAATGTAGCTGAAAACATTACTAATTGTCTATCTGGTCTGATGTTTTGTATTATTTTACATATTTATGGTTCAAAACCTAAATCGAACATTCTATCAGCTTCATCTATTACTACATATGTTACCCTTCTTAAATTTGTTATTTTCCCATTGCTTGTTGTTAAAACATCTATCATTCGTCCTGGAGTACACACAACTATTTCAGTTCCTCTTTTTAAATCACTCAATTAACCAGCTATTCCAGCTCCTCCAACACAACAAACAACATTTAAATTTAAAATAGAAGTGAACCATCTACAATTAACATAAATTTAATGTGCCAATTCTCTTGTTGGAGCCATTATAATGGCTATTGGACCATCTCCATCTTTTAAAGCAGATTAATCTAAAACATGCCTCAAAAGAGGTAATAAATAGCCTAGAGTTTTTCCACTTCCAGTTTCAGCAATACCTATGAAATCTCTACCTGACATTATGCAAGGAATAGCCTTAAATTATTCATCAAATGCATACTTGAGCTTATATTGGAAATGGATTTAAGAATTTCTTTTTATCTATCAATACATTTAATATTCTATCATTTAATCCACATTAATACCAATTTTATATTGGTTTTGGTACATCTTTTCCTCTAACCTTAATATCACCTAGTTATTATCTTAATTTTTTGGCATCTTCTGCTGACATTTATACTAATTCACTTACCTCTCTATAGAAATCTTTTCTAAAAGGTTAATAATCAATTGTTGAATGATCAACAACTTTTAATTCTTTCTTTTCTAATTTTTTCTACTTGTCAAAAATATCAGGTTCTTCTTCCAATAATGCCAGCATTTACTATTATTCTAAATCTACATCCTCAGCTTCATCCTCATCTTCTCTCTATCTCATTTTTTCTTCTAATTCTTTTTTCTTTAATTCTTTCATAAATTATTCATAAAATTTGTTATCTTCTTCATCTTCTTCAATAACTTATTAATCCTATTCAATTTATTAGTTTTAAACTTCCTACCCTTATTCTATTTCCATTCCATTATTATTTTTTTCATTTCCTTAATTTATACTATTTTATATTATATCTTCATAAGTAATAACCTTTTAAGCATTTAACTTTCTTAATTCTTCTTCAATAGCTTGCTTTTTTTTTCTCTCTTTTTCTTCTTCCTCTTTTCTTCTTCTTTCATCTTCATCTGCTTATTGTGTTGCTTCAGCTAAATTATTGTACATATATATTTACTTTCTACTTATCTCATAAATGCTTCAAGTGGATCTTCTTCTTGATCATCAAATTATTCATCTCTCCATCTCCTCTTTACTTAGCTTTTTTAAACTTATTATTGTGGTTATTATTGTAATTCTTTTAATTTAGATATTGATTAAAGATTTTTTGTAAAATATTTTATTTTAGATGCATCTTCATCTTCACTATCACTATTGCTATCATTATTAAGTGTTTTTTTTTCAATCAAAAATCTTTCTTAATATTATTTTTCTGCTTTTTCATTTAGTTTTTATTATTCTTAATCTTCATCTTCTTACATCTTTTGATCCTATTTATTATCACCGCCAACATTTTCCTCATAAGATTATTCATCCTCATTATCATCTTTTTCTAGTTCATCAGAATCATAGAATAGTTTCTCTCCTACTAATCTACATTTTTTTAATGCATCTTATATTTATTTTTCTTAATTTCTTTATGACCAATCATATATTAATTATTCATCTGGTGGTAGAATTGGTTCAATCACTTCAGGATCTTTATAAACAAATTCTTTTTTATCATCATCATCATCATCATCAGAATTTTAAAATTTTATCAATTTAGCTTTCATTAATCTTGATAATCGTTTTTATTCTTCATCTTTCAACTTCTATTCATCTTATGCTTATTTTTTTTAAACATTCATTGGAGAAGTACTTTAACTTTTCTTTTTACTCTTTTTTTCTTTTTTTTTTGATTCTTTTAACTTTTTATTTTTCTTTTAAGACTCCTTTTTTATAGACTCTTTCTTTTTTATGGACTCTTTTTTTATTGAATCTTTCTTAGCTTTTGATTTTTTATCCTTCTTTTCTTTCTTCTCTTTCTTACCAGATTTGCTTCTACTTCTGCTCTTTTTTTTGTCTTTCCCCATTTAATAAAAATTTAAATAAAAAGATAATTTTCTTAACCTTTGTATATAAATGAAAATAAATTCACACTCTACTTAAAAACTCTTTCATTCTTGCAATCATTTCTATATAAACTTCCTTAGTTGCAATAGTAAGCATTCTATATAATAATTAATATTAAGTACCTAAATCCTTAATACTTATCGGTGCCATTCCAAGACAATGGTAGTAACATTATATTCTATTCTTTAAGTAATTTTTTAGCAAATTCTGTGTCATTTTTTACCTAAAATACATCTAAATCAATTAGAACAGCTAAATAAAATGTTCCTTGTGCAGGTATACATTTTAATCCCTTTATTTAATTTAGTTCTTAAATCAAATAATCATGATTTTCTTTGAAATGAATCATTCTATCTTTAGCATAATGGATTGTTAATTAATCAAGTATTTATGGAAGAGAATTCATTACAAATACATTTGCATGTAATAATAATTGACAAAGATTAAACATTGCTTTTTTTATCTCATCTGCATAATTATTTTTATCATAAAATATCATCCATGATATTTACCATCCAGGAGTAAAGAACATCTTGTCCATTCCTCCTAAACATATTATTGGTCCTTCATCTGCCAATTCTCCAAATGAAACAAACTCCCCAAAAGACATACCATAATAAATTTCATCAGCAACTATCAAAACATGATTTTAATTTGCCCAATTAATTATTTCCTGAATATGTTCCTTTGAGAATACAGAACCACAAGGATTTGAAGGATTAATTACATATAAAAATTTAGTGTTCTAATCTAATTTACTCTTTAAATCTTCAAAATCAATTTACCATTTATTGTCTGATTATAATTTATATTTTCTCACCTAAAATAATACGTCATCTATTATACCTCAACTTAATATGCTTAGGCGATTCCATCAAAAAAAGGAAACCCTAATTCAGGAACAAGAATATTTTAACCAGGATCACATATTCCCAACAAACAATAAAATAGTCCTTAATTTACTCCTTGTGTTATAATTACATCATTTTCTGTAATTTATTTTCCATGACTAAAATGTTTTGCGACTGCTTATTTTGCTGGCTATATTTAATATTAACATTACCTAAGTTCCTGTTGAATGACAATAGGAATGATTTTAAGATTTACTTATCTCAGATTTAACAATATCATAACCTATTTAACTCATTTTGCATTGTTCATGTCCGAATTCAGTGGGATCACCCTTCATAAATTAGATCAATGGTTTTGCATGATTTTCCTCAGCTTTGAGCTATGAAAAATTGGCCAATAATGCTTAATTTTAACTAAGCAAAAATTCTGAGGCTTTTATCATTAATTTTTAATCAAATATTCCTAAATAACCAAAATAAAACTTAAGAGTTGTTTTATATATGAATATTAAACTCTCTGTAAAAGAGTCTTAGGAAATACTTTAACTATTTAGCTTTTTAAAACAAAAGGTTGTAAATTAAAAATTATATTTTCACTATAAGAATTATTAAGTAATTTAGAATAGCAAATTAAAATCAGACTAATCCACTTCTCTTGAATAAATAAATCAATTTTAGACTTTTTTCTTTCAACATTACTTAAGCCATGAATTATTTTTTACACATAATTATTTAGAAATTCTTAAATCTAAATTTTAATTATTTATTGAATTCAGAACATTTTTTAAAATACTATTATCTTCCAATCAAAGTTCTTTCTTTTTTAAATTATTTCATATTTCTTGTACATATTTTATATCTTGTATACTATTAAGTTAATAATCTTAAAAGATAAAATTTCTGATTGTCATATGAATATTTTATCTTGTTTAAAAGATTAATTAAGAGACTTAAAGAATCGATTTCCAAGGTTTATTTCTTTTTTTATTCTTAATTATAAAATTTCTACAAAACCTAAAAAAAAAAAAAAAAAGTGACATAAATGAAAAAGAAAATAATTTTCAATGGCAGGGTTAAAAAAATTTTCTTTAGAATAAATAAGTATAATTTTAATTTAACTATCTTTACAAAAGCAACTCTGATAAACATATAAAGAAATTATTTTGATTTTCAAATAATTAAAAATTAATATCTTCCTACATAAAATCACTTTTTTTGTAGAATTCAACTTCAAAATATCCAATCAAAGAGATTTTTTTGATTTCTATTAAAAATTCTTGAATTTTAATAAATTTTAAATAAAAAAATAAAGCAAAAAGCCATAACTAAATGGATTTAGATTTTATTTTTTTTCCTGCTCCTAAAGAGACTCTTGATGTTGGGTATTTTGATGAAGGGAGAATATTATGGATACCAAAACATTCAGCCCTTTATCCAAATTTTCAGAATTATGTAAAAAGAAAAACAAAGAAAAATATGGTTGTTTTTGTTAGGTAATCTACCCAACAAGTCGAAGAAGAACAATTAGCTTTAATTGACGATCAATAGTTAATATAAATGATAATCATAGAGAATTTTAAAAGCAGCCAATTCCTTAATTTCCAAATATTCATCGACTCCATACTGATTAATAAAGTTTAGTTGAAAATTTTGAGTTTGATGAAAAGGAAGTCGGGTCACCAGAATTTGATTTAGCTGATTATGAAGAGGATTTACAGAATAAAGTATCAAAATTAAATTCAGAATCTGTCTATAACATTGGTAAGACAAAAATTAGAAGTATATAATAACTTTAATTCACACGGGCTAAAAAAAGAGAAACAACAAGTAGAAGTTCTCCTCATTTTCTTTAATTCAATAAAAGATAAGAGATAGTTATGTAACAGAAAAAATCAGGGAAAAGAGAAGGAAGCATTATTGGATATATTCCTTGTTTACTTATTAAGTATGAAAATTCATCAAATATTATGGTGTATTTTCATGGAAATGCTGAAGATATTAGTTAATCTTATACATTCTTGATACATCTTCGTAATATTTTGTAAGTATTACTATATCATAGTAAGAAAAGATTTCAGTTTTAGCAGTAGAATATCCCGGTTATGGAAAATATAATCAGGTGTAAACTTCTGCTGAAGCTATACAAAATGATGCTGATTATGTTTATAACTATTTGACCAAAAAAATAGGTTATGAAGAGAATTCTATAATGATCTTTGGAAGATCTATAGGATCTGGTCCTGCAACCTATTTGGCAAGTAAACATAAACCAGGTTGTTTGGTGTTAATGTCTCCATTTACCTCTTTGAAAGATGCTGTCCGAGATTATGTCAGATTTGTAGGTACATGGGTACAACATTTGATTAGATAAAGATTTAACAATTTAGTAAATATAAATGATGTTACATCTCCTACTTTTATTTTGCATGGAAAAAAAGATGATATGATACCTTATTAATAGGCTTAAAAATTATTAGGTATTTCTGATTAATTAACAAGAAAATTGTTCGGCTGAAACATGTATTTTACATTTAGCAGAAGATATGGATCATATTAGTTATAGATTGCACTCTGATTTAATTATACCTTTAATGAAATTCTTAAGGAAAATTAATTTTTTTAAGATATATTTTAAAAGTCCCAAAGTGCCTACTAATTTATATCAAAATCCAATATCATGAGTCATTATAATTAATAAATAAAATTAAACAAATACATATTAATCACAGTTATCATTCATTCTTTCTATTATTATTGTTATTATCTATAAAGTTATTAAGCAAGAATATATCGATTTATATCCATTTGGTTTTTGTTCTTGAATTTCATACTTTATTTGGCAGCTCTTAGCTTTTATAATAAAGCCTCTCTTTCCTATTATTTTTAGTTTAATAATACCTTATCAGTTTCAACATAAGTTTCTTCTTAAATTTATTGGGTTTATTATTCAGTTTTTGATTATAAATTGCGATTAGTACCAAATTATCTTCTATTATCTATTTAGACATATAAATAGTAATACCTAAATTTGATTATTGAGTATCCTTTCTTTTTTCATTCAAAGCCTTTTTTAAATTAGCTAACAAAGCATCTGCTTCCTTTACTCTTGTATCATCTGGTTTTAAAGTCTAGTTTATTTATATGAATTACTTTTTTTAATAGTTCAGAAGCTCTTTCTTAGAATTCAACTGCTTTTTGAAAATCTCCAATTTCACCATGTTCCAAAGCAATAGCTGAATAATATCCTGAAACTCTCAATTTATATTATTAGGTTTCAGTTCCTTAAAAGGATTTAAAAAGAGATTCACATTTTTCTAATCCTTCAAATAAACAATTTAAAGCACTTTAATGTTAACCACTTTCTGAATAAAGTAATGATAAATTTGTATATTAATTAAATACTTCTTGACCTTCACCTCCAATTAGATTAGCTAGGTATAAGGTATGTAACATATGGTTAAAGGCTTCTTTGTAATTTTTAGTGGAAAAATAATATAAAGATAAAGCTGTAATTGCTTGTATAGTTAAAGGGTGATCATAACCATAAATTGTAGTATATATTTAAATAGCTTATTTTTAGAAATGAATGGCTGCATCATATTCCTATTTTCTCAAATAGACAGCTGAAATCTTAGAATAGCAATTTGCTAATTCTTTATGCATCTAGCCATGTAAATTTAAAATTATTTAAGATGCAGTAAGATAAGATTCTAATGCTTAATGATGGTTTTAATGTTCAAGCATATATTTTTGACCAATTTCTATATTGTTTTTTGCATCTTCTGAAACTTATTCAATATATTTGATAATTGGCTGAATTCCTACAATATCTGAAGGTTGGAAATCATGATAATCACGAGCAACTAACTGTAATCCAATTTATTAACATAATTCTCTCAAGCAAGATAATTTATGAAAACCTTTCTTATTCAAAATAGTCGAGTCTATTTTATGTTAATATCTAGCTTCTGCAATCTTGTTGATTTAATCCCATACTTCTTATTGTGTAGGATATTAATAATTATTGGTTTAAATTAAACATTTAAAGTGAGGTTTATCACCATTTTAATTACTTTTGTTTTTATTTTTTTTCTTTTTCTTTTTCTCCTCTTATTTGCAATTAACTGAAGGATTTGAATTAGAGAATATTACATTTAAAAGATGACATAAAACTTAAGATAATTAATTTTGTGGTGCTCTTCTCATTGAATCTCGAAAAATGTGTTTTAAAGTTTTAGCAAAAACTACTCTTTCTAAAGTAAGTCTTAATGAGGGTTATTCTTCAGAACGAATAAAGCTTATTACTTTTCCAAGATATCTCATATTGACTCCATGAGAATGAAAAATATCTGAAATACTAAGATCAGAATGTCTTGTTGTTTCTGGTTGAGATAATTCTTAAATTAATTATGGTATTGCTTAATTTAACAAAAATGAAGACAATTTTTTTAAATCCTCCTCTTATTGAGTTAATTTATCTGATGGTTATAAAGAAGTTTTAGTACCCAAAGCTGGATTTAATTTTAATCCTTCTTTTGGATTTCCAATTAAAAGATTTTATATATTTTAATATGCTTCTTGTTAGGTTTTAGGATCATCACTATTATTTTACTTAATTTTTTAAATAGTATTAACAACCCAATAATTTTAAAGTAATTCAAATCTTAGAACACAACATTGATTGTTTTCACCTTAATAATTATAATCTCGAGGAGATAATCTTAAAAGATCAAGCAAATACATTCTTTTATCTGATCCCATAATTCCTTTTACTTCTATACTTCCAGCCATAGAGTATTTTTGTTAATTACTATCAAGAAATACAATATCAGTATCAAGATGGAAGAATTCACATGTTTTTGACATGACTTTATGAAATTCTTCAGATTTTTAGATAGTTTTTCCATCATCAATTGAACCATATTGAGTACAATTACTATGATCACTATTAAGAATTCCTGGTATAATAGATTATGCAATAATTCGTCTTCCTTTATAATCTACTAAACAAGTATTCAAAACACTTAATCCAGGAATATCTAATTTGTGTAGAATTTAAAGATTTCTAAAATCACAATTAGTAGTTGAGACAGTCGGTGTAGCATCAGGACCACTTTCTTACTTAATATTAAATGATATAAAATACTCTAAAATCTTCTGGTGTTTCCATAGCAAAACTAAAGAATATTTGATTATAAACATAAACTTATTGACATTCTATATCCATAGGATTTAAAGGTTAAATGATTTTATCTACAACAGCACAAGCTCCTCTAACTGCAGCTTCAACAAAATCACCATAAACTTTAGATAAAGCTTTATCTCTATTTAACTTTTAGATTAAATCAGTCTTTGGTAAAGAACGAAAGACTTATAATTCTTCATTCCAATCTCTTAGACTAGATACATCAAATCCATGTAAATCTAAGGCCCAACTTTCACTTCTTTAATGGTCTAATGTAATAGGAAGTTCAGGAACAGATAACCATTTATGATTATATCTTATAGTTGCTGGTAGTGTAGGTTATTATTATTCTGGGATTGCATTAATTAATTCTTTTCTAATTTAAATGAATGTATAATTTACTTAAAGGAAGGACTATGATCTACAATCAAGTCTATTAGATTATAATAGCAATCACTTTTTTAGGTTGGTTCAAATGTTCTTCCTTAAGAGCTATTTACATAAAACCCTAAATTCGAAACTGTTATTATCAATTCCACGGATTCAATAGTCTTAAGTACTATGTAAAAAAGATCCCCTAAATTTTAATGTCATATAATTACCCTTTAATTTACGCGAAAGAGGAGGGGGATTGAAAGATGATAGTCCCAATTACTATACATTTTATTTTATAGCCTTATTTTCATCATTTAGGAGTAATGTTGGTTTAATAACTGGTTAAAGAATATCATTTAATTATAAATCTCCTATTTCTTTAATTGATAATTGATCTTCATTAGTATTTTTACCTTTGCAAAGATATTGATAATGTGATAAATTAGTTATTATTTCCTACACTCTTCTCAAATGGAATCTTGCTGTTCTTTCATTAAACTCATCTACAAAATTATTCAAATATATACCTAACAAAACTTATAGCTTTCCTCCATCTGGAATTGAAAATTCACTGTATTCATTGATTCGCTATCCTTTATGAGAAAAGTAGAAATTCTAAAATAAAGACAATATTGTAGATTCTGTAAGATATTATCTGACTTCTAGCAATGTTTCAGCTATTTCTAGAGGCCATGTATATTTATCATAGAAGTCTAAATACAATTTTACACTTTCTTCTTTAGTTTGTTTCATCTCAAATCAACCGCAAATTAAATTAATATGCAAAAATCTTAACTTAAATATGCTAAAACACCGCAATACCTAAGAAGGAGCTCATTGAATTCATAAAATTCATCAAGCCCTAAAAAGTTAGCAAATTAAACATAAGATCAAATGACTGGTAGCCAACAATAATTAGAGATGTCTAAATCATAATAATCATTTCGTAGTTCTAATAGTCCTGTTGGCCATTGTTAATCTGTTAGGTATGTTTTATGATAATAATTTAGCTCTAAAACATTCCCTTATCCACCTTCTCCTACTAGAACTTTGTAAAAAAGACCCTCTTAAATCATTTCAAAGTAATAACTGTAATAAATGCATGAACGTTCAATCATTAAAATGCTTGGACTTAAAATGGAAGCTATCTGTACTAAAAATTCTCATGAAAAGAATAAGATGGTTTTTATTTGCTAATATCCAAATTGTGATGCAGATAATCGATTAGGTTGTTCATATTGTTAAATTGAATAACATGGAAATCATGCATCTCATAATATGGAAATATAAACATTTTGTAAGATATTTGATGACAGAAGACAATAAGTATATATATTATATAAGTATTTCATAGTTTGATAACCTCTGTAATTAAATTATGAGAGTTCCTGATAAAATTACTTAAGTCAAGACTTTTTTCGGAAAATTGAGAATAACTGTCTAAGAAAGATTGTAATAAATTGAAGAAAATGTAATCAAATCAATTGATGAAGAACTAGCATGGTAACCTTTAGAAAGAGATCTTTAAAATAGAGTTAATTACTTAAGTAGCAAAAATATATTTGACATGAGTTAGGATGAACTTACTGAAAGTCTAAGTTTTATCTAAGGAAAACATCTCTCTGAAGTTGAATACATTATTAATGAAACTGAAAAATATCTAAATTAGAAAGTTGATTAAGTTCAATCATCTTGGAATGATTTTAAAGAATAATTAGAATTTGAATTAAATACAGCTTTAGGTGATAATAATAAAATTTAAATTGTTGATTAAAAATAACGAAAAGAATATGCTTAATAAAAATTATAGATTTTAGCATAAAAATAAGAAAAGTATCTTGAATAATTTAAACCATTTTAAATAATTATGCATGAAATTTAAGAAGAAGAAAGAAAAATTGAAGTATAAAAATAAGAAGAAGCTCAAAAATAAATAGAAATTAAAAAATAACAAATAATATAAATGAAAAAAGAGTAGAAATAAAGAGAATAAGAATAAATTAAACTAAAGGAAGAATAAAAGAAAAAAGAAAAAGAATTTGAAAGAGAAAAACAATTAAAAACATTTCCTCATATTTTATACACTTAAGATTGTCCTCATAGATTACCTTGTAATACGATACCAATTTTCTCTTGTTGTAATAAAGCATATCCTTGTACATAATGTCATGGTTATTAATATCATCCACCTAGAATCTCGATTCCAAGTTATAGATATTGTATGAATTGTTTAGAAATTTACTTGGTAGTTTTCCCAACAAATCAATCAGTAAATTGTCTAAAATGTCAGATTTAATAATCCTGATCATAATAAGATTAAATTATTATCTTAAAAATCAAAATTTGATCCATTTTCTAATCTCTATCCTAAAGTATGATATCTTTTCTTTATTTTATTAAAGTTTTAGGATGTTTTCCTACCAAAACTATTTATTATATTTCTTTAAGTATTAACATCACTTATTATTGGGGCTGTTAAACCATTTATTTCACCAAGAACAGGGCTTTAAATATACTATAAAATACGTTATATTTTAGGAATTCATTTATGTTGAAAACAATGTTATTGAAAACCTTTTCTCAGCATTCAAGATACTTTTTAATTGTTATTTTTTTTAATTAACCTCAGAATCTTATTTTATCTACTAATTTGTTTTACAATCATTTATATATTATTTAAAATCACACAGACTTTCTAATTTTCTCTTTTATAAACCCATTTTTTTATAATGTGTTTTTATTTTATTGTCTAAAGATTGATATTTTTATTTCTATTCTTCAATATTTTCTCTAATTCTTTCATTCTCAAATTATTTTCTTTATTTCCTCTCTTCCTCCATTAAAGATTGAGCTTCTAATCTCTTTTTAGACATCAATGCTTTTTTAGAATATGGTAAATTCTCATCATAATCTTCAGTTTAATCTATCTTTTCCAATTTTTTTATACTTTCTCTTTATACCTTTTCTTCTTATTTTAACTCCATAATATGCAATTTTTTCATAATCTATTATAATCTTTTAGATTTATGATTCATTTTTTACAAATCATCTCTCTTAATAAAGTTATATTAACATACTTTTATATACAAGTCAGCACAATCTTAATGGCTTAAAATTTCTACTTGTTTATCATTTATCTCGATTTAGAGATTTTAGATCAAAGGTATCATGGCTTATTGTATCTTATTACAAGTTTAAGAGTAATTGAAACTAAATTTACTATATTCTCTACTTGCAATTTGGAACTTCATTTAATTTATATTGGCATGAACAACGAATCATTTCTTTATCAATTTTATATTGAACATCCTTAGATTTTGAGAGAGATGCCAAAACCTTGTTGACTTTTTTTATTTTTTGTTAATGAGAAATTAATTTATTAGGACCATCGATTGCTTATTTCGAAGCTATCAACTTTTTTTATAATAACTCTAGTTTTGGTTTAAATTGGTTCGTTAGCTTTAAGAAATCTTTACAATATTGTTTTCTTCTTTGAGTATAAAATTCAATATTTTCTCTTGTCAATAACATAAATTATTTCAATATATTTTCGATTATTTTAATTTTAGAATAAAAGAAAAGGTAATCAATTTCTAAAAACTATATTGTTTTATTAACTTATTCTACTTTATAAAAAGGAGCTTTAATAAATTTGAACTCTACTATCTATATTATTTAAATTGTTAAAATTTATTAAATTAAAAATATTAAGACTTCGTTAAAATTGCATTGCAACCTTTAAAATTATTGCGAGAATAAAATTTTTAGTATAAATTAAACATAAGCATACTTTTAAGAAATTTATTCAAAAATAAATGATAATAAATTAAAATTATCAACATTCATCCTATTTGAATTAATTTATCTAAAAAAATTCATTGAAGAGCTGGTTTAATTAAAGATTTCAAATAAATTTCTTTGCTCTTCAAGTTTCTAGATTTATTTATTTTTAGATTTTATTTTGAAGGCTATTTGATTTTGATTAAAAAATATGACTGCTAAAAAAAATGAATGAATAAATTTTAAAAATTTATTTTATAGGCTGAGTCTTTTCTTTAATTATCTAGAATAAGGATGGATTTATTTAAATGAAATAAGAAACAAAAACTCTCATTTAATAAGGCAACCTAATTTAAAGAAGTTATTTAATTTTATATAACAATAAAACAAAAAATTATATATATACTTACTTAGAATGAATAAATTAGAAGTATTTAATTTTCTTAAACTTAACTAAATTATATGGATTATGAATTTGATTAAAAATTTTAAATACTTATACTTTATAAAAATTAATATATTATCTGAATATAAGGTTTTATTATCAAGTATTACTAATAAAGAAGTAATTAAGATGATAATTTCAAAAAAATGGAACATTTGTAGAATAGTAGTATTTTGTTTTATAAATTAAATTAAATTGAATTATATATAGAAATGTTCGAAATGCAAGAAGAAAAAAATGATGTAGGAATTGCATAAATCCAAGATTCAAATTAACTTAAGCTTTCTAAACGTCAATCGTTTAATTAAGATACTATTTTATAGTGGAATTCTTTATAAGAGAATCTTTAATTGCAATATAATTTACTAAATAAGGGTAGTATGTTGGTAATATGAAATTAGAAAATGAAACAAAGAATGAGCGAATTTAGATTCTATTGAATACAGTAGAGAAGTATTACAAGACTTAACTTCGATATAAGGACTTGCGTAGATTATACAATCAATAATAAACAAGTAATTACAATTAAAAGTCATGTGTATTGGGATACAAATTTGATGATTATCATTCTGAAATACAAAAATTCTTAGTTTTGTTGATGGAAAATTAAGAACTTTTTGCATAATTAATTCATTCATCTTTGGATGTTGGTGCTCATAATTTAGATGAGTTTATATTTGACATTCTAACATTTCTTTATGATCCAATTGTTGGTGCTGGCCTTTAAGAAGGAGTATTTAAATTATTAAGTGAGCTATTAAAATTAGAATTAATAAACCTTAAGAATCCATAAGAATTATTTTAAGATAAGGGTAATTTGGTATCCAAATTTTTGATCGGATTTAGCAAAGGACCTTTATGCTAATCATATATATAATAGATTTGTGGATAAGCATTAAATTTATTAATGAATGTAAAAGAAGAATTGGAATTGAATCCTAAGATGTAATATTAATTATAATATAAAAAATAGAATTTATGAATCATAATTAAAATTAAAAGAAAGTAAAGAATCTGCTAAACTCTTGAAACTAAAATAAGAAAATAAAGCAAGAAAGATAATGTTTCATCTTATACCAATATTAATGTAAGGGAAAGAAGAGAATAATGAAATTAATGTTTATGAGAATGTCAGAAGAACAAATATTCCTGGTAATCTTTTGAATGCAATAATTGACTAAATTACTCCAGCCATATAATCATATTGTTAAACACCATTATAGAGGATTATTGATCCATAATTAGTAGAAGAAACTGCTAAAATACTATATGATCGACGCAAAATGACTGAAATGATCATTAACTCTATTTGTGACAATATTTTAAATAGCTTACATAATTTACCTTTTATAATAAGAGCATTATGCAGATTGTAATATCAAATTTTTAAAGTTCTTTATTAATCTTATAAATAAGAAGATATTTTTAGTTTATTGATTTAATTCCTAATTAACAAATGGATATTACCTGAATTTACAGCTATGTTTCTCAATTAATAATAATTAGAGTCATCTTAATATCAAACTAGTAATATTGCAGTAATAAGTAAAATTTTATTGAATGCTTGGAAGGGAGAGGTTATCGATGGTCTTCAAATTGCATTAACAAATACAACTGTTTTTAATTATTTTAAAGAATTAATAGAACTACCTTAAACTTAATTGAATTTTTATATTAAAGAAAAATCTGAAAAACATTTTACTTCTTTTTTACTTTCTATTTCTGATTTATAAATATTGTTAAACACAATATCGAAATCAAGAATAGAAGGTTCTTTAGGTGGTAAATAATTGATAAGATACACAGATTTAAGAGAATTAGCAGACACTTTAATTAAATATGGTTTAAAAATTGAAAATAATTATATGAGTAATTATGTATAATGGAAAGGACAGAAAGTGCTTGCTAATAATATGCATTTTATAGTGCATAAACTTTCTGATCTTTACAATGTTAATTATATAGATGTAGCTTTTAAATTCACTGAAAAGTTCAATATTTAAGATAAAGAAGAGTTACTATTTATTTCTAAAGCAAAATAAGTTGTAGCATAGTTTTTAATTTCGATTGAGCGAATATCACTTTTGTCTAAATTGAGAAATAATATTATTTTAAGCTTTGACAATTTAATATATATGTATAAAGATGTAATCCATGTTATGTAATTTAGTCATATGAAACTAAGGGTCAAATAATTAAACAATATGAGAATATATCACCATAGTTATATGCAAATTATTTACTCTCTATTTATAAAATGATTCCAAATTAATATACTAGCAATAATCTTTCGCTCTTATGTTAAGAAATGATTTAAGAGTTCGATTAGAAAGTCATTTAGGCTAAGAATCGTAAGTATTCTTTGTTTCTTATTTAGAGCTAAAGGCAATGTTGGAAACTTTCTTGAAAGTTATAACATAACTTCAAACAGAGAGAAATGAAATTAAAACTTTAAATAAAATGCTTAAAACTATTGAATTAAAAAAAAGATTGAATTATTTTTTAAAAAATGTCAAAATACCATGTTTATTGAGTTTTAGGTATGGATAAACTAATTTGATTCCAATTTAAGATCTATCTAAAGCTAAATCACTTGATCCAAAAGATAATGAAAAATAATAATTCTTGCAAATTGTGAATGGAGCTGATTTAAATTCTCTATAATTAGAATTACCCTTTTAAAGTATTAGAGATTTTATAGATATATTGAGTGGGCTCAAACATTTATAACTTGCTTTAGAAGGAGATTAAGTTTATGTTGAAATGTAAATTATAAATTTAGTATTTTAGAGTTTCTAAATTATTTTAAAACTATATGAAATTAGTAGAAGAAAAATTAGAATAATAATCATTTTTCCCATAAAATTCAAATCAGAAAAAAAATAATAATTATTATCTTGATTTATGTTTTGAGACAGCAGAAAAATTTGTTGTTCGCAGAATCATGATGAAATATTGTACCATAAACGAAATCAAAGAAGATTAAGCTTTTATAGAATAATGTCAAAAAAAACTTTAACATTCAGAAGAGCAACAAGAGGTAAAAATTTGTTTATCTGAATTGCCTATGTTATAGAAAATGAGTGAATGTATTTAAAATATAATTTTAAATAAGCTTTTAAGTAAATTGATTCAGTGATGACTCCAATTGAGAAACTGGAAATGATTTCGGATTGTTTGAATAACATATCCTAATTATTAAAAATATCTGGAATAGATGATAATCCTGGGTAGGATGGAACTCTTCCAGTTTTTATCTATTTAGTAGCTTAAGCTTGTCCAAAATTTATGAAAACTAATTTGAATATAATCTTATCTTTATTTAACTTTGATCGTTGGAAATTTTCAACCTATGAATATTCATCAACTTAATTATAGATAGCCTATTAAAATATTATTGGTAAGGATAATAGAGAAAGTATTATGAATTGAAATAATAATAATAAATAATAATAAATAATATATTTATCATAATTATTATGAATTCTCATTATCCCAAATATTATCTCCTTCAAATACTTCCCCTTATTCTTAATTTTCTTCTTCCATTGCTAACCTGACATACTCTTGAAATGCGAATCTATCCCAATCAGTAAAGCATGGATGATCTAGTATATTATTTCTTACTTAAAAAGGATCTCTTCTATTTTCATAAGCGATAAGTTTATTCAAATTAGTTAAAAAGTTAAAGAAAACACCACAAACATTTAGATTCTATTTAAAAAATGATTAAATTTAAACAGAATATCATTCTCAGGATGTAAAAGATCAACCATCTAACAAACAAAGTCCTAAAATAAAATAGGTTCATGATTTAAATGATCCATTCTTTATTTTAATTCTTCATAAAAGTAATCCATTTCAAAACCAGTAATAATTTCATTATTATCAAAATCAATTATTTTAAACCAATATTCAATTGATTTTATTGTTGTTTTATCTTCTTCACACAAAATAAAATAAATAAAATCTTCATAAGACATTTTCTAATCTATTTAACTTTTAAATCTACAAGGTATTTAATCCAATATTCTATCAATAACTTTTCTACTTAACCCATGAGTAGAGTAACGAGAGAAATCTTCTTTGCTTAAATGGAAATCATGATCTCCATCTAATTCCCAAAATTTACAATAAATAACATAAAAATGTTCATATGAGAAATATTATCTCATATATCAAAGGAAAAATAAAAATAGGTACCTTATTTATATAATCTTCTTTTCCTGGTGTATCTAAAATATCAAATAAATTGCTTTATTTAAAGTCACGCCAAGTAATTTTATCATTATCCTTTCTACATAAATGATGAAAAGTTTCAGCATAACGTTCTTAAAATTCAGGTGTTGCTGACAAAAATTCTAATCCAGGATGTTGTTCAAGTAAAACTATTTAGGAAATTGTTTGTACTCTTCATGAAAGGTTTGAAATCGTCAAATTAAATGAAATCATTTTTTGGTTTTTTAGGAATTTAGAAACATCTTTTTTTTGGTTCTTTTTAAGCTAAATTTAAATTCCAATACTTTAAAAACCCAGATTTTGTAATTTTATTAACATTTCCTTCAATAGCAATCATCAAAAGTTTGGTTAAGTATTTACAAAGTCCACATAAAATCGTTGTAATTGATTGGAAATGGATAGCATCAATAAGTCTGATTTACCAAAATTTCATTGATGATTTTTTTGAATAAATACATGGAATATACATTTTATTAAGATTTTAAATACAAATTGATTTCTTAGGTTGGAAAATAGATCTAAATCATAATTTTATGTTTCTTCAACATGACATTTTTTAAAAAATATTTATGATTAAGTTAATGATTATGAGAGATCTTCTGGAATCTTAAGTTTTAAATTATAAATTGAATCTATTTTAGTAGGAATAGAAGGTTTTTAAGACTTTATGTTAGGCGAGTTTAATAAAGCACTTTATGAGAGACCTGAAATAATCATTTTATTAGTAAAGAATGCATTAGGTTAGCAATTAGATTATTTTGTTTAGAATCTTTTGCATCTTTGATTAATTGTGATATTAACTTTTATGTTTGAGATTAGGTAAGCCACTTAATAAAGAGATCATCAACTTTAGTTTTAGCTAATTGATATCTAATATTTTATGTTAATGGGAAACCAGCACCAACTCCTTCCGAATACGATTTCTAAAGCATAAAATAATTAAAATATCTTTTTAATTTGATGTTAGCAATTACAAAATAGGCATTGTTTAGACAATAAGCTATGAAACTAATGAGTCGTTTTGCAGTAGTTGCCAATAATAAACCAGAGAAAGGACCATCATAAGTAATACTAATAATTAATAAGAAAAGGGTCATTTGACAGATAAATACACAGTCATAGATCATACTTATGATGCAGTAGTTGTAGGAGCAGGTGGAGCTGGATTAAGAGCAGCATTTGGCTTAGTTGAATTAGGTTTTAAGACTGCATGCATATCTAAGCTATTTCCAACCAGATCTCATACAGTAGCAGCTTAAGGAGGTATTAATGCAGCCTTAGGTAATATGACAGAAGATGATTGGAGATGGTATTAAATATAAAATGAATATAGGCATGCATATGATACTATAAAAGGATCAGATTGGTTAGGAGATTAAGATGCTATTACATATATGTGTAAAGAAGCACCAAAGGCTGTTTATGAATTGGAAAGTTATGGCTTACCATTTTCTAGAACACCTGAAGGCAAAATATATTAAAGAGCTTTTGGAGGATAGAGTTTAAAATTTGGAACAGGAGGATAAGCATATAGATGTTGTGCAGTAGCTGATCGTACTGGACATTCTATGTTACATACACTGTTTGGTAGAGCATTAGGTTTTGATTGCATTTTCTTTGTTGAATATTTTGCATTAGATTTAATGATGGATGAATAAGGGTAATTTTATATTTATTAAATATTTCTAGAGCATGCAGAGGAGTTGTTTGTATGTCAATGGCTGATGGATCAATTCATAGAATTAGAGCTGGATATACTGTTATTGCAACTGGAGGTTATGGAAGAGCCTTTTAATCATGCACATCTGCACATACATGTACTGGTGATGGTGGTGGTATGACTATCAGAGCTGGTTTACCAATGGAGGACTTAGAATTTGTTTAATTCCATCCTACTGGTATTTATGGATCTGGATGTCTTATGACTGAAGGATGTAGAGGAGAAGGTGGTATTCTTAGAAATTCTTTGGGAGAAAGATTTATGGAAAGATATGCTCCTAC